CATAGCTCATATGTTAAATTTGGAGAACTTTTTATTTTGACCTACATTTCGGACACCATATCTCAAAAGTGGGTCAAAATACTTACTGACGGCAAAAGGCTAACACTATTAGCACACTCTTTGCTACCTGTTTACAAAATTTTGAAGCAAATTATTAAAGTGTAGTGTCAGAATCGTAAAAATGAGGAAAAACTATGAATTTGACCTAGATTTTGACCTAGGCATTTTGGTGTCCAAATTTTGAAGCTATGTAGCTTTTGAGGTCCCCTTCTTTTCTAGGCATTCATTATGTTAAGCTGTACTCAGTCTATATCTTGTATTTTACACTTCGAAAAAGTCTTTTTTCCCATTGGCTTAACATGGGCACCAAATTTAGCGATTTTTGAGATTTCAAAACGCAATAACTTCCGAACCGGAAGTCGGATCGAAATTTTGTTTGCAGATTCGGATTCCTGAGATAATTCTACACTTATATGATGATTCACACGTTGAATTTGGAGAACTTTTTATGTTCTGACCTACTTTTCGGACACCATATCTCAAAATCGGTAAGAGTAATCAAAAAACGGTTTACCATTCGTAATAAGCTTTTTCTAAGGAACATGATGAAAAAAACCCGGAGTGAAAATACCGAAGGACGACTTAGAAAACTTGTAAAATAGTGAAAAACCACGATTTGACCTAGTTCTTGACCTTTGACCTAGATAAAAAGTTGACCTAATTTCCCAGAAACTAGGCCTCATTACCTAGTTGACTGTGTTAGCAGATTTAAGTAAGTCCTTCTAGTTACCGAGAAAACGTGACAAGAGAGAAAGAATAATAACTAGACATGTAAATTGAACAAGTTCAATTTAAGACTCCAGATTTAAACCTTTTTTCAAGCTGAGTCATCCAATTGTAAGCTGAGTCATTCAGAATAAGCTGAGTCAGCTAGAATATAGACATTTAGACAACTTTTAAGAATGTTATCTTCGACTCCATTGGCTTAACATGGGGATATCATCATATCGACTTTCCGAGACTTCAAACTGCTATAACTATCTAATCAGAAGGTGGATCAAAATTTGGTTTAAAGATTTGGATTCCTGAGACATTTCTACTTTTAATTCATAACTCATACATTAAATATGGAGAACTTTTTACTTTGACCAACTTTTCGGACACAAATATCTCAAAAGTGGGTCAAAATACTTTCTGACGGCAAAAGGCTAACACTATAAGCACACTCTTTGCTACCTGTATACAAAATTTTGAAGCAAATCATATTAGTGTAATGTCAGAAACGCAAAAATAAGGAAAAACTATGAATTTGACCTAGATTTTGACCTGGGCATTTTGGTGTCCAAATTTTAAAGCTAGATAGCCTTCGAGGTCCCCTTCTTTTATAGGCTTTCAGAATAATAAGCTGTACTCGGTCAATATCTCGTATATCAAAAAAATATTTTTTCTAATTGACATAACATGGGGCACCATATTCAGCGATTTTTGAGCTTTCAAAACGCCATAACTTTCGGACCGAGGGTCGGATTGAAATTTGGTTTGCAGATTCGGATTCCTGAGCAAAATTCTACCCTTAAGTCATACATCATACCTGTACATTAAATTTAGAGAATTTTTTATTTTGACCTACTTTTCGGACACCATATCTCAAAAGTGGGTCAAAATACTTTCTGACGGCAAAAGGCTAACGCTATTAGCATACTCTTTGCTATCTGTATACCAAATTTCGAAGAATATTATTAAAGTGTAATGTAAGAATCGTAAAAATAAGGAAAAACTATAGATTTGACCTAAATTTTGACCTAGGCCTTTTAGTGTCCAAATTTTAATGCAAAGGGGGTTTTGAGATCTGCTTTCACTAAGTTGACTGTTTCCAGGCTGTATCTCGTGTTTTTACAATTCATAATTTTCTTCAGCCCCATTGACATAACATGGGATACCAAAATAGCGATTTTTGAGATTTCAAAACGCCATAACTTCGGATCGAAATTTGGTTTGCAGATCGAAATTTGGTTTGCAGATTCGGATTCCTGAGAAAATTCTACCCTCAGTTCACAAGTCATGCGTTGAATTTGGAGAACTTTTTGTGTTGACCTACTTTCCGGACGCCATATCTCAAAAGTGGGTCAAAATACTTTCTGACGGCAAAAGGCTAACACTATTAGCACACTCTTTGCTACCTGTATACAAAATTTTGAAGCAAATTATTAAAGTGTAGTGTCAGAATCGTAAAAATAAGGAAAAACTATGAATTTGACCTAGATTTTGACCTAGGCATTTTGGTGTCCAAATTTTGAAGCTATGTAGCTTTTGAGGTCCCCTTCTTTAATAATAGTTCATTATGTTGAGCTTTACCCAGTCTATATCTTGTATTTTACACTTCAAAAAAGTCTTTTTTCCCATTGACTTAACATGGTGCACCAAATTGAGCGATTTTTGAGATTTCAAAACGCTTTAACTTCCGAACCGGCAGTCGGATCGAAATTTAGTTTGCAGATTCAGATTCCTGAGAAAATTCTACTCTTATTTCATAGCTCATATGTTAAATTTGGAGAACTTTTTATTTTGACCTACATTTCGGACACCATATCTCAAAAGTGGGTCAAAATACTTTCTGACGGCAAAAGGCTAACACTATTAGCACACTCTTTGCTACCTGTTTACAAAATTTTGAAGCAAATTATTAAAGTGTAGTGTCAGAATCGTAAAAATGAGGAAAAACTATGAATTTGACCTAGATTTTGACCTAGGCATTTTGGTGTCCAAATTTTGAAGCTATGTAGCTTTTGAGGTCCCCTTCTTTTCTAGGCATTCATTATGTTAAGCTGTACTCAGTCTATATCTTGTATTTTACACTTCGAAAAAGTCTTTTTTCCCATTGGCTTAACATGGGCACCAAATTTAGCGATTTTTGAGATTTCAAAACGCAATAACTTCCGAACCGGAAGTCGGATCGAAATTTTGTTTGCAGATTCGGATTCCTGAGATAATTCTACACTTATATGATGATTCACACGTTGAATTTGGAGAACTTTTTATGTTCTGACCTACTTTTCGGACACCATATCTCAAAATCGGTAAGAGTAATCAAAAAACGGTTTACCATTCGTAATAAGCTTTTTCTAAGGAACATGATGAAAAAAATCCGGAGTGAAAATACCGAAGGACGACTGAGAAAACTTGTAAAATAGTGAAAAACCACGATTTGACCTAGTTCTTGACCTTTGACCTAGATAAAAAGTTGACCTAATTTCCCAGAAACTAGGCCTCATTACCTAGTTGACTGTGTTAGCAGATTTAAGTAAGTCCTTCTAGTTACCGAGAAAACGTGACAAGAGAGAAAGAATAATAATAATAATAATAAGAAAACCGGCAAAAGCAATAGACTCCAGATTTTCAATCTGGAGTCTAATAATAAGAAAACCGGCAAAAGCAATAGACTCCAGATTTTCAATCTGGAGTCTAATTAATACCTAATGCATATACAGAGGGTGGTCCAGATTCCAGTTTCATATTTCCCTCAGAATAAACCCCATATCTAAATCCTCCCAGTACATAACAATATTAATACCTAATGTACCATACATGTCAACTGTTGGCATATACAGAGGGTGGTCCAGACTCCAGTTTCACATTTCCCTCAGAATAAACCCCATATCTAAATCCTCCCAGTACATAACAATATTAATACCTAATGTACCATACATGTCAACTGTTGGCATATACAGAGGGTGGTCCAGACTCCAGTTTCACATTTCCCTCAGAATAAACCCCATATCTAAATCCTCCCAGTACATAACAATATTAATACCTAATGTAACATACCTGTGAACTGTTGGCATATACAGAGGGTGGTCCAGACTCCAGTTTCACATTTCCCTCAGAATAAACCCCATATCTAAATCCTCCCAGTACATAACAATATTAATACCTAATGCACCATACCTGTCAACTGTTGGTATATACAGAGGGTGGTCCAGACTCCAGTTTCACATTTCCCTCAAAATAAACCCCATATCTAAATCCTCCCAGTACATAACAATATTAATACCTAATGTACCATACATGTCAACTGTTGGCATATACAGAGGGTGGTCCAGACTCCAGTTTCACATTTCCCTCAGAATAAACCCCATATCTAAATCCTCCCAGTACATAACAATATTAATACCTAATGCACCATACCTGTCAACTGTTGGTATATACAGAGGGTGGTCCAGACTCCAGGTCCACATTTCCCTCAGAATAAACCCCATATCTAAATCCTCCCAGTACATAACAATATTAATACCTAATGTACCATACCTGTCAACTGTTGGCATATACAGAGGGTGGTCCAGACTCCAGTTTCACATTTCCCTCAGAATAAACCCCATATCTAAATCCTCCCAGTACATAACAATATTAATGCCTAATGTACAATACCTATTGGGATATATACAGAGGGTGGTCCAGACTCCAGGTTCACATTTCCCTCAGAATAAACCCCATATCTAAATCCTCCCAGTACATAACAATATTAATGCCTAATGTACAATACCTATTGGGATATATACAGAGGGTGGTCCAGACTCCAGTTTCACATTTCCCTCAGAATAAACCCCATATCTAAATCCTCCCAGTACATAACAATATTAATGCCTAATGTACAATACCTATTGGGATATATACAGAGGGTGGTCCAGACTCCAGGTTCACATTTCCCTCAGAATAAACCCCATATCTAAATCCTCCCAGTACATAACAATATTAATGCCTAATGTACAATACCTATTGGGATATATACAGAGGGTGGTCCAGACTCCAGTTTCACATTTCCCTCAGAATAAACCCCATATCTAAATCCTCCCAGTACATAACAATATTAATGCCTAATGTACAATACCTATTGGGATATATACAGAGGGTGGTCCAGACTCCAGTTTCACATTTCCCTCAGAATAAACCCCATATCTAAATCCTCCCAGTACATAACAATATTAATACCTAATGTACCATACCTGTCAACTGTTGGCATATAGAGAGGGTGGTCTAAATCTGTGGGAAGGTTACATTTCCCTGGTAGTCCATCAAGCAGCCGTAGTCTAAATACAATAACAGACACCTGGAATATAAATTTAAAAGAAATAGGGGTGACAAGAATTTGATGTAAAATACATAGTCACTGACTCAAAGAGAATTTTGAGAACACATAAAATTCAAAATTGAAAACATTTCAAGGTCAACTGCAATACAAGGCTTAATACAACTGAGAACAAATTCAATTCAAGGCTGAATACATTTTGAGGAGAAATACAATTCAAGGCTGAACATGATTCAAGACGAAATACAATTCAAGGCTGAATAAATTACAATTCTACATGTACATTTTAAGGATAATATTTTTGAAGACTGAATACATTTCAAGACCATCTAAAATTCAAGCCTATATCAAAATCGACTGTACGTAACTGCTTTAACCTATACCCAGTAGAGTTTAATTTTGATGCCTAAAACAATTCAAAGTTTTAAAAATATATCCCAATATCCTCGGGATAATCCCAATATCCTGAACCTCATATAGGATAATCTCTATATATCCCAATTCAAGGCTGATTACTAGTATTTTGTTCTTGAGGATGAAAGCTAAATGAACTTGAATATTCCTTGACCAATGGGAATGTTCTTTAATTAATTGAGAAATTATCCCATAATTTCATACTGTGGGACCATTCTCCTTAGAACTTATTTTTTAAATGAAATGAGATTAAAGTTACATGGCTATCAAATTTTCGTAAAATAATCAAAGAGGCAATAATTGAGCTGTTAAAGTGAGGTAGCTTGAATTCCCGCTGTGCTGAAATAACTTGACTGCTTACTCCAAGTAGAGCTTCGATTTCTTGGTTCAATATTGTTTTTTCTGTGAATGAACAGGTTTTGGCATAAAACTGTCCATACTAATTTTCTTCATTTTAGACTGACCATGATGAAAGAAATCAATAAACTGGGATTAATTTGTCCAGTTTATAAGGTCAATAACCCAATTGTTTTTTTATTCTGGTGATATTAAAAGGAGTCAGTCTCTAGTACACAAAAATTTCTGAAAGCACCTTAGATGCACGCAACCAGCAAAACAATTTTATCTGAATCAGGGATCAAACCAAGGGCATTAGAAACCTTCCAAAAAAGTTGGATAAGGTAATATTTCACAATGTGTGATGTTGACATAAAAATAATGAATGTTTGAAAAAGTTTTCCATGAACAAACACTATGGTTTCTTTATGGATGATCATCAGATTTTAATATTGTAAATAGCGTTTCATACCTGGGTAATTATACCCTCTTTCAGAGAGTCTTTCATGTTGTGTAGGACGTCATGCTGAATTTCTCTAAACGTAGAATCACGTGGGATCTGGAGGACCATGGGACAACCAAACCTAATATGTAAACAAAACATATCAATGCATAATTAGGCAATGTATGATTGGGCAATGCATGACAGGCAATGTATGATTGAGCAATACATGATGGGCAATGTATGATGGGCAATTATTCCATCTTTCAATATCACATGACCCTGGAGTTGTCTCATGGAGTTCTCTGGATTTGTAATCTCAAAATATTCAAAAAATGCATCTTGAGCAACCCTGCATACACAATATACCCTCTCTAGGACACAAGGTGTAATTTCCTTACCTTCTTCCTTCAGAGGCAGAACCAGTTTTGTTAAGGAGCAGCAGGGTGATATATTCAGGCTGGAGGTAGTCAGTCTTTGACTCTTTAAAAGGGGGCGGAGTCTCAATGGCGTATATATTGTCCGATTCTTGTATTGCAGAGATTGATTGGTCATCACTGAATGTCCGATGGAAACCATTGTAGTAGATTTCAGTGAGAATAACCTGCAATTCAATAAATCCATTGTAGTAGATTTCAGTGAGAACTAAACCTGCAATTCAATAAATCCATTGTAGTAGATTTCAGTGAGAATAACCTGCAATTCAATAAATCCATTGTAGTAGATTTCAGTGAGAATAACCTGCAATTCAATAAATCCATTGTTGTAGATTTCAGTGAGAACTAAACCTGCAATTCAATAAATCCATTGTAGTAGATTTCAGTGAGAATAACCTGCAATTCAATAAATCCATTGTAGTAGATTTCAGTGAGAATAACCTGCAATTCAATAAATCCATTGTAGTAGATTTCAGTGAGAATTAAACCTGCAATTCAATAAATCCATTGTAGTAGATTTCAGTGAGAATAACCTGCAATTCAATAAATCCATTGTAGTAGATTTCAGTGAGAATAACCTGCAATTCAATAAATCAATGAAATGAGTTAATGTTTAAGTACAAAAGTGAGATAAGTTATAAGACACCAATGACGGTTACAAAAATGGGGGGGGGGGATAGAACAATATGTCATCAGTTCTTGGTGGTGACACATTGTGGGATCCACAGCCTTTACTATCCTTTTGGAATAGTCTCAAAAGCGTTAGGTGGGGCTCTGATAAATCAGAATGGTGGTGACATAATAAAATTGAAATCTTTTTTGTTTTGCTTCATTTTCGGTTTTTGATATGTATGTACAGGGTGTCCAATAAATAAGGTGAAAGATATTGTAACTTTCTTAATATTGCACCAATCTTGATGAAATTTTCAGAGTTTGTAGCCCAAACCTTTTTACCTTTATTCTGTGAATTTAAAGCATCTTCTATCTGATTGTGGTTATGGGATGAAAATGGCAAATGGTTTCAATTTATTGAGTGGATCATTGATAGCTACAGTGGTATCTAACAGTACCATACATTACTGTTTTGGTTATGGTGCTGTAAAATATGGTACAGTTGACTTCAACAGTACCATGAACACTGTATGGCACCATACTCTAACAGTAACATATATTTCAATACTCTTAATGTATCTTATCAGTGTTTTCAGTAGGTTTGTCCAAGATTGCGTCCCTGGGACGTAACGATTTTCAAAAAATGCGTCTCCCCTCAAAAAACTGCGTCCCTTGAAAAAATGTTCCCGGGAATTCAAAGTCACGCTTTTACACTAACCGAAATAAAATTGATGAAATTTTGTATCGCTTTTGCTATTTATCTGTCTAAATCAGTGTTCTGGCGAGTCTAGTATGTCATTGATACAGATACCATCACTTGTGAGGTATGACCTATATTCAACCATTAGAAGCACATTTCTTTGCCTATTTCGAAGCAATTAGCGACCGATTTTGCTTTAATTTAGGGGCAATCTGTGCGAGGTTCAATTTTTTGGTTCAGTTTCTTGCGCATGCACATTCTTAAATAATGATCTTGTGATCGCACTTGACCAATAGAAAAAAGTTTAAATCAGGTCCTCAGCTAGCAGCCAATCGTAAGACTCGTACTGATTACTGCTTGGATATCGAGTATTGGATAACTATTTGACCTATCACATGGCTCATACTATCATGAATCAACTTCTGGGAAGGAAACTTCGAAAGAAAATTTTATTTCTTTTAGAAATAGAATTTCCTTCAATTATTTAGTGGAGTCTGACGAAATAAAGAGACTGAAGGTAAGTAGATTAATGAAGTGATTTACAAAATTCAAATTGCGTCCCAAAAACGTAATTATTTTTTTAATTTACGTCCACCAAATCTTGATTTACATCCTCTCCATTGAAGGACGCCGTTAATGAAACCTCAGCTAATGGCACCATGATTTCAGAGTGTGAATTGGGGGTGCCTAGGGAAACCCCCCCATCTTGTATGAATAATATCTTAATAGTGCACCTTATACAATAGCACCTTGTAATGATAAATAAAGGCACAGACGTAATTGGAATAATAACTATAAATGAAACATGAGAAAATAAGTGATACTTAAGGACTTAGCTAAACGCAATAACAACAGCTTTGTCTCTTGAAACTACATTGAAGTATTTGTGTGTTAATTAGATGTGAAGCTCAATTAGAGATATTGCCGTGTTGTTTTGTATATTGTTACATCAGACTAAGGTTAAAATAAACTGATAAAAGCTTCGAGATATTACGAGATATAATCGATAATTAGAATGAGCGTTAGTATTACTGTAAGCTACAATTTACAATATTTGTATAAGTAAGTGTGTTAGGTATCTTTTTCTTGTCCAAAAAGAAAGAGTCGACATACCAGTATGCCTGTAAAAATTAATTAATTACAAATGGGAAGAAGGGCAGGGTTCAAAGAGCATTAAAAGTAGTTTTCATCTGAAAAGGGATATTTGACGGGTCATTTTAGATTAAAGTTATAGGACTTAGCACTGGTAATTGTAACTAGATTTTTGGACAATGTGGAAACTATTGACATCGATATGGTCCCAAAAAGTTTATATAAATTGTTATAAAATGTATTTGTAACATACTAAATCTAAATCTAACATACTAAATTTTTAGCAGCAGTTTATTTAGAGATGCATCTATTGGGAATGTTATGAGAGAACTGTCAGGGGAAAAAATACATCAAATTCTTTCTTGAAATTATAAACACATTAAGTTTCATTAAGGTGGGCCAAGTAGAATACATATGGAGGCTTGAAAATACGTAATTTCTCACATTGTGTAAATGGTACCCATGACAGATGGTACCCAACTGAAATGTTATGAGAGAACTGTCAGGGGAAAGAATACATCAAATTCTTTCTTGAAATTATAAACACATTAAGTTTCATTAAGGTGGGCCAAGTAGAATACATATGGAGGCTTGAAAATACGTAATTTCTCACATTGTGTAAATGGTACCCATGACAGATGGTACCCAACTGAAATGAGGCTTTTGCAGTGTTTTACACTACATTTCGTCAAAGAACTTCTTTATGTTGAAGATTAATTTTATAATCTTCAAAAATTCAGGGTTTCATTTTTACATGTTCTATGATACAAACAGTCATTCCAGATGAGGATGGCTTTGGAAATTGATGTGATCTATCTGGGTAACAAATTTTCAGCTGATTGCTTTAATTTTACAAACTAAAGAACAAATATAGGCAAAAGTACAGACTCATTGCTAAAGATTGATTATCACTCAGCCAGAGATATTTGTAAATGTTGCCCTAGTTATTAAACATCAGCAAATGATGGAATTCCAATTAAAGGTATATTGATCTTATTTGAAGGAAGGTAAACAGCTGGTATAATTTATGGGTGGAGGTCGGGTTAGACAAGGTATATGTCATATTTCATTGTGATGAGTTACAAAGGAAAATTAAGAAATTGGTGAGACAGGGAAAGTTGGTACCATGTCAAATGGGGAGGGAAGGACCAACTTATGAAGAAACTGGCAGAATATGTAAAAATTGTGGGAAAGATGGCTCAGTGGGGAAATGAAACAGAACGAAAACTTTGAAGAGAGAATGGGAACGAATAGAAAAGAAACATGAACGGGGCAGGGGGAGATAATGGGGAAAATTAAAGGGAGGTTAATAGAAGAAAGGTGAAATGAGGAAAGGACCAGTTTGGGGAACAAGGAGGGGATGAGATGTTGTGTACTATTGTCTATTATATGGTAGAATGAGAGGGGAGGAGTGAGTGTAATACCTAAGTAAGGATATAGGAGAGGAGATAGGAGAGACTTGGTTAATGGCACCTTGGCAAGGGTTGAGATGTAGTGTGCTATTGTCTATTATATGGTAGAATGAGAGGGGAGGGGTGAGGACAATACCTAAGTAAGGATATAGGAGAGGAGATAGGAGAGACTTGGTTAATGGCAACTTGGCACGGGTTGAGATGTTGTGTACTATTGTCTATTACATGGTAGAATGAGAGGGGAGGGGTGAGGGCAATACCTAAGTAAGGATATAGGAGAGGAGATAGGAGACACTTGGTTAATGGCAACTTGGCAAGGGTTGGCATCAAACAAAGAGGCTTCTCCCTCAGGAGACAAAGGGATACAGTTGAGGTTGTTCATTAACAATGGCATCATATCACACTGGCCTCATAAAATCAACAACCAAAATAGAATGTTGGATTTGGATTAGGTTATTGTTTATCACAAAAAATATAGTAACATTGAATCAAAACATCAAGGGACCAAGTCAATGGCCATACTGATTACTAAAATATAGGCAGATTTGAAGGAAGGGTTGACACATGGGCACAGCTATTAAAAGATTGAAACTGTAAACGTGAAATCTAACGATAACTTATTATATTGCCTTTAAGTCAATTTTGCCTCGCCAATTTTAAACTTACCTCAGGTATTTTTAAGTCCTGGCGATGCCTATGTAATGTCTTTATATAATTTATTAACAAAATCTGAAATCAAATGAATTCCATTCCAGGGCAACAGTCTAGTAATCTTGTCCTTAAGACCATGAAAATTTGAGTGAAAAGATCGAACTGTCTTCTATATTCTACCCAAAAAGTGTTGTATTAGAGTAATGTAAAAAAACATGTATGTGGGATATGGCCCCTATAAAAACTGAGATTGTTTATCATATAGGCACTTATTATTAGACCTAAATTAATGACTCATAAAAAAATGTGTTGACAGTTTATACATAATGAGTTCCATATTTTATCTAAAAATATGCTTTTCTTTACAGTGATCTCCCCAGGAATTTTTCTCAAGTTGGTGCAAAATTCTTATTTTCACAATTCACACTGAAATTGGTCAAAATATGTCAATTTTTCATGATTTTTCTCATTTTCAAGTGGGTGCAAATGGATTCCCAGGTAGGTGCAAGCCTATATTTTTAAAATCTCAGATGGGTGCTGCGCCAACTTGCTTTAATACTGGGGAGATCACTGCTTAATATTGTCAGTTCCTAACTTGAGGTATGTGATATAACAAACAGCCAGTACTTTTACATGTTTACAGATCTTGAAACCTATAGGCGAAGGGTCAAAATACTTAAAAGAAGGCGGACACCAACATATTGTACCTAAAAATCAAAAATGACCATCTAAAATGAAGCAAGCATGCTGCACAGAAAATGAGACGTGCCAACCTTACAATTATCTCACACTTTTTTGGTAGACAACAAAAATCGGTCCAATCATCTACATGTTCTTGAGCCCTTTCTAGTTTTGAACCATATCACGGAAATTCTTGAAAGTTGGTTTTGGACAACCTAGGTAAGACAAAAATTGAATATTTGGAACAAAATGATGCTTACAATCCTGAATTCCTCCTAATCCCAAAGTCATTTAGACTTGAAAACCGCACATTCTTGAAAAATGTATTTTGGTACATATGGGGGGGGGGTGTAGTCCAAGTGAAAACCGGAAAATTGGAGAACGGATGAGATGTGGAAAGCACTTTCAATCAATCAATCAATCAAATCATCTGCTATTTTAAAGACTCTAATAAAAATATATCTTTTTAGGCTCTTATCTCAATAGACTGTCCCCAAGGTATATTATTGTAGTTCACAAATATGTTTTGCCAAGAATTTATATCTCAGTTTATAATTCAATTATGAGTCACCATAGTTACTAGGATACAATCAAGAATGTGGTTGTACTTGTGAGAATTCCGCATCACCTACAAGTAAAGTCATGTCAGGGAAAATGTTGTGTTGACATGTTCAGATATCATAAATTAACCCGTGACATATAGTTTAGTAACTTAGCTTTGAATTAGACCTTGAGAAAAATGTGATCTGTATGTTCAGGATTAAGGTAGTTCAGTATGGCGGGAACTTTTATGTATTTTTCATGATTATAATTCAAAATGATTAATAATGAAAATGTTTGTTTTTCAAATTTTTATGTGCGTATCTACATAAAAGTTGCATGTTTTGTATACATTTTTAATGATAAATAAATTAATAAATATCACTGCTATTAGAGTAATGTAGTTCAAAATCATAATCACTCCTTTAAATGAAACTGAAGGGACACAAGCCTTTATTTTTTTAACAAATCTGTTATTAATAAAAAACAAATCAGCATAAAGCAAAATTAATTCTGAACCCTTGAATAACCTCTTTTTATTTTATTGTCATAGAGATTTAATTCAGGACTAATTCTGCACTTCTGAAAACTATAAAGTTTTCTTTTCAATATGGATCTGCGTGCTGTCACTTCAACTGAAACTCCTTTGCATATATGATATGTATTTTAACAAAATAACAGTACACTCCAATCAGCACTGAAACCACATTTCCGTATTGTATTAATGGTACCATGTAAATATGATGTGGTACTGTGTTCTCAGTACCGTATGGTACTGTTTTACCAAAATGGTACTCTATGGTACAGTTACAAATTTTCTGAGAAGGGCTTAGGTGGGAGTATGACTCGTACAACTACAGGTAACTTCCAACTTATGACGGACAACCATATAAGGTTAAAAAACCTGGTAACATTACACATATTTAATCTGATTTTCGACGCCGTTTCAGTGCCAAATTTAAGTGCCGTTTCGGCACCAAATGGACTGACTAGTCCGGTGGCAAATTTTGGTGTCAAAAGGTTTCGGTACCGGAACAGTGTTGAAACAGTGCCGGAACAGCGCTGAATTTTTTCGATGCCGAAACATCGCGCCAAATTATATTGGCTGTGTACAGAAGTCAAACTCATAATTTTGGGTTGGTGCAAAAGAGTAAAGTAAGTTCAGAACTTCAGGTACGTGTACACAGCCAATCTCCAATGGGAGCAAATGTGGGTGTCTTCCCATTTCGCCCCTTCCCACTTTGCCCCTTCCCATTTCGCCCCTAATTTATTCCCATTTGGCCCCTTCCCATTTGGCCCCTACCCATTTCGCCCCTTCCCATTTTGCCCCTTTCCCAAATTACCCCTTTCCCATTTCGCCCCTCTTCCATTTCGGCCCGTCCCATTATGCCCCCTTCCCATTTCGCCCCTCATTCCCCCTTCGCCCCTTCCCATTTCGCCCCTTCTCAATTGGCCCCTTTCCATTTCGCCCCTTCCCATTTCGCCCCTTCCCAATTGGCCCCTTTCCCATTTTGCCCCTCGTTCATTCCCATTTCGCCCCTCATTTATTAAAAAGTAAAATACCTAGGTACTGACCTTTGACCTTGGAATGACCTTGACCTTAGTTCACTTAATCATGGGTCACAGAGGTTCACAACAGCCTCAATGACCTTAAATCAGGCAAAGGGGCAAAATGGCAAAGGGGCAAAATGGGAAAGGGGCGAAATGGGAAAGGGGCCAATTGGGAAGGGGCAAAATGGGAAGGGGCGAAATGGGAATAAATGAGGGGCGAAATGGGAAGGGGCGAGATGGGAAGGGGCGAAATGGGAAGGGGTGAAATGGAGAAGGGGCGACATGGGAAGGGGCGAAATTGGAAGGGGCGATAAGGGAAAGGGGCGATATGAGAAGGGGGCAACACGGGAAAGGGGTGAAACGGCAAAGGGGCAAAATGGGAAAGGGGCGAAATGGGAAAGGGGCCAATTGAGAAGGAGCGAAATGGGAATAAATGAGGGGCGAAAATGGAAGGGGCGAAATGGGAAGTGGCGAAATGGGAATAAACATGTTGAATAAATGAAACTACTTTATCCATTTAGAATTAATTTTGTGATACATTACTCATTAGGAAGCAAATCATTGCTTGACATTTCAAGTAGGCATCAACGTGAGTGAAATGTTTTGTATTTTAAATCTAAGTTTAAGTTGATTCGACTGGTTGTTCTACCACTACTAAGTTATATGCAGGCAGAATGGAAAATGCTGAATAAGTTATTTTAGTATTTTCAGATATAGACCCTGAAATTCATTATTTTCATTAGTGCTAGGGTTATATAAGGGTACTTACTGTACCTTATATTGATTTTTTCAATGTTACACTTTTCTGACTTCATATTCTGATTGGGTGTACCCCCTGTGTGTGAAAAACACCTTTCCAACACAATACAATCTTAAGAAGGTGAAGTACACGGGGGGGGGGGGGTGGTATACAGTCCTGAGGCAAATCTATCTGAATTTAAAGGCTCAATGAAATCAGCTGTAGTTTGGAGAGTGCATATGAAATTACAGTCTTGCAAAGGCTCAGGAAATGGTTCGTAAGGTAATTATTTAAACAACATACCTGTTTAGTGGGCACCCCTGCCTCTTCAGCCAATCTCTTTCTCAGGTCTTTCACAGTACTATGTACAGGCATAGACAACCCTACTCTGACTTGCTGTGGCCTAGCGTCAAGGTAAACAACTGTCACAAACAAGGCTCGGTTGATTTTCTGAGGAATTGGCAGTGACACACAAACAAATGGATCAAATGTATTGCTTTGTTCGTTACACGTTGGACATGTTAGAGACGACCTATGAAGGGCTTGGAATAAGTCATACACGTAACTGTTATTGCATCGCAGGTGGTTCGCAAGAGCTTCCTGTGCTAAGTCTTCATCTGATCTCCCATTTCCACCCTGGAATATAACGAAGCATAGATTTACTTAAACACTCCAGGTATTTAAAAAATCATCCGTTTCGGAAATTATCCGACTTTAAAATCAAAACAGTTCATGTTTTGAAAAACATCATAACATGTTTTGGTTTTGGTAAGTAATAGGTACCAGTCACATTGGAAAATTATTTTTTATATTTGAATTAGCACTCAGAGCTACAGACGTATCATCTTCCAAGTTTATTTCTCCCAATAATCAAGATAAGCTATTGAACTTCGGAGAAATTCCCACATTGCACATTGAAGAGATTTTATTAAACGCTTTCATTCAAGATAAGAAATAGAGATTTATACAGAACAGAAATGTTTTCATCGATGCTAAGAATCAATTATGTAAGCGGAGTACTTGATAATCCAGGGCCTAATATTAATACCTGCTTAAAGGAAAAATACAAAAAGCAGACCATTATTTTTCAATTTAGAATCCTTTTGCCTGTCAATGCCTTACTAAATCTAAAAAATCAAAAAGTTTATTTTTAACTGGATGCTGTATTTACATCCATCAAGCATCAAGGTATTTCTAAAACAAAAATTGATGAATGAAGAACACCGCATTATTTCAAAGAATTCAGGCACGACGATTCATCTTAAAATTGATAAACATTTGTAGGTGCCATCATAAAGATATAACAACAAGGAGATATGTTATTGCTTTTTGAAGATTTGATGGATTATGAGCCAATTGATCGATCTAATGACGTAATGCGATGTGAAGGCTAATAGATATAGACATTCATCTGAGGGTAAAATCATTAATAACCAAAAATCCATTTTATAAGTCGTGAATCGCCTATTATTTTTTACATCCTATAGATTTTGTACTTTGATGATAAAGAACATATAATGATTTGTTCATAGAAAATTTATACTGCAGGCATCTTTTTCATCACATACTTTCTCAGGGATCTCCCCTTGTTTTTTCTCAACAGGTTGAGATATTCTAATACGATAATAATTCATTCTTATGACTATGAGCAAATTGATTTCAAAAGTGTGGCACAATAAAACCTGTATATTCAAACACCCCTCTAATTTCAACACAAGTGCAATATTTACTTTTTGGTCCAATTTTTATGTCACCACCAAAACTGGAGACATATTGTTATGGTCTCCAATTTTTTTGACATGGCATTCGGTGGTTGGTGTTCAGAGTTTGATGCTCGGCATCTGTCACAAATGGCAGGTAGTAATACTTTGCATGTTAATGCCTTCTTTAATTTGACATAGATAACCAAGTTAAGGAACTTTAAAATGTGAAAACCTGCCTATATGAACACTTTTGACCAGTCCAAGTGGTGTTCGGAAACTTAGGATGAGACAAGTTTTACTGTATGTAATTTTCCAATTCACAACAGGATGTAACAACTCACGCCATTCTAATGCTGGAGAGGTCATTACACTTTATAACTATAAACATAACATTAACATACAAAATGTCACCACCTGCCATTTGTTACAGATGCAAAACACCACGCACCAAACAGCAACCGCTGCCACTTTTGGAGTGACATATAATTTACCTCCAGTAAAAAATATGCAACATAAATGGAAAACAATACATAATGATATTTTAAGTTAAAATTTTCATGAAACAGGTTAAAAGTATTAATATTGGAAATATATTATATGTTCATGTGTATAAGAACAACTACTGAAAGGGGTAAGGACCAAAAAGTATTCAAAGTTAAAAAATGAACATCATATAACCAATCTAATTTTTCTTTAAGAGAGTGAAGTAAGTGCTAAAACAATGCAAGAAATTTATCAATGGAATTGATGAATGACCCTGTATAACAGAGTCAGGATTGTAAAGTTGATTAATTGTACTGTTTTCACTTGTTTTTGCTGGGTTTTATGCAAATGTAATATTACGATAACCAGTCTTGATCTATTTAGAGACTTTGGAATAATTTGTGAACGACCTAAGTTCCATTTATAAAGATTATGGTAATTTCGTAAAATAGGAAGAGCATTCAGGATGTCCTATGCTAATATGAATGGTGCTATTTTTTATGTAATGTAATGTAAGGACCAATTTCTCATCTGCTCTGGATCTACTCTTTTTAATGTTGTTAATCGTTCAAGCGGATCAAAAGTGTATATGATTTATTAGAGCTTTAAAATGGTACATGATGAATGTATTTGTATTATCACTCCCTCCAGTTTTCTGCAAGTTAAAATGCTAAATTCTGCAAGTGAAATTAGTGAATTCTGCAAGGGGAAAGGCTAATTTTGCAGAAATTCGACGGAAAATAGTGTGATAGATATAACAAAAAAAACGGGAAAATATTGTGATAGTCAAGCAGTCAGTCACTACGTCACTACTCAATACATGCTGCCATCTAGCGACAGAAATCAAATGATGAAGTTTAAAATTTTCACTATGCATATTAATTTTGGTCATTTTTTTTTTCTACAAGGTATTTGACCGAGAATGTGTCAAATTGTTACAGGTAACACTGATTATTTAAACTTTTGGAAAATATATCAATTCAGCGAAGATTGACCAAAATAATTGATTCTGCAATTCTGCAGGCATAGGCAAATTCCAACCGCGCTCTTGCAAACACAAAATCTTTTTTACAGGAGTTATTGTAAAATGTGTATTGAGTTGATGTTCACTAAACACAGGTGTTCCGTAAAAACTGTTTAAAGATATGATTAAAAAAAGGTTTTCCTGGAAATCTGATGACAAGATTTATGAAGCATCTGCCTACCAACCCATCAAAAGTACAATAAAAATGTATTATCCTGTTCAAACATCCTGAAACCAGCGTTTAGCAGTATAATTCGAGACTCTTACAAAATTTTAAGAGATATAAAGAGATTCCCTGCGATATGTTGAAATTTAGACGACTAGTATGTACTAGAACCAGGTAAGAAACATAAAATAACCAAGGTTACCATGATAAATTATTTTACCCCAAGGAAAGATATTTTCAAATATATCTGTTTTATGGTTTACAGTTCTGTTTACACATCAATATCAGCAGATATAAAACCAACTATTTATTACATTAGAGATGCAATTTCACCTTTCTTTGAGATATCCATTTATCTAGAGGACATAGGGGCACAGCAATCTCGGACACGGGGCATTGTCGGACGATCTTCAATAATTCTTTATTTTACATGGTTCCTTTATTGAAACTTTGTATTAGAGACATGATATTATCGATGTGGTGCTATTTATCGTAAAAAGTCTAACAATGCCCAGGATTTTCACCTGATACCAAGGGTTTGTGCGGGAATGCCCCGTGGCTGACAATGCCGCTATGTTACATCGTGTTTGCACTGTTTGGCAATGAGGAACCTTCTTTCAAATGTATTATGAAGTAATTGTTCTATTACATTCAAACAATAAATGACATCATTTGATAAAACACTTGTAATGGTACAATTGAGTTACAAAAATACATGTAATAGATAAAACAATAGATAATTTTTTGTTAAAAACATGTTTACACTATTGGTACAATTTAGACTTCAGCATATATTAAATGTAAATAGCATCCCTGCTTGTACTATGTCAGAAAGATCTCAATTTCTTCAAAAATGTCTGGTAGCTTATGGTTTTGTATTCTATTTCCATCAGATTAGTGCAAATGAGTCAGAGAAAGATAAATTACATGAAGAACGATCTTAGAGTTAATCAAACATGCATAAGGCTTCTAAATTTCTTAAATCTTATTGAACTGAGAAGAGTACACAGCCTGTATAATCCGTCTGAACAACTCTCTTATCGAACATATCTTAATGTGAACACTTTTCTTGGTCACAAATTTGTTATCTACCATTAATCCACATATAAAGGAAATCTTAAAATGTGAACACCTGCTAATCTGAACTGAACACTTTTGACTGGGTTGAGTGATATTTAGATTAAACAGGTTTTACTGTAAACAAAAATCCACACAGCAACCATTACATAGTAAAATTGGTGGTAGTTGATTATGTCTATCTGAGGTCAGGTCAGACCACATTGAAATTAGAAGAAAAAATAAAAGATAACATGAATATTATCTCACCTCTTAACTGTACACAAAGTATCGCTATGGAAATGGATAGAGGTTTTATTTACTTCTAAGGGGAAGTGCTTCAAGTCAAGTTATTTTTGTAAATAATGTTAAATTTATCAGCGGTCTGTGCTCCAGATAAAGATTGCTATGTTGAATAGCTGTATACTACTCCAATGAAATTGTTTTCATCATGTTCATGAATACATTGCACCAACAGTGGTCTTGGAAGGATCAGAGCAACTGTGTGCTGAACCCATTAAAAATTTGACAAATACATGGTATTCATTAAATATGTTTGCTTCTTGACAAAATGATGAAATACTCAGACTTTTTACCAAAACAGGTAAAATTATTATTTATGTTGAGGGAAAAATTACAACAGAGCAGTGACCACAACATTGGAAATGACAGTACTTTTAACTTATAGTCAGTTACAGCTTACACTTTACATTTTTTGTAAATGAGATTATTTAATCAGCGTAGTAGATTAATAGTATAGTAATTGAGAATTGAGTTAATGGGTTAATTAGATGCAAAGAAAATACTATCATATATGATATGTCTAGTAGTAATAGCAACTGAAGCAATGTTATCCTGGAGCAAAATGTAAAAATACAATTGTATTTGGAAATAAAATGCTTTTGACGAGGTTAAAATTATAAATATGTTTACAGTGTTCTCCCCAAAAAAATTTTTCAACTGGGTGCAAGATTTCAAGTCTGAAAAAATCAGCACTCGCTACGCTCACAATATCTCAGTGTAGGTGCTTACTTCACTCATTTTTCAAATCAGAATTTAAGGTGCAGATTCCAACTGGGTGCCAACTGGGGGGTCTTTGGTTTCAAGTAGGGGGAGCCCCCAGGTAAAAGTGACATGGGGAGATCATTGGTTTAAGATGAGCTCAAAATAAGTGTTTTCAAGATTTGTTTCATAAAAAAATCTTTGTATTAAAGAGAGTTTTCCATATATAAAGTATGATTGAAAAAAGCTATTTTGTACCCTGCCATATGGTTCGAGGTATATTAAGATACCCCTAATATCAAATGATTCCTAACATATATTTAATGATTTGTGATGTATATGTATGTTCATATTCAGTTCATGATCAATGTAAGAAGATACTCAACATCAATTAAAAGTTATTCTAAGATATTCAAGTACTTTTTAGGAAATTGATACTTTACATATATAACCACACTTGCAGATTACCCTGTAATTGATGAATTTTTGCAGTGATTTTCCAGTTTTTTAACAGACTACAAAACAATAATATGGACAATTTTGGTAAATTACATCAATATTTCAAACTTTTGACAGTGCCCAGTTGCTTAAATACAAGGACTGATAATCATATGATATTCACTTATATGATAAATAACACAAGTTACAGCATCACATCAGCCGCTAAACAGTTTGATCATATCAAGATATGATAACTTGATCTGATCAAATACCTGGCTAGCTTGGTTAAAGATAAGGAGATACTTACGTGTACAATACACAATACCTTATCAGTTAGTGTCAATACTTAGTGCCTCCATAACTCGATTATATTCCCTATCAGGAAAACTCAAACAAATTAAATCGACTAAAAACTTAGTCACCAAAAACAAACTTATGATTAATAAGTTATCTATAGATAATTACCTTATTGGGACGGTATCTCCTTTTTGATGCTGTGTTTAAATCTTCATGTATTTTATCCAGAATCCATAACAAAAATTCCTGGGCATCGTGTTGAGCATCGCCCCTGTATTGACTTCCATATTTCCCAACGACGTGTTTGAATTCGTTGGATAGGCTAGGTGTATATTGGCAAGACCATAAACTCTTCAGGAGTATAGCTAACTGTTCAGTCAATTCACCTTTAGTCCCAAACTTTTTGGCATTACCTCTGTTTTGCCGTCTTACATCATGTTTGTAATTGTTTGTTACAAAGTATTCAGCCAGAAGGTCTGTGTGGTTCAAGCACTGTAATACTGCATTCATAAAACATGTATTTCCATGATTTCTAATACCAGAAACCCCAGGCACTTGACCATTTGGCATCAATGGGACACCGTTTTTGTTTATTGGAGGTTCTTGTATACATGGTGTTGTTTTTTCTATGGCACCAGAACTTAGTTGTTTATTTTCCGCATTATTTCTGATTTCACGTTCAGCTTGCTGATTAATATTTATATCCTTATTAGATGCGTGTGTAACACTTACACCAAGATTCACAACATGTTTTGCGATTTTGTGCACCCAACTTTCAAACCTTCGCATGGATGGCTTTTTAGACACTTTGTTTTTGTTTGGGGCTTTGCCTTTATGAGACTGATCCTCACAGTTATTGAGAACATTTCGTGTTATGTTATCGTGAGATATTCTTGGAACACTTTGACTTACATTTCTATGTTGTTCAGTGAGTTGTTTATAATTTACAAATCCCGGTACACAGTCATCTTCTGCCCCGAGTACATCGCCTTGGGAAGCCGATCTATTTCGACCCCCCGGTACACCAGTACTCATGCTATCGTTTTATAGTTTTCGTACCTAATATAAGTTCCATTCTTGCGTAGAAACATCGATTTTATGGAGAAATTTTAAAAGTTCAAAATAATATTTCCGCCATTTTTATTGTTTTACTAGATGTACAACGCTCAACTTGAAACGAAACCATGGACTTTTTAATTTTAATTGAATGCGAGTACTGGTAGAGACATCTTTAAATCGACTATTTCACTAAAACTATGTAGGCTTTTTTTGCACACAGCCGCCAGTGTCCCCACCATTTGGTCACAGAAAGCAAAGTCTAAAAATAGTCAAGACAGCCTTATATTAGCCAGGAACTCTAAACTGTTTGAGTTCAGGAACATCTGCTTTGCTTTCAGTGTGGAGATACTGGCGCATGTGTTTTTGCATCAAACTTTTTGCTCAGTTCTTTCTATGTCTTCTATGGTCGTACTGGTTACTGATAAGTACGCTAATGAAAGCCCACTGACATGTTTTAAATGAAGACAAACCGGTTAATTAGATCACAGATTAGATGAAGAAAGACAAACAATTAAATTAGATGATCAAGACAGAGTGTAAACTTATGTATTTTTAACACTAGGTGGAGCTGCCATGACGTTTCAGATTGGCATTTGCCATCCTTCATCTGTACACCCATTTTTTTCAAAATACACAGTTACATGTAATACATTCTGATGATACACCATCCTATTTAATAATCATTCCTTTTATATTAAAGTCATTATTACATAATTTCTATCAATTGAATATAAAATATCGTTTGTTATGTAAGTATGTATTCTAAGAAAGAATAATATGTTCAGAGGAAAATAAAATATTTCATACAGAATTATCAATATCTATAATAAATGAGAAAAAACAACAACACTATCTTACTTTGTTGTAAAAATCATATATTTGACTTTGAAATACAATTATAATTTACTGAAATTATTGCATTTAAAAATGTGGAAATTACGTTGGGGAATAATGTCAAAATAATTAACAGGTGAAAATAACTTAAAAAAAACATATTATAATTTTATACCTTTTCCACCCCCACCCTCCAAAGTCTCCAAATGTCTAAACTTGGAGATGATTCCTAAGAGAAGACAAATATATTGTCTGTTAGTACAATACTGCAAATTTAATTTAGTATTTAATTTGGCAAAGCATCCCTTTAAAATTATTGATGACAATAATTTAGCTCATATTTGAGAAAACATATCTAAATACCATAGGATAGCATGGTAAACTAGGTTTTAATTAATGAACATCGAACATGACTGTATATTCACGCCTTCTATAAACTGTGAACAAAGTCAACATTTCACCCGGGGAATATTCGTGAAGAATATCCCTGGTAATACGAATAATGTGTGACGTCATAACAGCAGGCCGTAGTAATGGTGTATCATAAATGAATATTTGAAACATTTTGGTGAGTTTTCATGTTTGAATCATCATATAGATCTCATAGCAGGTGTAATATCATCGAATACACCCCTTAGGGCTAGGCACAAAAGCTTTCGAACAGAAAACGTTTAAGCCAAGCCCTGCGGGGTGTATTCAACGATATTACCCCTGCTCTTCGGTCTATATTCCTTAATTTAAAAATGACAATCATGAGAAAATTTGTGAATTGCCAATTTGCCAAAGTGGGTCCCCAATTAATTCACTTTACAGTATCCTCGCTCTGTTTCCCTTAAAGTGTTTTCAAAGTGGTGATGTCAAACATTAATCCTCATTCATGATTTCTTTGGATTGCCTGCTATAACACATGAACCAATTTTCCATTTAAATACATACAACATTTATCTTAAACAGCACTTGCAGTACTGACTATCACTGTACAAATTATAACAAGTACACATGCAAGGCTATAGTCTGGCATGGACATAGTCTTGTAGAATTAAGCCTCCCTCAATCTTGTATTATTAGTCCCGCCATTCCCATTTTCTGTATTTTTCTTGTGTTACACAATCCTGACTCTGGGAATAGTTGGGGGAGGGATATCAGTCTTTGTATCAATACCATGTAAGATTTGCACGTTCATTGAGAGATAAATATCACATACAGTGCTGATATTGTCAATTATAACATGTCCTGTACAATGTCACATAATGCTACGTCGCTTTCACAGCATGCCGCAATTCCTCAATGGTATCCTCTAAGTCTGTTTCTAAGGCTAATATCATTCCTGAAACACAAAAGATTAGTGAGAAATATACATGAATACAAAACGTTAATTAACACAAAACATATCCATGCTAATGGAAAGGAGTAGTAGGTACATGGAATCATAATTACAGTAAATCAGTCTATATAGGATTCAAAGACATAACATTGAAATAGCAATACTGTCAAAGTAAAGTACAAAAGTAGCCATAGAATAAGATATTGAATTTAAAATAAGTTAAAGGATGTAACTATCAAGGGCTTAGAAAACATTAAAAATGACTTTTTGAGGAATGACATCAATTTAATTCTTTTTTATTGACTAGATGGAGTATTATGCATTTTCGATTTCTAATTGAATGTCAAAGTGCTCTCATAACGAAAGTGAAAGCCCTCAGGCCCGTAGCCAGAATTTTCCAAGGGGGGGTTCACTTTTCCAAAAAATTCTAGGGGGGGTTCACTTTGGCAAATTTGGCCAAAAATCACTCAAAAAATAGTAAGAATGGTGAAAAACTGAATGATTTTGAAAGAAATTTTGGCCAGGGGGGGGGCTGGCCCTTCAGCAAAATTGAATTCAAAATCTGCAAGTGTAATATAATATTTGATGATATATTCACCTGTGTTGGCATTGGCATCTGCTACCAGAGTTACTATTAAAGGCAGTTTGTTCCAGTGTACAACCTGTAACACAAAAGGGTTTACCTTTATTTATCTGCATGTTATTGATTGTAAATGTATACAATGTATGTAAATGCAAAGGGTTATAAAAAAGTATGTGTTCAATTCTGAAAAAGTAAAAAATTATGATCTTATATTACTATGCCATTGAAGTCAGTCTTTTTCCTATCTTCAGGATAAGTTTTTATTGTGCCTGTCCATAATATGACAGATAAAAAGTATTTTATTATTTTTAACTTATTGAACACCCCTTAGTCGAGCGTAACATAACTAGTGAAATTCATTGTAAATTAATAAGATCCACTTTCTTACCTGGTGATTGTTATACATGCAGACCATAGATTTGTTCTGGCCTATACCTAGCTTGCTGGCCTGTTCTGTTACCATGCCAAAGGTTGCTAGGTAACTAGGACGCAGTGCCAGTTCTGGAGCACTCTCTGTAGCAACTGAAACATCGATTTAAAACATATTGTTCTGTTATGTCTCTGGGTAATTTCCAATTAAGGAAAATTCTCAGAAGCAATTGAAACATTGATTTATCACATTTATATTGATCTGTTACTATGCCAAAGGTTGCTAGGTGACTAGGATGCAAAGCAGTTTCGAAAACTCTGAAGCATAATTGTATGTTGCAACTTAACATCAATTTACTTATGTAGTTTTTCAATGCAAATTCCCACAGTTCTTTACCTTTTAGAACAGGCACCCCATCTCTATCTGTAATGATGATTGCATGAAGTCCATCTGTCCTGAAGTTACAAAATTGAGACATGTAATAATTAGACAAATGCCTGGAAAAAATGTTTGAAATACTTTTAGCACTTTTAGCACTTTTAATTGCAAAGGCAAAACGTAATTGAATGCAATTGAATTATTTCTGTCTTTAAATTGTTTAAAATGGCCGCCATATCAGACAAATACTAGTAATCAAAATAAATTTTCTAATAGAGAGATTTCGCACATACGTGAAAGTCAACTTATAACGTATACTTATACTTATAGGTAAAGGTACAAGGTGTTTCATAATGTGTGCTTTTTGTCAGGAAAGATCTTCTCGGACTGTAATAAATAAAGGTCAAAGGGATGCCATTTGTACTTTCTTGAATTGTAGCATGTTTAGTTGATCCAAATGTGTTTGTCTAGAATAAAATAGGCTCATATACGAGTACATATGTTATAGTACATATGTTATAGACCCATCTCTTCTAAAATTGGCTTTTTGGAGATGTTTGTTATGAAACACCCTGTATGTCATTTGTTGAGCTACTGAATGGATCGTTTCAAGTAATTGCTAGAACCTACTGGTTTGATTGGTGTTTCAAATTGATGTTTAAAGTATTTGATTGGATACTGTTCACACTCAGCCAATTAATTTTAAAAAATGCTTGCGGTCAATTGTTCCACACACATGTAGGTAAAGCTTTATACGGAGATCCAACTGTATACGTTTATCATCTCGTATATATACCGTTTTGTAAGTTCATTGAACTTATACTGATCATGAAAACTTTGAAATAATCAACTTGTTTATGTAATGACTCACTCTAAAGGATCATGAGTCACTTTAAAGGATCATGTTTATAATACACTACAACTACTAGGACACGGAAGCAAGCATTTAATTATAACTTTGCATAATCTACACGTGCAGATGAAAGTGCATTCACAGTCTCTGGTTGATGGAGCTTTTCTATATCGGGAATAGTTATCTTCCATTAAGTGCAATTTAAAATTGATTTTAGTAAATATAATAGTTCGACATGACCCTTTAAAGCATACGTATACGTATAAGTTGTACTTTCACCTATGTGCGAAATCTCTCTATTATCTGATTGGATTCACTTATAATATCAAAAAAACATCTCAAATATGTATATCTGAGTTTTGGCAAAAATCATGGATGAAACTATTCAATTTGTGTGCCAATGCGTGACCTTTGGAATACCATCATATTTCTTGTAGGCAGATTTGCCCTTTGTTTATTTAGTATGATGTAAACCACATCATTACTTCAAACTAAAACAACAACTAGGAACACCTGTTTTATACTTACATGCCAATTAACTTGAATAACCATTTCTTTAACTCCTACAAAAAAGAAAAATACATTATGTCCTGTACATATAAACCTGTATATTGTATATACAGGTTTATGTACATCAACTTTTTGATTCTGCTTCATTTCAAATACATGTTTGGCTCATTTGGAGGCATTGACAATTTTCTGTTCAAGTTCTCATTGTTTATGACAGATGGCTTAGATGTTTGCTTTGAGGATGGCCTCAGCTTTGGATCTGGAATTAATATGATTGCAGGTATATGAGTATTTTTATATTGTGCCATACCATCACAGGTTCTGGTCTTGCAGACCTCCCATAGAACCTCATATTATCTTCCGAGAACAGTATGGGCATAACCGAATGAGTTTACATCATTGCAGTTTCTTCAGTAGCAAAGTACATTACGAAGATACTAAACTTCACCTAGTAATGCTGGTACCCAAAGTTGATGGCGGATATTTATACCTCTACAATTTGAGACAGCTGGAACTTTTTGGCTTTGAGGGAAGGTTTAAAGGCTGGTGTTTAGAATCGATTAAGGTATAAAATACTTGTGTTGGCTTGAAGCCCCAGAGCCCCCTTGCTAGAGGCCTGTATGATTATACTTGTATAGTGTATTACATGAGTGTAGGGATATATTTTGAGTTGGTACGCCCACTCTTGTTTATATCAAGAGGAAGGAAACCCCCAGAGCTTTAGCGATGACAGACATATTACGTCTCCTGCGTATCACCTTCATTTGCGCAAATTCCCCAGTTAGTTTTCGAATATAACACGTCGTTGTGATGTTTTAATCGATGCATGGGCTTTCAACAGAGTCTAGTTGAAAGCCCATGATCGATGTAAGCATATTCCTTACATCTGTCTTTGTGATGTGAAATAACAAGCTATGATATTGGTTAACATGCCAGAAATCAACATAATATTATTAGAAGCGTTATTAGAAAATTTTGAATCCGCCACTTTTTTTGTAGATTTCGACCAATCAGGATGGTGGGTCTCAATACAGATTTACATCATAGACGTGCATGTACCGTATGTCATCTTTGAACCCTGGAGTTTCTCCCCTTTTTGTGTATAACTGTGTCCGAAACATTACTTACATGTAAGTCCATAGTCAGGTTCTAGATAAACTGCGATATTTAAACTTTATAAGAGTTCAGAGCTGCATAGAGGATTTGATTGAAAGTCAATAAATTTTTTTTTATTTTTTTCAAATATCTTTTGCAAACAGAGTCTTAAAACTTGTGAGATTTATTCTTAACAATTGTCATTGGCCATATATAAAAGCAAACATACCCAATACATGTCCCTACACTATATTCACCATGATTTATCAAGTATATATTGATTTATTTGCCTAAAAGTGAGTCAAAACAGAAACTTACATCCATCATCTCCACTTTTGAAGAGCTCTACAGTGTCACATGACGAGTCACATGATCAATAGTAAATATGGCGCAAGAAATGTTGTTGAAAGTGTTAATTTTGTCCGTTTTATTACGAGTGTCTGAGGTAAGTCGATTATGTATTTCTGTAAGCACTCAATTGATTTCGGAGGATCACTTCTTTGTTCACATTTTTGCGATTGAATTGTTAAAATCTGTCGCCTAAAATAATAGATAATGACCATCAAACTTTGGATAGAATTTTACTTGTCTTCCTGAGTTAGCCTAGTTCAACAAGTTAAACCCAATACCACGGCTTTCATTTATTAATCTGAATGTTCTTGTTGCCGTGATTGGGTTTAACTTCCGTGGTATGCTTTCATTTGTTGCAAATTCTCACTATCAGTTATTAATTAAACGCGCATGAAATTACTTATTAATTGACAACAATATAAAAACACATAACATCAAGCGATTCAACACAATATTATTGTATTAAATGATCATTTATACAAGTAAAATGAGGTTAAACTTACCAATCTCTAAAATGACATTCCGCATGTCCGTCATTGTGTCTGTTCGTCCCGGGTTAAAATTTAAACTATTGAAACGAAATTGTTGTCAAATAGATTGATAATTATCACGCGATTACTCGGGATATAAAGATCAATTTTGAGGATAACAGGTATCTTTGATTGATTTATGTAGCGCTTGTATACACGCAAATTAGTTATTAATTGCAAACCTACTGTTCGTTGATGCAGTGTCGCAATGACGGTCAATTCCTGAAACGATTTGCAATTTCGATGTTACCGGAACTGACCGACATTTTCGTAAAATTCCAAACCTGTCTCCAATATTTTCGTAATTATGCATCAATAGGGTCTAAGGGGGATACGGGATGGTGTGTATGTATTCATAAGGTATGTATGCATGCTTGAATCACATTCTTTATGTAATATTACCATGTTTTCAGTGTTAATTAGTTCCGCTGGTCGAAACCTGCGGAACGCGCAACAAGGGCAAAATGATCATGGAGGTTAGACCTAGCCGGGGCCATAAGACATGTCAGATAAGAAACGAGGCCCAGGCTAGGTCTAATGTTGTTGGACTAGAGTTAGCCTTGTCTTCAAGGCTATCCTGAGTGAAAGAATGAATTGAATTTGAGAGTAGAACATAGACTAAAGAGATAGACTAATAAACCAGCCACATAAAGTAACAAATGAAAATGAATAACTCTCACTTAAAAAGACATAACAGTAAAGCAAGTACTAATCATTGATTCATTAGTAATGAGAAACATTAGGTTTCACTTAAGTTTCATTTCTCAGAAGTTAATTTATACTTTCCTTTTAGTTAGATTACTTGAAGTTCAATAGCCATTTTTATTCTTTGCAATTTCTTTCAGTGTTTTTATTTTCTTAATATTCAGAATAAATTTTATCTTCTACCTATGGGTACCACTATGGGCCCATGATACCAATCACCTTCATAATTCTGGAAAAGAACAATATTACATGTAAGAGGTTATGTCACTATGACGTGAAATATGCCTTTCTCCCAATAAAGGCCGACCTTGTCCCTGATGCCCGTTCATTTTAAATTTTATTCTAAGTCCAAAAGTAGCACAAAATAAAACCCCAAATATCTTTACCCTTTATCATGATGACATATATCGGCTCTATATGTGGGCAAGAACAAAGGCATATTTCATGTGATAGTGACATAACTGATGTTTTACATAACTTTATTCCCATGGCAACTTTGTATCAGTGATGTCACATATATGTGAGCGAGTAGAATTTGATTGAAATGAAACATGACGTCGTGATATTGTCATGGTTATTAAAGAATCTAATATCAAAACGAGGTACTGGGGCAATATCGCTGGATATAGCCAACTATCTTTCCCATTGACTTTGATACAAATGCGTCGCTAGGTTTGTAAAACAAGATATGATTGCTAGCGTTTGATGGTTGTTGAGGTCAAATAACAATATGCTAGATGAGAGTATAAAGTCAAAGGCAAGCAGTTAAACCAGAAATATAAGAAATCTAAATAATATTGTGCAATAATATATAGAAAAATATATTCATATTGCACACGAATGACATTTGTATATGTTGGATTGCTTGTAAATTGGCTCATAAAGTCTGTAAGTGTAACCTCTTAATTTTGATGCTTCTCTACCATGTTAATTCTCAAAAAAATAACATGGCAGACAGACCTCAAATTACAAGAGGGCACGGGTTTATTGCACTAAACACTAAATAATCTGAAATATACAAATGTCATTCGTGTGCAATATGAATACATTTTTCTATATATTATGGTACAATGGTCTATAGATTTCTTAATTTTCAGGTTCAACTGCTTGCCTTTGAAGCAGTGTAACAGACTGTAGATATAAGCTTGATTTACGTCATTAAATATTCAAAATTCAATCAAAGTACATGTACTTGAAATCACAAGTAGAAGTACATCTAGAAATATGGTTTTGAAAATTGTTCATCAATTTTGGAAATTCAATTTTTGGAAAACATGACTTCTAGTTTGGGGAGATTCCCCATAGACCTCATGTTATAAAATCACAAAAAGTTAAATACCTTTTCCTGTATTGGACAGATAACATTTTCTTTTACTGGACATATCTTAATTTGCATAACTATTAGATACATAAGGGTGAACCACTAAATACATATACATAAATTGAACCACTAAAACAGATGAATATTAAGTTAAAGGAACCATCTACTATACCCTCCATGCTATCTGACCCAAACGAGACACCTGATGGTGAAGCTGGTAACTACCTACTTTCATCTGAGTCATTACACTACTCTTTCTTTTTGTGCTTGCTCCGACTAGTTTGGACAATCAGCTTATCGGCTGACACTATATTGTCCTTAAAATCACAGGTATTAAATTAAAGACACAGGAGTTGGATTGCACCTAGGTCAAAATGATAAAATTATATAGGATGAGTGAAATTGATTCGTTCCTAGGAGGGGATATACATATACATGTTGTATTCCCTTTCACAGTTACAACAAACTGGGTGTCGTCTTTGTATGTTGTGAATTACACAGTGGGGAAGAAAACAGTTCTCTGAAAAAATGATGATAATTATGTGACGGCAATAATAATGCACACTTAAATCTTTTTCAGGCTTACATACAATGTGGTGAATGGAATTGCTATGGTAAGTACTAAAATAAAACTACTATTGGAGATGAAGAAAAAATGAGAACCTCGCATTGAGTCAATGAGCTCCTTATTTGGAACATATTTTAAACACATTTAGTTCAGTGTCAGGTTTGTTTTGCAATTTATTCATAGTTTACACTTTCATAGTGGCTTGTTCCAGGTTTGTTTTGGTGATAAGTTACCATGGTTACTGATGTTAAAGTGATATAGCCTTCGTTTATTACTCTGTACCTCAACATTTCACATTTGTTTTATTCTGAAAAATCAGGTATCTAATTTTGTAAACTCCAGTTCGATTGATAAATTATGGTAAATAATCCCCCTTGGTATAAAACTCTTTGCATGCATACGTTTTTTTGTCATGCTGTTGTTTCTAGATTATACTTACATGTATTTTTGTTTTTAGGTAATGCCTATTGTTGTACATATGATCCTGGCCAGTGCTGCTTCTATGTATGGAGTCTTTGGTGTAAGTTTGAAACATTAAATAATGGAAGCTTCCTTTGATTTGGCTAATGAGAGAAAATGATAAACGTGCACAGTATAACCATTATAGTGTAGTATATGGTACAAGTCTCGTATGTCATTAGAATTCTTTTTTTTAATTGACCCAATTGATCCTTGAAGACAGGACTTTCCAAATAGAGTGGTTCCTATCTATCTGATAGATTTGATTGTACTGTTAACTTACTGTAACTGTTACTGTTAAGGATTTATAAAAACATATCTGTGTGAAGCAAAAGATAAATATAATTCTTTAGTATTGAGTTTTCTCTGGGCTCTGTTAATCTTATTCCCTTGCAAAAATGTAGAAATAGCATCTAAGCTATATTTAAGATCATTTGAATCAAAACTGTAAATCTTCTGTAAAAATCAGAGGGTAATACAGCTAGCCATTTATGTCTCAGGGTATTCTGGAATATTTATATTCTGGCTATAAGGAACGTATATTAATTTCACTTTCAATCCTTCATAAAATACCACCAAGGCTTCATTTCAGTTCATTCAGATTTTTCAGTATCAACTGTGATAGAGGGTCAATGTAGTATTCTTACAATTTACAGGGTTCTGGTGTCTTTGGATCCTTCTCTTTACCTTCTGTGCCAGTTGCGGCTATTGTTGCTATCGACGACGCAGATTAGCACCCGACTATGTCATAATTCAACAACCGCAACAGCCTGTATATGGAACTGTTGTACCATCTACAGGGTATGAAGCTGGAGTAGCAGCCACACCACAGGTTAGTACAGATTGTTGACCTCCGCAGAGGTGAACTGGATAAATTGTATACTTCAATTCAATGCAATACATCATCGTTTTAATACCAGAACATTATTACATGTTTCTTTTTGTGATGTGTTGAGTTTTCATTTTTTGATGTCGTTAAATGTGGATGACGGGTAACTTGGTAAAACTTGTAAAACACAAATCTGAGGAAATCTATATACTGAGTTAATACAGATTGTTGACCTCCGCAGGGGTGAACTGGATAAATTGTATACTTCAATACATCTTCGTTTCACAACTAGAACATTAATTAATGTGTCTTTTTCTGATGTGTTGAATTTTCCATTTTTAATGTCTTTGGGTATGGTTAAATGTGAAAAAATCAAATCTGGTGGAAACTCTAGATTTTGTCTTGTAAGATAACAGTTTATCAAAACATATAGTTTTATCATGTTAAATGAAGGTTATAACAGAACATAAAGTGCATTACATGTACTTTAGTACATGAGTGTTGATGGTAGACTGAGATATGTATTTGTTTATAAAGTTGAATGGAGACCTAAAGGCCTTGTATTTAGGGATGGGGGGATTTGGACTATAGGATGAAACATTTAGAAATATAGACGAATGACATTAGGCATAACTCCAGCATATTATTCCCATCCTTTACATGTTCATTGATAAAACCAGTATCTTAAGAGGTCACAATGAATTGAATCACTTCCTCGTTGAGATGTTTACTTCTTTGTAAGATATTTACTTTGTATAGGCCTATAAATAAACTCCTCAAATAAGAGACAATTTTAAACCAGTTCATATAACCAGTCAGGAAAACTCATATTATAAGGCAGTGAAAGCTCCAATAGAGAGAATTAAGGCCAGGGTGCATGTTGGATTTTTTTTGCAATTTTGAAAAGTAAACAATTGAATATTCTAGTTATTCAAACATTCTTAAGAATTATCAACCCTCAATTAATAGTCTAGGTACACTAATGCATCTTTTGTGCAAGAATGAAAGATGTAGATGATGTATGGAATGAGTTATGTTTATTTGAAAATAGCAGATGGTCATGAAATTTCAAGTGCACCCTGACCTTAAGATTCAAAACTGTAAACTCATGTGAATAGTCAGAGGGAAGTGTAGTCAAGGCATGCTGGTTCAGAGTAAAACTAAGAAGTGTTTAATTTATAATGTGACAGTTTAATATGTCATATGACAGATTGATATATCATGTGACAATGATGATATCCTTTGTTTAGTTGAAGTACTGTCATCAGTGGCGCCATCTTAACTTAACTTAACAGTTGATTCCCATTGGATTGTAGGTAAATCAGGTATTCAATAAGAAGTGGCGCCATCTTAATTTTGATTTGGTTAATTTTTCCTGTTGTATTGATATGAGTTTTGCCAAGTCTACAGCTGATAGGGCATCCATACTATAAAAGGGGTTTTCGTTGTTTGAGTGGAATAAAACTGACATAATTCTTACATTGTCACCCTGAACATAGAGTTTGCATGCTTGTCTACATCCTCCGACCACAGGGCTTCAAAATCCAGAATATATTCTTCCTTTTTACCCCCTGCGATAAGCAGTTAGCATTCTCCCAATTAAGAACCCACAATCTGATTGGCTGTCGCAACAGTGCGACAGAAATCATGTATAAGTCATCGGCGCATAATTAGATCACATGATTCAGTTTAATGGGGCGCTTCCAAATTGGTTATAGCAGGGGGAAGAAGGAGGTATGGATTCTGGATACCTGCTTAGGAGGATGGCTTGTTTACATCTAGTCTATTGTTAAAAAAGTTGATTTACGGACCATAATCATAATCATGTTATTTTCATATTCTATAAAAGCTTAATCTGAACACTTCCGAGATCAACCAAAAGTGTTAAGTTAATGGGAGGTAAAAAAATTGGGATTGAAGAAAAGTACCCCCATAAATGTGGGGTTATTTTGAGTTTTTTTTTTGATATTTAGGACATTTGTTTCTCAAAATAACCCCATTTGAGGAACAAATGTCCTAAATATCAAAAAAACTCAAAATAACCCCACATTTATGGGGGTAGAAGAAAAGGTGTTCTCATTGAGTGGTTTTTCGGATTAGAAAGCTTGGATATACAAGTTTTACTGCACATGTTGAAATATTCAGTAAGTCTAAAGTAAAACTTTATCAAGCTCACGAAATATTTGAAGAATCAGAAAACTTGTGGAAACTCTAAATTCATTCATGTACCATTATCAAGAATATCGAATTTCTAATTTTTCATTTCTTTATTTTCAGAAACCACCAGAGTATATGCAAAAACCCCCTCCCTACAACCAGCAGCATCAACCAGCTGGCGCTTACAACCCAGCATAAACCAGCAATTACAACCAGCTAGTACTATTACAACCCTGCAAATAACTATGCATAGGACGAAAACTTAGAATATACACAATTAATTTTATCACTTATCAATACAAAAATACTATTTGTGATAGCAGGCAATGGTAGAGGGACATCTCAATATATTGATTTTGATGACGCTACAAAATATAATATACTTTATCCATTTGACGTAGTAAAAGACATTGATGAACATTGACATACTGACATTGTGACTCAGCTTTGTCTCATTGCTATGACGATTGATATTTAAATTTGTATTATATGAAGAGCAAGTCACACTGTGATTAGATGTTTATGCTATGGTTAGGAAGTATCAAAATTCAAACAATCAAATATGGCTTAGAATTGTGTCTTCAAGGTAAATATAGCATGTATGGAGGTTTGTTATATAGCTATTTGAAATTCATATCATAAGTATGTGATATCACATTATTTTGGGTGATATCATTGATAAACAAGTTAATATCATATGAGGGAACCCCCCCTGGCCAAAAAATCTTTCAAAATCATGCAGTTTTTCACCATTCTGAGCACTTTTTAAATGATTTTGGCCATTTTTGGACCAAAATTGTCACAAGTGAATTGTCACCTGGAAGTTTTCAAAAAGTGAACCCCCTTGGCAAATCCTGGCTACGGGCCTGTGTTTCACAAATAGGAAGTGTTCTTAGAAGGTTCAATTAACATTAAGTCAATGGACCTTCTAAGACATTAGTCACTGGACTGTGAATTGTATTCACTTACATTCATACTCGCATGTAAGTTGTACATTCATCCTATCATAAATTCAGATTACAAAGAAGTCTAAAATCCTGCACAATATTTTAAATACCTGTATATATGAGTATATAATGAAATAATTGTTTTTTCAGATTCAGATTCAGATATTTATTACTATTTTAAAAATTATATATGACATTCAATACAACATGACGCTCTCAAGAGCATATATGTTGGTTTTAACTGGACAGAAATGGGTCAGTGACGCCAACAGGTAAGACAAATAAAAATGGAGTGGAGAAATACCTGAGAATGACACTGGCCCAAGTCTGTTGGAAATCATTTCAAAAATGTAAAAAATATTAACACTCGGGGACAGAGACACAGGACACGAGAACTGGTAATTGCTGCTAAGTTTATAATATGTATATATATAAGTTGATAAGACAAAATGTGGCAGAGTACAGATTTTCAATAGTAAAGACATTTTCAAATCTTTAAAACTATAAAGGTATGTCATTTAGTTTATTTTGTTTGAACAAAGACTTAAAAATTGAGAGTGAGGCTGCTTGTCGAATATGATGAGATATAGAATTCCAGATTTGCTGACCTTGAACTTTCAGTGAATAAAGGCCAATATTTGTTTTGAACTTGAAGGCATGGATATCATGTGAATGTCTAGTTTGATACCGATGAATGTCAACATTTAACGTAAAACAGTTTTCAAAAATCTTGCGGTGGACTAATATATTGTTATACCAGCAATAAACAAATATTCCAACATTTAATTGATAGATATCATGCATTGGAAGTATTCTAAATTGTTTGAATAGTGGAGCCGAGTGCTCAAACCTGTCTTTTCCTGCCATGAGACGAAGGTATGATTTTTGTAATTTGAGTAGTTTATCCAAAGCTGAATATGTTAGGTATTCATTCAAGATGCTTATTAAGGTGGGAAGAGTAAGAGACCTTTGGACTTCAATTGCCCTTACTCCTCCATTACCAGACCTACCTTAGCCATGATGGAAAGGGTTTTGTGTATAATTGGTAGCTAGTCAATGTAATATTATTTGATTCAATTTTGATGTATTTTATAAATGTAACAAATGCTAACTTTGAAAATATTGTATGTACTCTATGTTTGTAAAATCTTTTGGTGAGTTTTTGTAAATTTTGCGTCAATGATTTTAAGCTGTGCCAAACGAATGACTCAATAGAGATTAATGAAAAATATAAGCTGTATTACTGGAGTTACACTTAATGTTTGAACTACATGTATATATGCGGATATAACCAGAGATGAATGACAATAAATTCTAATATTTTATTCTATATTTCAATTGTACGTAAATGAGTGTAAAAAGAGTGGGGGCTAATCATTCAATTGTTTTGGATGACCAGTGGCTCTTTTTATTTTTTTCCAAAAATGAGCTAGGGTAAGTAAGAACGTCAGAGCAGCGATATGGCTTGATTCATATATAAAGAGGGCAGCACAGGTCTGGAATATCTATACGTAACAAAAGAATTTGGAGGAAGGGGGTGATATTTTGAAAATGTACCAAGCAAACATCATCAATTTTAATATTAAAGAGGCTACTAAGATGAGAAATGAATTGATTTTTATTACATCCTTTGGTATTGTTTTATATTAATATTTTTACTCATAAAATCCTACTTCAAAAAGTTTGGTGACCAAAATTAGACTGAAAACAATGGAGAGCAAATTTTCGCAATGGGAAAACAACATGCTGTTTTGAGTGAATATCATTTCAATATGAACTTCCCTTTTGAAAGGTACTCACATAGTGCAGGAGAAACTTTAGATAAGATAAAAATGAGAAATGGTCCTCTTTCTAAAAAATAAGTCGGACATTTCAAAATGTGGCAAGATGGGAGCTAAACAATGGTTTTCTGGACTGAGTTAGATTGATTAGATTTTATTACTGTATCCCGGGGTGTCATTTACAAAACTTCATAGAATTAAGAATTCTTTAATCAATTGTTGGAACCGTTTGTATGAAATCATATTTAAAAGAGAACAATGGACTTCAGGAATTCTCAACTTTACATTGTTTCTGTTAAATGGTCTGCTGATAACTTTACTTCAATATGAAAATTGTTGTCTTCATGGTCAGAATGTAGCCATGGTCAGAATGTAGTCATGGTCAAAATGTAGCCATAGTCGGCATGTAGCCATGGTCAGAATGTAGACATGGTCAGAATGTAGCCATGGTCAGAATGTAGTCATGGTCAGAATGTAGCCATGGTCAGAATGTAGTCATGGTCAAAATGTAGCCATAGTCGGCATGTAGCCATGGTCAGAATGTAGACATGGTCAGAATGTAGCCATGGTCAGAATGTAGTCATGGTCGGAATGTAGCCATGGTCAGAATATAGTCATGGTCGGAATGTAGCCAGGGTCAGATTGTACCCATGGTCAGAATGTAGCCAGGGTCAGATTGTACCCATGGTCAGAATATAGTCATGGTCAAAATGTAACCATAGTCAGATTGTAGCCATGGTCAGAATGTAGCCATGATCAGAATATAGTCATGGTCAGAATGTAGCCATGATCAGAATATAGTCATGGTCAGAATGTAGCCATGGTCACAATGTAGTCATGGTCATGTATATGACTGTCTTATATCATTTACCATATCATACCTGGTCTGTTTTAGTGCAATGTAAAATACTCCAGTTGTTATTAATGAATTGCTATATCTAGTTGCATTTATAAATATGAAGCACATAAAATGACCTATGATTTTGATTCATTTCATGTCAAGATTGCGACATTAGATCTCAACTAGAGAGAACGTGTGTACAACGTTGAATGAGTCATTCTATTAATCAACTCACCACTTATAAAAGCACTATCAAAATATCCAAGTCATATCAGGATCTAGGCCTGTATTGATAAACAAGTAGAAATAGCTGTACTGTACCATAGTAATATCATTTAATATATTGTCTCAATTGTTAGCATTTGGTATTTTATTTAAGTTTTCAAAGAGCATCATCTCCAAACATATTTATCTTGTTGATAGTGTATTAATACCCAATTCAAAACCAAGTGTACTTCCAGATTGTAAAATCCTTATATTTTAGCGTGAGGATTATAAACTGACAATTGGATTCAATTGCATTGGATAACTTTCATATCTGCCATTGGATATAGATTAAAGATAGTCCTACAGAGGAGACATGGAGAAATCAGAAACGCAAGACGTAGATAACTGGATTAAGAAACTACAAGAGTTTAAACAGCTCAGTGAAAATGAACTTAAATCATTATGTGAAAAGGTATAGTAACTCCTATTTATATCTATGACACGCTGAAATAAAATATAGTTTTTTGTAGCTTAAATATTATTTTTTATATATATCATCATTCTTGTTTATATTGTAAACAAAAGTTGCCAAAAACATGATTTGGGAATGGTAGTGCTTTCAGTTTAGTGCTCTAAGCCTTAGTCCTCCACAATTACTGGCATTTACATGAATTTATTATGCAAATAAAAACTGTTACCTTCAAACATTAACATTATATTTTACTTTTTTTCAGGCAAGAGAAGTACTAAGTGCTGAATCCAATGTAAAAGTAGTTCAAAGTCCTGTCACAGTTTGCGGGGATATTCATGGACAATTGTACGATCTTTTAGAACTTTTTAAAATTGGTGGATCAATACCAGATACGAACTATTTATTTTTAGGTGATTATGTTGATCGAGGTTATTATTCTGTAGAAACTGTTTCACTTTTATTAGCACTTAAGGTAAGTTTAAAAGTTTTTATTGTTAAGCTATTTTCATTTTGTAACAGTTTTAATGTTTAAAAGTACTTTATTTGGACACTTTTGGAAAACCTATAAGTACTCTAAAGGTGAGATATTAGTCATTAAGGTTGCAAAACTTGTGGATTGCTCTTTTGATTTGTGTGCAATTAAGTTCTTAGTTGGAATTACCATTATGAATAGTGTTTCTACAATAGAAAAAAGAAGGATGTTCAAACTCTACGTGGAATTTCATGTTTTGTAGTGATGCTTGTAGTTCCCTGTTTTTCATTTATGCTTTATTTATTGAGACCAAAATGGAGTAACAAATTCTGTACATATCTTTATAATTTCCATTACTAGTATTCTCTTGGAGTGGGACTATGATAACACTTTATTTGTATAACATTTGTACAGTTCAAAGTTTGACATTGGCGTCATTGTTATAAATCAAAGAGATAACTTTTAGAAGTACACGTACCATCGAGGTACAACGATTGAGTAGATATCCAACCAATAACATTAAACTCTTCTGCCAAGCCTTTATGACCCCTCCCCCCCTTACACAGTTCACACCTTACCTTAACAAGGAAGTAGGTAGGGAGGGGGTACAGAGACCTGGAGACTTGATGTAAAATAAATAAAACTTTACCTTCAATACAATTATCATTTTTATTACAAATACAACTGACCTTTAGAATATAAATGTGTGACCTTGTATGACCTTGACCCTTAAGAGCTCTTAGGAAATTTCATGAGATATTAACCATTGACCATTTTAACTTTATGATGTTGAAGATGTGGCGCTTAATCGATAAGCCTGAGAGATAAGGTCAACATTTGAATAATAGGGAGTTTAAGCTTGCATATACAATGCCAACCACGTATGGCCAATCGCTCATACAAATGCATCGCTTAAACAACCTGCATTTACCTTCAGGTTGTGAAAAACAGTGCAAGCTTAAACTCCCTATTGTCTAAAAATTAACTACCGTATATCAGAGTGCATTACAAAACAATGGACTTTCCCCTACCCAATTAATTAATTATGCAGTACACAGTGATACAATGGCCTTTTACCTAATACTATAGCAACTTTATTTTGCAGGTTAGATTTAGAGATAGAATTACAATTCTTCGAGGAAACCACGAAAGTCGGCAAATATCACAAGTTTATGGTTTTTATGATGAATGCTTACGGAAATATGGAAGTCCCAATGCTTGGACTTTATTTACAGATCTGTTTGACTATTTGCCTATAACTGCCCTCATAGAAGATAAGGTATGTCTGCTTTACTTTGATTTTATTCTTTTATATGGCTTATAGGTGTTTTGGATTTGGGAACCTTATTTCAATATGACAATACAATACATGGTACTTACCTAAAATGAATTTTTAAGCATGGGATTTAAAAACTATAGTAATCAAGAAATATGAAGCATTTACTAATCCACAAATATATCACAATTTTGTAATTTAGAAACATGATATAATTAATAAATATATTATATATTTGTGCCTATGCTTCATATTGAAGTAAACTAGTGCATTATTTCACATACAATGAATGGGTTCCTAAGCTTAAATTTTATATAATTGGTGAATATGAGACAATCATGAGTTCAATGTATTAATTTACCCCTCATTTGAGAAATAACAGATATTTAAAACTGTCCCTCCGACAAGCATGACGACATGCAACTCGCATAAAATATTTTTATATATTGTTGTCTTTCAGATATTCTGTATGCATGGTGGTCTATCTCCATCTATTGATACAATTGATCATGTAAGGATACTAGACAGAATACAAGAGGTGCCACATGAGGTATGTATTAAACAAAACAATAGTCTATAAAATTTTGGGGATCTCATGTCAATCAAATCAGAATTACCTCATATTCCGAGAGGACTTTTACTCAGGGTCGAAGTAAGGTGTGAGAATAATGTAAAAAATGACTTGGTGAGCTGGATGGAATTTCTGTGTATTTTCATTCTATTGGGGTATCTTCCACAAGATTTATTAAATTTATTTAAAATTTCATTTATTTAATCCATGCATTTTTGGGCCCATCAGGCCTTAAAAGCTATTGTCTCCTAACTCACTGTTTTACTCATTGTTTCCTAACTCACTGTTTTACTCATTGTTTGTTACTTACCCTCTTATGGTTGTTAACTACTTGTTTTTTACTCATTGTAATGTTTGCCAACTCACTATTTTACTCACTGTTTTGCTCATTGCTTCACATCACTGTTTCAGGGTCCCATGGCAGACATAATCTGGTCAGATCCGGATGAGAGAGGAGGATGGGGCATTAGCAATAGGGGGTGTGGCTATACATTTGGGCAGGACATCTCAGAAGTATTCAATCATAGCAATGGTCTTAGCTTTGTTGCAAGGGCCCACCAGTTATGTATGGAGGTAGGAAACATTTCTTTCTAAGATTTCTTATTTGTATTATGTATCATGGTTTATGTATAGTTTTAATTCTTAAAACGGATCTTAATGACAACAAAAAGTAGCCACAATGGCAATAATGAGAGATTAAACATGAAATAGATGCCAGCTACTTTCAGAGATATATAAGTAATAGGTCAACGATTTCTATAAAAAAAATCAGGAAAAAATCAAGGTTACGAAAATTTAATTGACAATTCCAATAAAACAGGAGACAAAATAGATTGCTAAAAATGAATTGGGAGAAAAATCAGGATTCTCTGATAATCATTGGAAAAAAAAGTTGGGAGTCTTTAACAAAAAATGGGGTACCTTATTGAAAAATCTAGAGTTTTTAATGAAAAAATCTGTGAATTATATGAAACACTGTTATAATATTTTCACAAAATCTACTTTTATGTATTTTCAGGGTTATAACTGGTGCCATGAAAAGAATGTTGTGACGATATTTAGTGCCCCTAACTATACATACCGCTGTGGTAATGAAGGAGCTTTCATGGAGTTGGATGATTCAATGAACCACACATTGTAAGTTACAGAAGGCATACTGTAAATTGTTTTTATTTGGCAATCACTTTAATTTAGCGATTCAATGAACCACACATTGTAAGTCAAAGAAGGCATACTGTAAATTGTTTTTATTTACTGTAAATTGTTTTTATTTGGCAATCACTTTAATTTAGCGATTCACCAATATCTGTGCTCGAGATTGCGTAATCCTCAAACACCACTTAAATCTGTCAGTTTTTGGTGTTTTAAGAGACTGTCACAAAAATCAATTGTGTAAACAGTGTCAATATATAGAAAATGGTTGACGTGACAACAATATATAGAAGAAAAATGGTGGATGTGACAAATAAGCTCAATTTACAGTACTAGTATTTTATATGAGGGCAACATGTGCAGTAATGTAAATAATGTAAACTTGGATATCAACATAAAATGCATACTATCTACCAAATACATACTGTACCTTGTACCTCTGCAAAGAACTTAAAATAAGCTAACGGTTTTAAACATAACAAATCACACTGCACACTTTTTAGAATTGCCCCGAGTTTACTTCCATCATTTAAAAAAAAAATGTGTTTTTGATTTCAGTGTTCAGTATGATCCTGCTCCAAGAATTGATGAGCCCAAAATGGTTAAAAGGACTCCGGATTATTTTTTATAGACTTCATAGTATTTCACATGCAGAACCAAAGTCAGGATTCAGGAATGGACGAAGGATGCTTATCAAAAGAGGATACCATACTTCTCTAAGACATAAATATTCAGAAATCAACAAATATATTTTTGTAAAAAACAGTACAGTGGCAGTTTCTGTTGATTGACCAGTGGTAAATGTTTACAATTTATTCTAGTGACACATTTTATTGGGGGGGGGGGGCATGTTGACCTCCCAGTGCCCTCTTTCATTCTTTTGCATACACTTGTGCTACGATTGTATGAGACAGACCTTCAATGGTAAGGTATAGAACATTCAGTGGAAGACAAATTATTTAACATTTTCATTAACAGCAGTACTCAATGAATTGGAAGAGTAACAATGAAAGTCATATTTTAAGGCGGCATTATCGGACTGTCATTTTAGACAAGCTGAATCGACAGCGTATGTAAAATGTAATGTACATGTATAGTTTAGCAGAACTCTGACTAATAGCAGTACCTGACTTACTGACTTATATATGTTGCTATAGATTTTAAATATATTTATATATTAAACCTATTATGTTTTAAACAACAATATTCTTTTCCTTTATGAACCTGGAGTTGTAAAATGTGGAAGGCTTTAAAAATCATTTCTGACAAAAGGCAATATGATGTAAATTAACAAAAAATGTTGAATTTAAATTATAACATGATTGCAAAATATCATGAAATGTCAGCATTGTTTTCCCTATATTGCCTGCATGCAGCTGACACCCCCCCAGTATGTAACTATATGGATCAAATGATAAATAAAATGGTATTAATGAGAAGATGCAAAGGTGAAATCATAAGCAATTTTCTCTTGAAAATGTCACAAATCTCAACAGTTGTTTTGATGAATTTTGCATTTTGTTCAAGTGATTTTAGTCTGTTTGATATCAGTTATACATTTTCTTCCAAGTTAGGTTCCCAGGATAACAAAAAAAAAAAATCTTAAATAATTTCTGAAGAGAGGATCTTGTTTTCCTCATTTCTTATAGATGATAGTCAAAATGAGAAATGCTAATGGAACCTCTAATCATAACAGATGTTATAAATACATTTTAGTTCAAATTAACATCCAAAGGACTATACATTTAGGACTCTCAAGACATTTGTGAATCAAGGATTGATCACAATTCATGGACTAATAGCAGATTTTGATGCGTTCCTTTTGACCTCTTGAATCCCAGGTTTTAGGAAACCAGAAAAATTTTCATTTCTGCCAGCTTTTGACATTTTATTACATACATAACGAGTGATGCCCAATTTAGTGAAATTAGTTGGTAGAGATCATTTTAATCTACACATTTTAAAATGTATTTTGCGTAAATTGGATAAAAATTGTTCAATTTAGAGCAGTTTTAATAACAAATTTTGTAACAGATTATCTTGTCACTGGGTTTCAAGGTCATTTCTAAGGTGACAAGAAATCTTGTCATTCTGGCTAGTCAAAAGGTTGCATTCATACAGTTGGTGACAAGACATCTATTAGGGCCAAGATGGACAGATAACATGTGCCTCTTTAAGTCAAGTAACATGTATGTAAAACTTTTCTGGCCTATTATTAATTAAAATTATAAAATTAAAAAATATGTATAATTGGTTAAGTTATTGGAAAAAGTTAGCCTTGTATTACTAATATTATACCTTAGGTAATGGCTCATATGCGTCCCACTTTGAGACAAGGTGAAGTTTTGAGACACCATTCATCGGGGGCCATGAATTCGTTGAATTTGTAAAATCCTGGGATTTAGGGGGGAATCCCAAAGATTTATCTAAATAACATTGGAATTTGGATAAAATTTATCCAAAAATCAATCAACCTAGATGAGATTTGGATAAAATTTATCCTAAAGATCGTACAAATTCACCAATGTTCGGATAAATTCCAAGATTAATCCCACAATGCATCATAACCATGATGAAATCTATCATCGGATCACAGATCGTATGAGTTCACGGCCCCAGACATCCGAAGACTTTATAAAGACACATTTTAAAAGTAACACCAAAACACATACACAGTGCAATCTATTTGTTGACAGACTGAAGAACAGACAAATTGGCGATTACAGTAGCTCAGAGGATCTGTCCGGCCATTAGGGATGTTTTACACAAGGTTCACCTGTTTTATTTACGATGACTCCAGTAAGGCTTAAGACTCTCCTCGATTCATTTACCTTGAGCACCATCAAACACAAAAAACTAAATCCACTTCCAATATAATTTATTGGGTATCAGCCACAGTTGTACTGTTTGTACATGAAAGCTTCTTATTCATTTTTTCACATTATTTAAAAGTTCATATCTTCAGAGTCCTCCACTACCTGGACTGGGCAAGTGTGACCTGCCACACTCTAATAAGGTTATCTGTGTACCCAGCGAATAGAGTCTGTCCATCAGCTGACCAGGCGAGACTGGTGCATTGTGGGGCTACCTTGGTTGCTGTGCTGATTACTTCATGCTTCAGCTCATCTACTACAGTTTTGCCTTCAAGATCCTGGAAGGAAAACAAGAGATTGATTTCTTCTAAAGTCAGCTTTTTTATTTGGGCTATCTGTGTTTACCTTGGGGTTGCATCAAAACATCAACTTTTTGCCATTTAATGAAGCCTAAAATCCCCATCCCTCATTTACTGAAACTATCTTACACTGAAGTCACATTATCAATGTTACCCCTTCCCTTTATTAGTCTTGTGGAAAAAGGTTGCACTGATATGTGATCTGGCCCCCAAAATGTTTTGAGTGACACTTTATCATCTATGTTTCCCAGATTGAAATGACTGCTTATGCAGATTCAGTGGTAATAAAATGAACGTAAAATGAAATATGTGCCTCATATTTGCAGGAGTGATTTCATGGTTACTCATAAGCTAATACATGTGAATTAGTATAATCATAGGCACCAAAAATATATTTTGCAGAGTAAAATAAACAGGAACTTGTGATGCATAAGGGGCATCTATGTTCTCCTAGCTAATTGATATGATAACTTGCATGCTCAATTAATCACATAAGAATACAATTTTAATTTTGACTATCAAACCTCAAAAAATATTTTTTCAATATCTCAGAATATTTCTCAGAAATGAAAGTTCCCATTTCAACCATTTGCCCCTAAGCTGTTAACACATATCTTATCAACACATTACCTAATCTTAGGCATTTTTCTGTGTGAGATAACTTACCCAGACTTTGATGCTTGAGCCAGAGGCAGCACAGAGCCAGTATCTATTGGGGCTGAAGGTAAGAGCGTTGATTTCATTGCCACCATCCAGGGTGTATAGATGTTTGCCCTCATTCAAGTCCCACAGAATGGCCAGACCATCCTAAAAATATAAAACAACATTTTCATTCAAACTGGAATGCATCTGGGTATCTCAAAGAAAACATTCACTTCCATTTGCCTCATATTTGCAGGAGTGATTTCATGGTTACTCATAAGCTAATACATGTGAAATAGTATAATCATAGGCAAAACAATGTTTGTGTATATTTTCTTAATCGTGATCAATAAAATTGCATTATCAAAAAAGATAAAATACCTGTCAAATATTGGGTAAATATCTGAATTGTATATAGACTTTACAGGATGTGCATAAGCAATATGACCATTCTCGTTTGAAATGCTTGTTATGTTTATATCTTGATAGAAAACAAACTTACTTTGCCACCTGAGGCACATAGAGAGCCATCTGGGGAGACTGTCACATTGTTTAGGTATCCAGTGTGTCCAATGTGGTTGGTCTTGAGCTTGCAGTTGGTCAGGTTCCACACCTATAGAATATAGAAAATATAATAGTAAAAAGAATTTCATTATCTAAAGCACATAGGAACTTGTGTCAATGTGGGCTGTATGTACAGTCGAAATGTTGAGACATGCGCAGACCTCTATTTAGCGATATTTTCATTTCAAATATGGCGGCCAATCCGATGTCTGACGACCCTTACAAAGAATCTAGGCAGTGTGCATTTTTACTTCCTGTGAAATAACAAGTGGCATTTAGTAGTTGTTTTGTGTTTTATTATCATTCTGCATCGTAATTCTATGTGATGTGGTGTTGAAATGTCAGCAGAAATACATATCCATACGATAATCGAGTGAATCAGATAACAGATTTTTCGAAAACCCGTGCTAAGCGTGTAAAAACTTGTATTAACATGCTCAAAAGTGTCAATGTGCACATCAATGTCAAGCTAAATCAATGTTGTGTCGAAAACAGGTACCCGATCTACTCAAAACAGCTTGTCATTCATGTATACACGCTTAGCAAACACGGCGAAATGATCTGAATCTTGGAATTTCGTTCGAGAGCTAGTAATGTTTGCTCCGGTCTTCGTCATAAGTGTTTATCAGACTTCACGCATGCTCAGGAGAAAAACCATCAACCAATAACGTTTATAAATCAATTTTGCGCATACGCCTTACAACGGTAAAGAAATTCGTATTTATAAACGAACCAATTTGAGATAACCCGGTATCAGTCGGAGAAATCTGACGATCTACGAAACTCACTTCAAAAAATCAAATGCGGACTGACGGCGTATTCTACTATGTTTGGATCTAAGATTTTCAGTATAGATAAAGTCTTTTATGATCTTTCGAATGAGGTAAGTCTCTAGTTCGAAAGACAATCGTATCAACTTGAACAAAAGTTGAGTTTTGACGAAAAATTTTAACATGCGCAGAAGTCCCATTTTCGTTATACCATATTGACTGTGTAGCCAAATAAATTATGTGATTTAACTAACATAATGTGTTACTGGACTCAAGAATTCTAAAACATCTTCATTCTATACAACAAAATCTTTACCATATATTTATCGATGCCTCATATTTGCAGGAGTGATTTCATGGTAACTCATAAGCTAATACATGTGAAATAGTATAATCATAGGCATCCAAAGCAATAACATTTCAGTCCTTGCTTACATGTAATAAGGTGATCTCACAGCCACCGAAGCAAAAGTCTGTAACATCCAGTACAGATTATGAAAAAAGGCTACCATCATTTTAAATCTATTAACATCATCATGAAAAATCAGCATTGTGAAAACAAAAATTTGGTGCCCACTTGTGAAAAGTCTGAGAACAGTGAGTAGTTTTTATCCATACCTTAACCAGTTTATCCCATCCACAGGAAACAATAACTGGCACGATTGTGTTGGGGGAGAATCGGACACATGACACCCACTCACTATGGCTTTCATCCTGTAATAGAAACACACACATATTTAAGTGGGTTGTATGGGAGAGTTGATACAATGGTTAGGTTAGCATAAAAATTAATAAATTATGCTTCCTACGAACTATTTCAACAGCATTGGTCTTTATTTGTCCGATAGAGTATGAAGGAGTGCGGAAAACAGTTGTATAATAGGGTTCTCCACACTTAACCTCCCTATTAACATGTGTTGACCCACTGGAGGCCGGCAACATAATACAACCAGAACAACGGCAACGCCAAAGCGTAGCGAATCCCATCGAACATTTTTCAAAAGGGGCACCTTCTACCAAAAGTGTCATTAGACAGTGTGCCATGGTTATAATATTCACATACCAAATATGAACAAAATCGCTCTGCTACTTTTCGAGTTATAGTAAAATACGTTAAAATGGTGGCCATTTTGAAAAATGGCCGCTTTCTACTAAAAGTCTCATTAGACAGTGTGCCATGCTTATAGTATTCACATACCAAATATGAACAAAATCGCTACGCTACTTTTCGAGTTATAGTAAAGTGTCATTAGACAGTGTGCCATGCTTATACGTATTCACGTACCAAATATGAACAAAATCGCTCCACTACTTTTCGAGTTATAGTAAAATAAGTTAAAATGGCAGCCATTTTTCAAAATGTCAACCATTTTTCAAAATGGCCGCCTTCTACCAAAAGTGTCATTAGACAGTGTGCCATGCTTACAGTATTCACATACAGAATATGAACAAAATCGCTCCACTACTTTTCGAGTTAAAGTAAAATACGTTAAAATGGCGGCCATTTTGAAAAATGACCGCCCTCTACCAAGAGTGTCATTAGACAGTGTGCCATGCTTATACGTATTCACATACCAAATATGAACAAAATCGCTCCACTACTTTTCGAGTTTTAGTAAAATAACTTAAAATGGCGGCCATTTTTCAAAATGTCCGCCATTTTTCAAAATGGCCACCTTCTACCAAAAGTGTCATTAGACAGTGTGCCATGCTTATAGTATTCACATACCAAATATGAACAAAATCGCTCCACTACTTTTCGAGTTACAGCAAAAATCATAAAATAACGAGAAAAGGGCGCCATTTTTCAAGATGGCTGCCATGTGCTTTTATAATATCTACATTTCTAGCTTCATTAATGTCCTATATAATTTTTTTTACATTTAAAACATATTGCTATTACAGTTTTACATATTGCACCTAAATTACTGTAAAATCGGCACTAAAATGGCCGCCATTTTTAAATGAGCGGCCATTTTGAAAATCGACTTTCGAGCAGAACTTCTACCCCCATAGGGTATATGTATACAAAATATGAATAAAATCGGGCCAACGGTATTTGAGTTATTGCCCGGACGGACGGACGGACGGACGTACGTACGTACGGACGGACAGACGTACGGACGGACGGACGGACGTACGTACGGACGGACGGAGGCGTTCCCTATATCCCACCGAACTTCGTTCGATGGGATAATAACCAAGGAAACGCACTGGATTTCTAGACTAAAGCTGATTTTTCAGCAGTTTTAATTCTTCCTCATGAAGATGCCTCATATTTGCAGGAGTAATATCATGGTTACTCATAAGCTAATACATGTGAAATAGTATAATCATAGGCATCCAATATTTAAGGTGACAACTAAGTAAATCAAGAGTACTGACTGTGGCAGCCATATTTTTTTTGATAAAGACACATGGTTTTAAAATCTGTTTTCCTTATATGTGAATGCTCATGCAGCGCGGATCTTGTGAACGTCACAAGAGAACTTCGCAAGTTGCGCAAAACTTGTTATCAGAGATTAATTTTAAGTTGTTATTTTTCTAGCCGATAAAGTTCTTTGTTATTGTTTAAATTAAAGCATATTTCAAAAAGAAACAGTTATCGATAAAACTACATGTTCTGTCCTGGATTTTCGTTGCATTTACACATGGACGTAATCTGGCAGAGAAGTTATAAATATGAAAGAAAATTCAAGTCTAAATCATATTTATCGTGCATTTGGGAAGTTTTAGGGTCATACATAGGAGAAATAGTATATCTTGAACATGGACAGAAATACTTGGTACACGGGATTTGTCCCATCCCATCCCGAGACCAAATTCCAGAGAAACGGGACAATATCGGGAAACTGTGACATCCCTAGTTTACATACAGGGGACACAAAACTGTCGCCCTATAATCATGAAATAACTTTCTCCATTATGATAGATTAGTTTAGTTGGGTGAAGTAGTTATTGTGAGACAATTTTTTGTCACCCTGTATTTGATGTTTGTACCTGGATGGTGTATTTGCAGACTCCTAGAGTGTTCCACAGCTTGATGGTCTTATCTCTGGATCCAGATACGATCTGACGGTTGTCAGCAGAGAATGCAACACTGAGGACATCTTTAGTGTGTCCAACAAAGCGACGAGTGGTCAATCCACTGAAAAAAATAATTAAAGAAATTGTGTATGTGTAGTATGCATTATTGATTTCACTGATAGGGCTAAAGAAAAGACAATTGTTGATACATCAAACTATGATGCAAAATAATGTCACATATGCCTCATATTTGCAGGAGTAATTTCATGGTTACTCATAAGCTAATACATGTGAAATAGTATTATCATAGGCATTATGTATAATAACATGCCTTTAATTAAACATGTTTTTACTGAAAAAAAGATAGATCAGAGGTGGGAATTTCACTTTATCTTGTGAAATCATGGAAAAAAATTAACCATTACTCCGAGGCTGCCTCATTTTGTAAACATTTTTGAAGAGTTCCACCCCTCAGTGATTCCTAGATCTCTTGAAAACATAAAGCTCATAAAATCCTGTTCAGCATTGTCATAATATATTACTAGGGTATGATAGACTTTACTTTTGAAGACTGCATCGGTAAATGAGACTTACGTGCTCAGATCCCAAAGCCTAAGGGTATTATCCCAAGAACCAGACAGGGCGAACTGGCCATCTGATGACATCACAACGTCAGAGACAAAGTGATTGTGTCCTTTCAGACATTTCTGGGGAACTCCATAATTTGTCTCGTCACGGGTCAGCTTCCACATGATGAGACTGTGATCTGAAATTCATATCTGTATTTAGATTCTCCGTCAACACCTGAATCGTAATTAAAAGACGTGGAGCATCTCTAAAATCATAATTTCACAAATTAAGAACCAAATACAAAGTTCATACTCTCTCAGATTGCTTACTGAAAGATATTTACTAGTACTTTTTACAATAGAGTAACAGAGTTGGTCCAATGCCTGTTTAGTGTTTACACATCATGGCCCATTGGAATGAAAAGCCAAGTTCTCTCATTGGTCTTGTCAAGCGAAAGTGAAAGTAAATGCAAGAAAGTCAATTTTGGAAGAATAAGTTGGTTTAATTTCAAAAAATCTGTCAAAATAATGTAGATCACACACAGCATGATCATTTCGAATTGTTTGAAGATAATCGAGTGATAAAATTACGTAGAGAATGCAATTTTCGAAACTAAATTTTGAGCAATATTTTTCTAAAATCCTCACCTCTAGAGGCTGACAAAATCATGTCAGGGCACTGTGCTGAAGTAGCAATTTGGGTAACCCATCCTTCGTGTCCCTGGAGGGTACCCCTCAGAGTCATTTGCTCTTGAGACATGGTGAAAAGTTTATGTTTAGCAGCCGATTCCGCTAGATTTTGACCAGAGGTCTTCACGTCGGCCGGATCAATATGGCTGCCAATGGGAAAAGGAAGTTCGCTTCGCGGAGCGCTTAAATGTAGGTTGCCGCGAGATGGCGCAACTAAATAAGTTTCCCCTATGTTTAACACGTTTCATTCGTTTAAGAACATTTCTCATCGATGGAATACAGTTATGGAAGTATATTCAACAATCTAGAATTGCAATTTCTGATTAGAAATGCTTGAATAGCTTATTCTACCTGGTTGACCCGGAACGTTATGACGTCACTTCTCGGAGAAAATTGAGTGGCAGCCATCTTGGGAGCACTGACAGAAAACCGGTAGTCTCTTGTTTATAAGAATATACTGCTTTCCTATGCAATAATCAACCATTCATTTTGTTCAGCTGGTAGGGGAAACTTAACTTTATAATCTGGACTATAAATCATAGATAGAGCTATGGCAGAGACAGAAATAAAAGAGGCGAGGGAAATGGCGAAGGATCTGGATCAATGGATTGAACAACTGAACGAGTGCAAACAGCTCTCAGAAAATCAAGTCAAAACACTATGTGAAAAGGTAATGAATGTTGTCGTTTGTCTGAATTAGTTATAGCTTTACACACATTTGATGTATTTTAGTTGTGCTAGACTTGCCATTTTTTTCAATGGCCTTCAATTCTGACTAAATTTTCACCTTTTTCTACCTCAATTTTCCCTTGAATTTTTAGATCTACTTGGAAACCAATTTTGGGGAACATTCATGATTCAAATCTACTTAATTACAGTTTTTTAGGTGGTCAAGAGGTGCATTCTGTCATATTTAAAGCTTTTTTTGGCTTTGCATCAACTATAATCTGCTATAAACAGCCGCAAATGTGCTGTAACAACCTTAGGCCAAGGGTGCATCAAGGGAACTGCATAGTGTAACAACTCAGATAGCCTACAGATATGAACGAGAGTGTGCTAAATTCATGTGGGAATGGAAACCAGGACACTCAGGTTTAAAGTTATGGTCTATCACTATTCAATAAGCCGTAGTATCCAGTGATGTTGATAGAAATTTTAAAGTATGGGACACAGATCAAAAAAATGTCCCACTCCAACTAAAAATGTGGGTCATTTCAATTTTTTTGGGGACATTTTTTCCGTCGCGATTTAATAAAAATTTATATTCATGTATTTCAATAAAATCTATTAATAAAAAATAAAATAGGTTTTCAATGTGCAATGCCATAACTTTATTGATCCTTATATACCAATGACCATGTATTTTACACTTACTCGCCGGTGGTTCGCAGTGTGTCTAAAAAGTAAAGAATCAGCAATTTGTCAAACTTGTGCATCCAACTAGACTTATAGAGTCAATATTTATGCCCTACATATAGTCTAGATCTACATGAAAAATTAATGAAGAACAAAAATACACGTGGCTTAGTAACAGTAATCACCGTTTTTAGCGACAACCCCCTAATAACTATTCACCCCGTTTCAGAAAGTTCAAGAAATATCAAGGATTAACCAAGTATTATTACCGAATACACAGAAAAAATAATTTCCGAAAGAAGTCAGCGGGCGATAATAGAGTACTTCACCATTACTTACACTAAAAGAGGGAAAAGTGGCGCATTTTGTAATCCAGTGCATCGTCACGATAAATATCTACCATTTGGTGCTTTCCACATTATACTAAACCAATATTTTGATGAATGAAGAAGGAAATGTCCGAGTTTAAAAAGATTTTTTCGTTTGTTGTTTTCGATAGCTTCTGCGCAGTTTTTATGCGCATCTGATCTCTTCGACCAATCAGAACTCTCGAATAAAGAAACCCAGAACAGGGCCAATCAGAGTCCACGATAGAAAACGTTTCGGGATCGATCAAGAAGGAACATCCGGATGTTCTGGATTTCGATCTTGGTGAGTTGAGAGGGGTTTATTTAGTTCAATGTCGGGAGATTTCAAGTAAGTATTGATCTAGATCGTAGACTGCGTCAGGATTTTACAGATTGGACGCACTGAGGTAAGGAATCTGCGCCTTCCCTGTTAAAATTGCGCCAAAGACGCAAAGACGCGAGCTATCAACATCACTGAGTATCAACTTGCTATCCAGAGTTGTTACACCATCTCCCCTTGAAGGACGATAGTCACGACACCCCCCCCCCCCCATTGTGATCTGGAATAATACATTGATTGGCATATCCCACTTCTGACACCAGTGTAACAGCCTGAGGGTGCATCGGGTAAATGGTCAACTGTGGAGCATAATGTATAACAAAAAAGATTTAGACATGAAAGAGAAGTTCTAAATTCAGTACCCTGTGTAGTAATCGAACCCAGGACCCTCAGGTTCAAAATCTGATGCTCTGCAACTTAGCTGTACTTACTTAGCAACTTGCTATACAGGGGTGTTACAGTACGGTACACCTATTTGCCCTATTTGTTAGTTCTCCCTTATGCTTTTGAACACATGTTATTTATGAACAGAATCATATTAAATATACCTCAGTAAATCTTTCTGGAGAAAATAAGTTCATACCTCTGTTTACATTGGTTGTTATAGTCAAAAGTGATGCAGTCACCAAACATCAAACCCTGAATGCCAATCACAAAGCAAGAGTGACAACCCAATTACCCGAGCGTGTCAGTCACTAAAATCATATCCCAGGGGTCCCCCAGCATTAAAGCAAGTGGTCGCAGCACACACCTGTAATTTTGAAAACAGCCTTGCACCTACCTGAAAATCCATTTGCACCCATTTGAAAATGAGAAAAATCATGAAAAATTGGCATATTTTAACCAATTTTGGCCTGAATTGTGAAAATGAATTTTGCACCCACTTGTGAAAAAATCATGGGGAGATCACTGTATCGATTGCTTAGATTGTCATTTTACTTATGACATAGTTTATAGTTTGGGCCATAAATAAATGAATAGTTGGTTTTCTATCACCATTTCCAAATTTTTTATGTCACCACCATACTTTTTTGTGGCAGTGGTTGGTGTTCGGTACTCAGTATCTGTAACAAATGTTGGTGACATTTTGCATGTCCAGGTCTTGTTATTAGCGCCTTTTGTTCATATACTTGTTCAATAGAATGGTATACATGTGAATGAATTACTTCCTGGGGAAATGCTCTATCATATTGATTTTCAGTTCAGTGGTAATTGCTTTATATTGAGTAGAAGCTAAGTACAGATTTTCTCTGCAAAAACTGTACCTTTTAACCCAAATACGAAGCAGAGTGAAGACTTTTTAGTGCATGCTTACAAGTGCAAACATATCTTTCAAATGATAGAACATTTTGTATCCTTCACAGAGAAAACAGGCTAAAGACTGATGATGAATAAAACTTTAATAAAAGTTAATTTACTTTCAATTGCACATGTATGAAATTGCAAACCAGAAAAAATGAATCTGGTACAGATCGTCCTTACTTATAAGGAAGGGCATTCTCCTCCCCACGTGAGAGCTGATAATCCCTATTCTAAGTTGTTGAAGACATTATGGAATACTGTAATTGATATTGAGACATGACTAATTGATAAATTCATTCAGGCAAGTTTATCTTACTTTTATGTAGTTAGTTTGTAAGTAATTGCAGACAGTATGTCTCTCACTAATTACGGTCATCTCATGATCTGGTTTAGCATGCTTAGGGCTCCATTTTCTACCTTGCATATTGAGCAGCATAAGTCTTGTATATGTAAAGATCTACATGACACAGATAAGCAATGCATTAAATGAATAGTATCCAGTCAATAACCTGAGAAAATCACCAAGAAAGTAAAAAGAACATTTTGTATTTAAAAAGGAACATTAGTAAAAAGGATCTTTCAATTTATTAGACCATCATACTATAAGACTACCTAATGAAGTCAGGGACAGTGTCTAACACAGACTCTACTTTCTCACTTTCTTCTGCGTTCCTACACTCCATTAAATAAGTGTACATATATCACAGATATTGACTTTTGAACTTTAATCTACAATATACAATTTGCATTACATAGTAGTAGTTGAATGTCATATGCAATGATTAGAATAAAACTTAAACTTAACTTAAAAAAATTAACTTAATGCCTTGTTATTAAGATAATTTGAATTTGTGTTTTTTTCAGGCCAAAGAGATCCTCAGTAAAGAATCCAATGTCCAGGATGTCAAATGTCCCGTTACTGTTTGTGGTGATGTTCACGGTCAATTTCATGACCTCATGGAGCTCTTCAGAATTGGAGGACGTTCTCCCGACACAAATTATCTATTCATGGGTGACTATGTAGACAGAGGGTACTATTCGGTAGAAACTGTTTCACTTTTAGTAGCATTAAAGGTAAATCCACAGGTTTATTGGAATCATTTTTGTTTTATTTTATTTTTGAGGAGTTGTTTGCTCAGGAATTTGACCTTTGATAGCTAGAAATGCTCAAGAAGTAATTAATGTCATCTTAGTACATGTAATGCCTGATACTGACCAGTGATAATTGTCAGTTTACTAATACAACCAATCAAATATACATTATCTAGCTTAACAAGTAAATTATGAATCTACAGGCCTCTAATGGCAGGTTTAAATTCAAAGACTGCATGAATGACACATGTAATTTGATGTTGATTTGTGTATACTTTTTTTGCCTAAGTTGCTTGATTTTTACTTGTACGATTTAAAAAGACATTGTCTGTACTATTTGATAAAAAATCATAAAGATAGTAAATTTTGCTACCTGTTGCACTAGTTGGCATTACAGATAAAATGAGCTCATATTTTTCCCCGCATGTATCATATCGTTCGATCTCTTTTTCAGGCTCGATTTCCAGAAAGAATAACTATATTAAGAGGAAATCATGAAAGTAGGCAAATTACACAAGTTTATGGTTTTTATGATGAATGCTTGCGAAAATATGGGAATGCCAATGTATGGAAGTATTTCACAGATCTGTTCGACTTTTTACCACTGACTGCTTTAGTAGATGGCCAGGTATGTTCTTCATTAATCTTTGAACTGGGTATACACCAATACTACTTGACAGATTTCAGAATTTTTTATGTCAAATCTTATGACAAGATCTGTTGTTGATCTTTTGGTGATCAATGATTTGTTAAACTGGACAAAAAGTTAACTTGAATTTGCCAATTTTATTCATTTTTTAAATAAGCTATGCATAACATGTAAAATGAGAATTCATATTAGAATGAGGCAGCTACTCTATAACCATAAAAATTGTTGACATTTTGCGAGAATTTATTTACGAGCAATGCTGCTGCAGACATGAAGAAAAATTTGACGTCTAATTTTGACAATTTTAAGCCATTTAAGAATTTAAATCTAAATATGTATTATGCATAGACAGCTGAATGTTTTTCATGTCTCTAAAACTGCAATGACAAAATCATACAAAAAATCCTGAAATGAAATGGTTGGGAAGTTTTTTAGGATGGATGATCTGTCATGGTGTCTCCCTAGTAAATAGAATGTGTTTTTGTTTCAGATTTTCTGTTTACATGGTGGCTTATCTCCATCCATCGATACATTAGACCATATAAGAGCCCTAGACCGTATTCAAGAGGTGCCACATGAGGTATGTATTCAATTGTAGTTCAACTTAATCTAGTCATATCTGTAGTCCACCTTTGTACCCTGAATCTCTCCAGCTAACCACACTACCCTCTCACTTTATCAAATGATTTTGAATTCTAATGCTGAGATATGCTCGCATTTGAAGATTCATATTCTTCAATGGGACTTGAAATGCACAGTGTATGTTTAATTGTGTGATTTTAGCTGAGAGTTCATATATTCTGATTATATATAGCCTGTATCTACATCAAATTCCTGCTAATTTTAAGAAGCTAAACACAGTTGACCTTTTACATAGGTAATGTTTGATGATAGTAATATTTGCATTCACTGCTTAAACTATTTTTCATGATATATATTTTAACAATGATTAAAAATGGTTAACATGACCCAAGTCAAAGGCTGACACCGGCTGGTGATATTTTAGATGATTTCAATATGTTATCAACCTTCAGATGTCATAATATTTTACGTATTAACCAGTGACTCATAGATAGAACTGTTATCAGTATTAGTTTTTGAAATCTCATATATCTTTGGTCTTAAGTTTCCAGCTGCATCTATGAGTCCATGTAAACATTTAGAAAGCACATTGAAGCATAATTGAAGCATTCTGTATTCAGCTTTCGATTTTAATCAATCATTATTTATATTCAGATACTGATAACACTTAAGGAAGTCACTACTGGATGCATACATGGGTATTAACCAGACCACAACATACCTTGATCATTTCAGGATTCGTGTCTTGCTCAGATCATACCACTGAGGTTGCTTATATATAAAGCCTGTGCCTTAGCTTTACTTCTTAGTAAATTCTTGCTACTGTAAGGTTTGGTTAGTACCCAGGTTTGACTTAATTGTCTTATGTCACATACTCTATGAAACCCCTGTAATTGTAGGGTCCAATGTGCGACCTACTGTGGTCTGATCCAGACGATAGAGGAGGCTGGGGTATCTCACCGCGTGGAGCTGGCTACACTTTCGGTCAAGACATCTCAGAGACTTTCAATCACACCAATGGTCTCACACTAGTGTCAAGAGCCCATCAGCTTGTCATGGAAGTAAGGCATTGTTTATGTGTATGGATAGTGTAAAATGAATAATTGAAATATGTCATTTGACTTCACCACAAGAATAACAAAGAGAAAAATGTAAAAAGGAAGAAAAATTCGCACTTTGAAAAAGATAACTGGACAGGGAAATATTTTTTGTATCAAGGTGGTCCCATATTTGTCCATTTTTCTATGTACCACTTTTTGATGCATTGTATATTAAGGAATAAAGACCGAGATTTTATGATTTATGGAGTAATATATGACCGAAAATTTTATTCTGTTCATTGTTAAATTGCAATGGCCAGAATAAGATTTGAGGTCATATATTTGACATAAATCATAAAATCGAGGTCTTTGTTACGATTCTAATATGATAAACAGACAAGAAACACAACTATTTGCATTTAAGAATTTTAGTGGTCATACATACTCCAATATAGACCAATAAATCAATTGTTCTAGCCAGTGTGACGTCACGTATCATATTAGAACATATGTTATACGTTACTGTATTATTTGCTAATTTGTCTATTCCATACTGTTTCAGGGCTACAATTGGTGCCACGACCGGAATGTTGTGACAATTTTCAGCGCTCCCAACTACTGCTACCGCTGTGGCAATCAGGCAGCAATAATGGAACTTGATGATTCGCTGAAATACTCATTGTAAGTTATTCGAACTATATATATTGTCATTGATTGATCACAATTTTGAAAGAAAATGAAATATTTGCCATCTATTTAATTTTACTGCTTAACTCATTGCTGACCAACCCCGAGATATTTTGTCTATGACGTCATAATCATATGTGACCAACCCCGAGATATCGCTGGATGCTGTCCAGTAATTGTCATATAATCTGTAGCAGTTATCTTACAAAATATTCTAGTGATCACTAGGGGAACCTGGTAGGGTGCAATTGATATATTTTGTCATTGGCTTCACAAATGGCATATAACTTAGCGCATAGCACAGATACTAGTTTTCTGCATGAAAAAAAACAAAATTCTGCAAGAAAAAAAGCAAATTCTGCAAGGAGAAAATCGAAATTCTGCACAAATTTTCAAAAAAAGTCCAAATTCTGCAATCTTTTAAAACGATGAAAACGGAAACGGAAGTCAGCTACTTTCTAGGTAAGAACTGCGCGTCACTAGCGAACTCGCTTTAGCGAATTTAAACGTGATAGAATGTTGAATTTCACGATGAAATCGTACTTGTACTCAATAATGATTGATTGTTGGACATAAACAGACACTCTTCAAATACCCCGCAAAGGTAGGAGATCGTAAAATATGTAATTTCTGGAAATTCTGGTAATTTTGCGGGATTTTCATGAAAATCAGGGATTCTGCAAAAAATTGAAGTTTTGTCAAATTCCGTCCACGCCGCGGAATTACGGAATATTAGTATCTATGGCATAGGGTGTTGATACGGTCAATTTTATGATTATGTGAAAACATTCAATTTTGCTTAATTTTCCATCAAAATTGCCAGTCACCAGTACAACACCTCCAAAATAGCTTTGGCCAGCAATGAGTTAAAAGACAAACCTCACATTTAATAAGCTAATTTATAGCTGTGTGTCTCACTGGATGAACAGCTTTTTAAGTGTCATAACTGTGAGTTGGGTAACATTCCAAGTATAGGTTGTTAAAATAATACATTCACTGGAGTGAACCTTTTTAATGGTCTCACAAACACCAATTAAATGTATATGAGTAACAGAAAAAGACATTGGTCATGCTCTCCCATGTTAATCTATTTGATTGACTCCTGTCCTATCATCAGCTCTTTTGCTATAATGTATTCAATGTAGATTTCATTTTTTACAAAATTTGTTTTATTCTTCCAGCCTGCAGTTTGATCCAGCCCCCAGGAGAGGTGAACCGCACGTCACCCGCCGTACACCTGACTACTTCTTATAGACAAACAACAATCCACACATGGTTGCCAGGATACATAACCATGGCAACAACAAACAGCAGTATACAGACTTCCTGGCCAAAAAAACTACAAATAGTAATAAAGTTAGGAAACAAATCGGGACACAATAGTCTCATGGATTAAACTAGTTGGAGTGTGACATTGCTGACCATGATCGTGGCGTATGAATGGATTGTTGTGTGATAAGATGATAATAATGATAATATAATATAAATCAATGGAGAGCGGCAGTGAAATGTGATGTCGTGGATGTCCATTTTATCGATGCAGGATCAAATCTTAGATTGTCTCTATATAGAAATTAGGATAGACAGATCTATGAGGAATCTTGCTTGTTGGATACAATAGAGTCGAACATATCACATGGATTCATAGTTCACCATGAATCAGATACACGGTGTCACAAAAGTTCTTGGAGATCAAAACGATCTTTATTTCAGTATCATGTTTCAACTGTTGAACTGTCGAAAAAGTTGAAAAATATTGAAGTAAAAGATTGTAAAAATATAGTTTTAATCTTGGAGAAGAGATGCAAGTTAAAATGCAAATTGCACAAATTCCACATGTTTTCAATCCTTTGTGTTATACATTATTACCGATAAGTGGCGATAACTCGTACATAGAATTTCATATTTCATCCTGTTGACTATTGTATGTATTCTATCAAACTAGATACTGACATTTCATCATAAAGAAAGATGAGATGTAAAGTATCGTCCTTGACTCAAGCTACATACAAAAGTGTCATATCTTTCTTACTTGGCATTTTCATTGAAACAATCAGAGCCATCTATGGAGGGGGGGGGGTAAGTGGCATGTATCATAAATATTGGTATTCTATATTCAGCGATGTCATAATTCAAAGCATCTGCTTAGAATAGAAGTACATGTTATAATAAAATACTGTATTCCTTCTATTGAGCGCATGTGCAGCTATGGTCCTTGTTGAACACAAGCATTTTAATAATTTCGTAAAATGAACTCAGGTTTTTACTACTTTTGCAACTAATTTGGGGACCGCCCTTGTGCTAATTAAAAGGGATATGATATTTTTGATTATGTGAAGAAGGAATACTTTTAAGCCTGCCAGAAATCAAAATTTCTGTTGTGATTACCTTATATTATTATACAAATGTCATCGAGTATTTAAATGTTTGTATTATTAGTGCTACTTATTTTGTACGTTATATTATTGAAACCTAGCTTAACTGTAAGAAGTGAAATACCAGTGTGGTATGCGTTTCTAATAGTTTTGTACTTGGCTAAACTGTAAGAAGTGAAATACCAGTGTGGTATGTGTTTCTAATAGTTTTGTACTTGGCTTTGTGACTGATTTGAATGAAGAATGAAATAACTGAAGCTCTCGCCATTTGTACACACATCTAATCTTTGTTTTAAAAATCAATAAATAGATGATAATTATGATTAAACTTTTGTTGCATTTTTCTTCAAGTCTCGATTTACTGTTTAAGAATCAAGTTAAACCCCTATTTTTTAAAGTCCAAAACATAGATGCATCATGTATTACCATGGCAACTTCTTAATTTCACATCATAGATGGATAATGACTCTGTGGCAAGGAGATGTGATGAGTTCCAAAATGTGAGCCCTGTAGTGAATCGAAGACATAATGTAACTTATATCCTCTTGGCAAGCATCCTCATCAAGCTTTCAGTTAAACATGTGACATATTGTAGCAGTGAATTTTTCTAGAATATTTTGGTGTTCATATTAAAAAAAAACGATCTTGTTAATATCAGGTTTTCCAAAAGTGGCTCATGCTTGTTAATTCCCGAGGATAATATCTTATTTTCTTGGTTATTTCCCATTTCTAATTTGATTGTTTTTTGTTACAAAATGTTTCTAAACAAAGCAAATTAAGCTCAAGATACACCTCAAATGAGATACCCTTAAACAAGATTCTTAATTTGAAGATTATCATTCTTTTGAATATCTATGAAATATTTGATAAAAATGGGGAATTTGGGATGCTAAAAAAACATTGCACCTGTAGTCTGACTAATACTTATTCTAATAAAAAAGTGATTATAATTTATCAAAAAACCAAGTGAATGTTCCCCTAAGGCTTCAAGCAAGGTAAAATTGTGCATGTCTCATGAACCATGAACACTGAACAGTAAAATGAAAATATTATCTACTGTAACATCAATGTCACTGTATGAAGTAATTCTCACTGTGCAAGAATAAGGTGGGTCCACATGACAGGTGAGTAATTACAATTAACAGTCTTCAATATTCATGTTCAAACAAAATATTTTATTCAAATTATGTTGAACCTAAATTACATTGACCAGAATTATTTTTTCTGAAGCATGGAGATACACATATATTAAATGTACGCGGCATACACAAATTGGGGAAATACTGACTACGGGGGCATCAACTGGAGTAAGTCACTCCCCACTGAAATAGAGAATAAGAGGGAGGGTGTGACTTACTCCCCATTGGTGCATCTAAACATATACTTGATGTCATTTTAGATTCTTGTATTTCATATAACATAGTCAAAGGTAAAAGTAGTAAGCTTATGAAACTACTTTTACAAAGGCCTAAGGACTTATATAAAGCGAAACCGTTATACGTTCTGTATTTCGTGAGTCCAATAATTGCGCCTTGGTAAATGTACCGCACCTATTATCGCCCACTTTCACCATGCCACGAAATATTTTTAGATCAAAAACAATTAAATAATATCGGACTATAGCGACTTAGCAGTTATATTTATCGTCAAAGCTATCAATAAATATACCACGCATTAATTAAAAGATAAACGTCGTCTCAGGTGAGTCTCATTCTGCTCATTTTCAATGTTGGTCGTCTCGCGTATAATTACGTATGAAAAATTTTGCAAACAACCTTGAATAGACAAGGTCCTGTAAAACAACAGATTGATAAACTAATATTCTGCACCAAAGGCCTCGTATAATAATAATAATAATAATAATATACCATACTGTTGGTCATTTACACATTTTTGTTCCGTCACCTCGATTATTGTTGCTGGCAACCGAAGATACCTCAAGAAAAGCTGTAGATTGCCAAAGATTTTCTTTTCAAACAAAGTTGGCCGAGGGTACCACGAATGTGAAGTGGACGCCTCTAATTGGTCAAAAAGAGAGGCTCGGCATTCTCCGTCAGATTGAATCGGCAAAACTCGGTTGTATGGCTTACCTTCGGTTGTATGGTTGTATGTTCTTCTTGCAACAACTGTACTATTTTTTTCATGGCCTGAGTTCGTCGCTAACATGCTAAATATAAGAGTTAGCTGACGTTCGGGAGTCTGACTTACCTTCTAAAGGTTAGAACCCGAATCTTAATGAAACCATATCACCTTTGTTGCGTCGATGATGATGCATAAACACAGCATTTGATAGAAATTAGTGTAAATGCTTTTCCGACTTTTTCATTTTTCACCAATGTTGACTTCCGGGAAGGTGTTGTAGTTATCACGAAATAACGCATTGACCCTTGAACTTTACTTTGTTGACGTGTCAACCAAGCATGTCTGGTGTGAAAATTAAAAGAATATTAAGCAATGTTCTACATCCGCCAAGCTAAGTGAAGTAGCCAATATTTAAAATTACCAATTTCAAGTGAAGTACGCAACGAACGAAACTGCGTGATCTGCACTCCCACTATTGGTCTGAACGAAATGCTACGTTGAAATATGAGCCATCTGCTGTATAAGTCGATTAATAGAGTAAGACCTGTTGGTGATGCTTTATAATTTAGACCAAAACATTGGAGAACAAACGAACCTGTAAATCGTGAAAACAACGAACAAATATTCGGTTTTCACATATGTTCGGTAATTTTTCGTATTGAAACTTCCGGAACTTACAAGGATATCATTCATTTTCACGGTCAATAATTTACCTCTTGGATGTTGTGGCAAATGCTCCATGGTTGGCGGAACAAAGGTGATATGGTTTCATTAAGATTCGGGTTCTAACCTTTAGAAGGTAAGTCAGACTCCCAAACGTCAGCTAACTCTTATATTTAGCATGTTAGCGACGAACTCGGGCCATGAAAAAAATAGTACTACTGTGTAAGTTCCAGTCACATGCTATCTGTTGCAAGACTTATGCCTGGCACAACTTTCACCATGTTTATTAAGTTTTTTAAGTTTCGGAAGGATCCTGCCATGACCGTGGTATTGTTATCGTGAAAGCCTGAAATTCGGATCACAACCTCACAACATGAATTTAAAAATAAATGACACTAGGTTACAACATGAGTACCGAACAATTAATTTTAAAATCTTTATTTATTATGTGACATTTCCTGGTTTATCCAGATAAAACAAATCAGACATAAAGTACAAATTAAAGTACAAAACTTAAAATAACAACATAAGATACAAAACTTAAAATAACAAAAATAAAATAACTCTTATTCTAAAAACACAATAAAATATATATTAATTTACCTGTAAAAATAAAACGTTTGGTCACCTAGAGATTTGCTTCAGTAATTGAGTAAGGGAGAAAAAGCCCGTCAAAAGAAGGAGTTTTGGCGCGAAGTTATCTGATTGGTTGCAAGCGAATTATGCTATTTTAATCCGGGATAAAAATAGCCAGTATGACCGTGACAATGGTTGTTAGGCCTGTCATGACCGTGGTCATGTTACCACGGTCATGTCTGGCCTTGCAATATAGTATAGCATTGTCACATCAGGCTTTAACATTACCATTGTCATGACAGGCCATGCAACCATTGTCACGGTCATATCAGGCTTTAACATTACCACGGTCATGTCTGGCCTTGCAATATAGTATAGCATTGTCACATCAGGCTTTAACATTACCATTGTCATGACACGCCATGCAACCATTGTCACGGTCATATCAGGCTTTAACATTACCATGGTCATGTCTGGTCTTGCAATATAGTATAGCATAGGTCACGATTGTTATTACAAATATTCAAATAAACTGAAAATATCAAAGGCCACCTCATGATGTGTTTATTTGTAGAGAACTGCTGACTGTGCTGAATCATCAAACATGGCTTTTCGTTCTCCTGTTACACGAGCATTAGCGCCCTCTACAGTTGATGTGGCCTCGATCCTCAGCAACTACAACAAAGTAAGTATGGTATCAAAATAAAAAGTAGTCTATTTTAACATGTGGGGGTATAGCAATTTTTTACCAAAATGTTATTTTCCAGCTGTACCTTAAAAGATAAGTTACCCAAATGGGCTTTCAAGAAAAAGTCCATGGTTACCCATTTCCTTTTTTCTGGATGTTGTATCAGGTTAGTCATGCACAGGTGCACAAGTGCCTGACTGCCAATACCAACCAGTTTTAACTCAGGCCCGTAGCCAAGGGGAGGGGGGGTCACTTAGTTGCTTATTAGCAATGGACTGACTGCCAATATGGTAATATTGTGGCAATCATTTTTCAACTTCCCCACATTGTATGGTGTAGACCTTACAGGGGCTTATGCAAAACTACTGGGTGATTTAATATTAACAATATTATTTAAATATACATACTGTTTAGGATGTGAATACAATTAAATAATTTGAAAAGATTACCATTGGGTGACTTCTCAATAAAACAATCCAGTCGAATGATGGTAATTTCTTGACTTTCGAATGACAAATATTTGGAGGTATTAGTCAACAAAATATGAAAATAAAATTGTTTCAGTAATCAAAACAAACAAAAGTTAGAATTTGCTTAAATTAGATAAATACTTCTACAACTGTTTTGTAGGGTGAAACCAAAGAATATGATCTCCTTGTTAGCAGACTTAACAGCCCAGAATTACAGGTAAATAAAATGGGGATCACAAATGGGGGGGGGGTCATATCTGAGATAAACATAAAAATAATTCTTTCAATCTGATGGTTAACTAAACACTATCCCACGAGCACATATCACTGGTTTTTATTATGTCCCCACCACATAGTGTGGGGCCATATTGTCGGCCTAGGCGCGTCCGTCTGTCCGTCCGTCCGTCTGTCCGTCCGTCTGTCCGTACGTCCGGGAGTTTTCTCCAAAACCGCTACAGATATCACCTTCAAATTTTCAGGGATAACTTATGAGTGCATACAGATGTGGATGAAAATTTTTTAACTCGATACCTACTTCCTGTCGGCCATTTTGAAGTCAAATGCTAAAATCCTTGTCTGCAAACTTTAAGAAAAACGGCTTCACAGTTGCTTTTAAAACTTTAACATCTTGTTCAGCTCACTTCATTCTAGATCTGATTAGGTTTTGGACCTGTTAGCTCAGTCATGTCAGCCATTTTGAATGTCTTAAGAAAAGTTAGCGCACGATAATACTTTGTATCATATTGAATGGTGTTTTTTAGTTTTCATACTTTAACTATTTAGCAGCTTTATAAATAATTTCAGATCTACTTTGTTGTAAAAGCCTATCTTATTGTTAACAGTAGTAATATGTGATAATTTTGTAAGAAGAAATCAGCAAAAACACATAATCACTTTTTTATTGTCGGCCATTTTGGATTTTTCCGTCCTAAAATCTTGTCTGTGAAGTCTTGTCTACGTGTTGTCAGGTGAACCGTTTGGTGGATTAATTTCAAATTTTCAGGGATGATTCTTAGTATAAAAATCTAGATCTGATTTGTTTTTTGGCATTCTGGGTAAATGTCAAGGCAGCCATTTTGGATTTTCCGTCCTAAAATCTTGTCTGTAAAGTCTTGTCTACGCGTTTTCAGGTGAACCGTTTGGTAGATCAATTTCAAATTTTCAGGGATGATTCTTAGTATGAAAATGTAGAACTGATTAGTTTTTTGGCATTCTGGGCAAATGTCAAGGCAGCCATTTTGGATTTTCTGTCCTAAAATCTTGTCTGTAAAGTCTTGTCTATGCATTTCCAGGTGAACCGTTCTGTAGATCAATTTCAAATTTTTAGGGATGATTCTTAGTATGAAAATCTAGATCTGATTAGTTTTTTGGCATTCTGGATAAATGTCAAGGCAGCCATTTTGGATTTTTCGTCTTAAAATCTTGCCTGTAAAGTCTTGTCTACGTGTTTTTAGGTGAACCGTTTGGTAGATCAATTTCAAATTTTCAGGGATGATTCTTAGTGTGAAAATCTACATCTGATTAGTTTTTTGGCATTCTGTGTAAATGTCATGGCAGCCATTTTGGATTTTCTGTCCTAAAATCTTGTCTGTAAAGTCTTGTCTACGCGTTTTCAGGTGAACCATTTGGTAGATCAATGTCATATTTTCAGGGATGATTCTTAGTATGAAAATCTAGGAACAGATTAGTTTTTTGACATTCTGGGTAAATGTCAAGGCAGCCGTTTTGAATTTTCCATCCTAAAATCTTGTCTGTAAAGTCTTGTTTACATGTTTTCTAGTTAACTGTGTGACGGATCAATTAAAATTGTGTTGGTAAAGTCTTGTCTACTCATTTTCAGGATAACCATTTGATGGGATCACCCATTGGTGGGGACATTTTGTACACATTTGTGTTCTTGTATTGATCATGTCAAAATAGTGCATGTATGATTAACTAGCAGTATTGGCAGGCCGGCAGTGTTTTTGTCAACTGGAAGCCTAATTTGATTTGGCAGACACAATATTTTATCAGGGACAGACTCGATATTTTCTTAGGGGCAGGTCTGGAAATTGACAAAAAAGAGGCTAAGAGATTGAAGCCTATTAAGGTATGAGTACCGTAATCCAACACCAAATTCGAAAATTCATAACAATACTTTGCGCATATGGCGTTCGTGACCAACTATAAAACGCTTACCCCCATAGTGTTATATATCAAAATGTACCTGTTCATATAGGGGTTCGATTGATCTACATCAAATTATAGGGAGTCGGGTTACTTTTTGAGATATCAGCGTCCATTTATTGTAACTCGCGTTTGCCACCACTTCCTCAATTCTGATATGACGGGCAAACGCGTAGTAAACATGCTCACGTCGGAACTATTTTTGACCTACATCTCTATTTTCATAATTCAAATGAAAGTTGAACTCCTCCTCTTTATTTTGATACCAAATAGTGGCATACTAGGTACCCTAGAAGCCAACTATGGCGTTATTTAGAACAATACCACAGGTTTTTAAATGGACTATATAGGGGTCATACCTTTTGGCGGATGGATATGGAACCTCATACCTTAATGTTTTATGACATCACATTCTGATTTTTGTCTCTGCAACTTTTTTGGGCAGAAAATATCATTTTTAGTTCAAAAATGCATAAAAACGTCAGAACTGGCTGAATATGTGAAAAATTCATCCATTTAGGCTAGAAAGGGTTAATTTGCCCTACCCCAAATACGTCTAAATATGCTTGTCTAACTTTGCCACTGTGACGTCACAAATCTAACCTGACTATCTCTGAGTTTATTGAAGAAAATGATACGTCTGACAAACAGCTTTCATTCCCTATATGGCACACCTTCTACTAAGAGTTGCATCATTGACTAAATCTAAGACAAAGGCCCTGTGTCCCGAGGATTTTGACTGAAATTTGGCCATTTTCGCCCAAATCTAGCTAAATTGCAGTTTCCCTCACACCTGTATTTTGAAATAAATATTGCTACAATGTAGCAATTTAAAAATCACACATGCTTACTGTTTCTGTTGACCTGACATGTATCTAGCCTGTAAAAATGAAAAATTGCTACATTGTAGCAATTGCTACATTGTAGCAATTTCACTGAGATATGGGCCCTGAAAATCATGTAATTTTAGCAAAAAAGGAAAAAATAACCTGCAATTTTGACGGAATTTCAGAGGGCTTTCTTTCATCCATGACCCTCCACGGGCCTCTTATGACCATTCTTATACTCACAGAAGGGTTGAAAGTGATCTCAAATCATTGTTTGCCCTACGCAGAACGAAAAAATCGATTCTGTTCTCAAATTCTGCTAGAATATTGGTCTCTGGCCAACTAGCAGACAATTTTAGGCCTCCTATTAATTAAAATATGATCAGATTGTTCCAAAATGAGGCATAATTTTGAAAAAAAACACCCAGGTAATGTCTTTTGTAGGTCCCTTTCCTCCAGTATTTTGTTTTTGCATTCCGTGGTAGGATGAAAGATCTCAATAGACATTATTTGTGTAATTATTGAGATACTGCTATTGCTAATAATCTAAGATCTGATTTAACTTATCTTTCAATCAACTTTTTCAAAATGTATATTAATAAACTTGTGCTTTTGTCTTTCAGTCTGGCTTATTACTCAATGTATTGCGTGGATTGAGAGCCTGTGTGGCGATGCTTGGAAAGGAGTTCGAACAATTGATAGGTGTCACTCTGGTATTTAACATTATTATTGATTGCTCCATCTATGTACCTGTATATACAGTTACAGTGAAACCTGTCTAATCTGAACGGCTCTCTCTGGGACTGGCTAAAAGTGTTCAGATTTGCAGTTGTTCACATTTCAAGGTTTTATAAACATGAAAGTCAATGGTAGAGCGAAACAGGGACCGAGAAAAGGTCTTCACATTGAGACAAGTTCGAATTAGAGAGGTGTTAGGATATACAGGTTTCACTGTATACAGTTTGAGGCGAAATACTTGAGGTGATAATGTCACAATTAAATTTACACTGAATCTGGCATTGAGAGAATTGGTAATTGAAATAAGTGCTATCTACCATCAAGGTGTTCCTACCATTCAAAATATAAATGAACTATCTATGTTATTTTATATCAAATAGAGGTTATATGTTTTAAAAATATAGAAATGTCTAAATGTACTCTGAACAAATATTGAAAAAATAGCACTTAAAGCACTAAAGTCAAGAGAATTCCAAAATAAATAAATATAAGGAAACTAATCAAATTTCTCATAAATCACCATAAATAAATGGAAACTATTCAAGTTTCTAATTGAAGGGAGAATCAGAGATATAGGGTGACAAAATTACAAGCAACAGGTACAAATTGACCTTCCAATCTATTCCTAACAATCTCAAGTACCATATCTCCAAAAGGATTCATGATATGTTATAATTGGTGAAGTAATTACAGATTCAAAGTGCAAAAATGGGTGAAAAATGTTTAAATTCTTCCAAATAGTAAGAATGTTAATAATACATTACTGTAAAAATCCTTAGTTTTCCTGAGATAAAGTGTGCACTTTGGGGATTTTTAGAAAATAGACATTGATAAGGAATGACATGAGCCAGAAATATTCTAAAATTTAAACAATTTTTATTTGGCCTGTTCGCACTATCTGATTCTCTCATTAATCGCCATGTTTGATACACAGGCTCTTGATTGGCTGTCAAGGGAGCAGGCTGTTGTGAAGGAATATGAGGCTTTTTTGCTGAATCTCGTATCTGCCCACACTGTGTACGTCCATGCCGTGGCCAGAATGATCATCAAGAAGTTTCTACCTGGTAAGTTTGAGAACATTGACCTTATATGGAAATGTATATAAATATGACCTTATTAGGGGTTATCTGAAAACATGACCGTATTAGGGTAAAAAATACCATCTCATGAGGAATTGCGGCAAAACATGACAACCTAGTCAAAATAAATAAACACCTAATTAGGGTATTCAAGAGGTTTTATCAATGTGCTTTTTTATGTCACCACCACAAGTGGTGACATATTATTATAGTCACTTTTTGTGGATGATGTTCAGTGGTCGGTGTTTGGCAGTTGGCAATTGGAGTTTGGCATCTGTTACAAATGGCAGGTAGTGACGTTTTGCATGTTAATGCCTTGTTATAGTTTTATTGAACATCTATTACAGCTTTTGTATTGATTTGGGTAAGAGAGGTCAGTAATCCCTTTTACTTTGTGTCTATTATAGTTACACATATTGATCTGTTAATGACTATGTGTGTCTAGATTCAGGATATCAATTGAACATTGTCTCTATTTATTGGTTAATATGGTGGGTATGGTTTCTTCAGTTTTCTTTATCCCCACAGGTGAGATATATCCGTTATGACTGTGGCGTGATCTTTATCGTGATTGTCGTGGCATCCCTTTTTATTGCTGTGGTTCCAGGATAACAATTTTTTTCAAATATCCTCACATTTTAGAAGGGTTTCCAAGTTCTACAGCTGATCAACCTTTGAGTTGCCATCTTTTTGGTAGCCATTTTAGGAATTTATTGATAAATTTCGTCATTGCCATTCCAGGATTTTTCTAATTCCGACAGTTGATAGACCGAGATCAAGTTCAATGCTGGTTAAATATGTTGGGGGTTGTGGTTAATATCAGGTGGCCATCTATTTTTCTGGCACCCATTTAAGAAGATTTTCGCTGAATATTTTCATTGCCATTTCAGTAAAAACGACCCTTAGGATTTTCTTGACTAGCCTCGATTTGGATATTTTTGCATTTTGTAGATTTAAATGTCCTTTTTTGAATATCCACAATTTAATTTGGATCATATTTCTATATTTTTCATTAAAAAATTATTAGCGCAGTACATTCACTGGTGATCCACTCGATTACGCTGGTTACCGAAACGGTTCGTTTCAGTAACAAAATGTCGGAACATCAAGCTACAATAGTTCAGAAGACATCAGATTCGTCGATTTAATTCCTCACTTAAGTTATAGAAACAGTATTCCGAAAAATGGTTAAGATCTGCACTTTTAACCCAAACCATTTCTGTAACTTAAGTGAGGAATTAAATCGACGATTCCGTTGTCTTCTGAGCTATTTTTTCGCAAACATGTACATTTTCTAAAACATATGATAGTCTAATATATGTTTGTGAGAAAAAACGTTGTGGGGATTCCGCGTGAAATAGGGAAAAAGAAAAATCGTACCTTCGACATTCCGATATTTTGTTACCGAAACGAACCATTTTTTTCAAATTTGTCTTTCATTAAATTGGTCTACTGCATGTTTGGACAGTTTTCATATTTTTACATCTTGTAGATTTATTTAAAATTTTAAATGTCCTCTTTTGAATAATCATAATTCATAATTTGGGTGATATTTCTATATTTTTCATTAAGAAAAATTATTAGCCCAGGAGACTGTTCTCCAAACCAAGACTTGTAGTCCTTTATGCATACATAAGAGGATACCGATTTCTACAGTTCATGAACTTTTAGGGGGCTACTAGTGGTCGCGTGATTTCACATCACATGCCTTGTTCAATTACTATTCCAAAATCATTGAAAATTATAGATTCTTGACCTTGTACTTGTATATATTTAGTAGTTGTCAAACACTGGGTATTGTTTACTGACCAATTAAAGATAAATGATTTATCCTTTGACATACAGCGAGTGTCCTAAAATAAACATATAACGTAAAATTAATCTATTTTCCCTTCAGATTGTCAATTAAGATATCAATTTATACCAAAGTACTTTAACCTTGAATAAAATGCAGTCAAAATTGGAAAATAAAACCAATGCCCAATAAGCAGTTAGAAATTAGTCCAATTTGATTCAAGCAACAATGCAGTACATTACTGTTCTATTTTTAAACAGTTTTTCAAGTTTTATTTTATGTTACAACCAAGAGACATTCCAATTAGATTTTGTGAAGTTTGAAAGTCATTAATCATTTATTTTAATGAATAGCACTCGGTGCCTATTTCTGATATTAAAAAATGAATGTAAAAATCTGTAAATTGCATCTTTTCTTTAAATATTATCCAGAGCTTGAAAAAATGTATCAGTTTGTGAATTTTAAAGGTACATTCGCTCCTTTTGATTTACACTTGACAAACCCATTACTAGGTTAGCATTATTTTTATTGGCAGTGTTACTATTAACATCTATTGACTCAATTGGCATTTAATTTTTTTTATTTAAGTAATATACATTTGATATCACAAGACATTGAGCAAAATATAAGATCCATCTTAGTTTCACTAAAATTAAAACTAAAAGTAAAATCAACAATATTGTGTTATTTACAGTGGAACCTGTGTAAGTGGAACGCCCTTGAGACCACAAAATGTGTTCCATTTGCGAGGTGTTCCACTTACAGAGGTTCTTTAACATGGAGTCAATGGGCCGCAAAACCTGTTGCACTTGTGTAGTATTCCACTTAATAGTCTCTCCTTTATTTCAGTTGTTGGTACTGATGAGGCCCTTGACCAAAAGACACAAGAGGCACACGAGCGCATGTTCTGCACACTCCACAATTGTCTAGAAGCTATCACACGATTAGTCCCAATGTAAGTATCTAGAAGCTATCACACGATTAGTCCCAATGTAAGTATCTAGAAGCTATCACACGATTAGTCCCAATGTGAGTATTATACATGTACCGGAAATATAACACAATTTTATGTCCCCATCCCATAGTGTGGCGCTATATTGTCAGCTTGGACACATCTGTCCGTCCCTCTGTCTGTCCATGTCTGACAGATATCATCTTGACAGTTCCATCCGTTTGGTCTTCCAAGTTTGTTTATAGTCCCATGCTTAAGCTATGATTCCATTGAGCAAACTTGAAGAATCTTAGATCTGGTTTGTAACTGTAAATTTTATTAACATAAGTTTGATTCATCAGTTTTCACATGATCGACTCTCTAGTGCATTGTTATTGAAGTTCCATCTGTTTGGTCTGTCGCATCACCTTGTTTAACAAGCACTAATCGGTGTCTATTTAAGCAAGGAAACAACAGCCAGACTGCATCACGAACTTGCTTGTTCAGTACAATAAATATCACACTATTTAGCACACCATTTGTCCATGTTAACACTAAACAACACTTTCCTATGAAGGATGAATAATGCCATAACGGACTGGCCATTGCAATAAGATTCGGTCCGTACGTTATACAAAACACAAAAAACAATACCATCATTATTTTCGTGAATTTCACGTCAGCTTTTTTCGATTTTTTCTTTTCATCGGGAATTTGTTTCTTCAGCGTAGTTGGCTCTCCATGTTTGGTCGTTTCTTTGTGCTGTGCTGTATGTTGCTCAATGATTTTCCTCTGTCGCCGCAATACCCTAAAGATGTTGAAATAACAAAAACACATAGTTCCAAGGGGAAATCCAAATGACAGAAATAATATGAACATCATTAGAGGGTTTGAATCACTCGAGTCATCTAAGGAGGTCATGCTACAGAGATATCGCTTCTCGTCATCAACAAAGTCATATTTTGCAGAAATATGAAAAAGCGGCAAAGACAGTAAAACACTGGGGACGAGCCAGCTTATGAATACTACACCCCCCATTGTTTTCCTATTAAAGAGCATACTGTATTTTGACGCATGTACGATCAGCACATATCTGTTAATGGATATAAAACTATAGTACATAAGGTTGACACCGGTGAATAACAGCGAGAAATATGCATATGCTGGACACATCTTTATTACGCCTCCATATGTCAAATCGTTAGCTCCAGTGACCGGGAGGTTACCTGCGTAGTTTATGATGTCATTTATACTGAGCAATAATACAAAAGCATTTGGGATTGTTTGTATCTTAGGTGTGCGCGCTATGGCAACGATTGTCACCAGATTTATAAAAGTTCCAAATGGAGATATAAGGCACATCATGGTGAACCCCAAGATTCTGCCTGCATAAAAGTCATTTATTGGTACGGTTTCATTTAAGGCCATATCAGTAGTCAATGCTGCAATTTGTTTCTTGTGTTTCTTTTTTCCCAGCTTTTTATTATATAGTTCGTCTCGTGTTATGTTGTATTATCTCAGTTATTTAATCAAATTATGTTCACGGATGCAGTATTAATGCATAGAGTGTTCCTAATTTTGTTAATGATATATGGTTTGTAGGTCATTAAAAGCCAGTTCCAGGAGATGCAAGTCCTGTTTAGCATCTACCACCTTCCTTGAATCAGAATTGAAATTATTGATGAGTCCAATGAATGATGTTTTTATCGAATTTTTTGTTGCACATTATTTTCCTGACTTTATCTATTAAGGCATTCAGTTCATTCTTGTCTTGATTCGTAAAAGCTGAATGCTCTGTAATGTTTTGCTCTGTAATCTTTTCCTCTGTAACGTTTTGCTCATCTGGTGGTATATTTTGGATTTTTTGTAAAATCAACAATTGTCATTGTCATAAAATGAACAATACGTCATTGTAATGATGTCTGATAGTCAATAAAAGACATTATAGATCAGTTCGTAATTGCAAACTTTTGTATGTTACACTGGCCTTGCATTGATTGAATGACGGACATTCGAAGAGTTAGCAGTTCAAATTTATCGATGTGTATATTGTAATCACACACCTCTCTTTAGTCTTCGAGAATTACTGTCTTATTAATGATAGGGGCTGTGATCTCCCAAGTATTTTTTCTCAGGTGGGTGCAAAATTCTCATTTTCACAATTTAGACCAAACTTGGGTGCTGCGCCCACTTGCTGTAATGCTGGGGAGATCACTTAGGGGTATCATATTTTAAGTTTTAAATGTTATTTTTAAAGCAGAAAATCCATAAAGGCTTCTTTGGAAGGGATTCAATTTTTTAACTTTCTCATAAAGTTCATGAATTGATTTAGGCAATGTTTATTGTAACCTGGGTACATAGTATGCTTATCGATAAAGAAGACACACCTTTTTGTAGTTTAAGGCCAGAAACAATTGTTTCTGTTCACAATTCTTTGATAAAATCTTTTTTAAAGAATGAGATGGTTTTGTATGTATGTAACTTATTGGCATCTAATTTACTAAATAAATATAGTTATATCGCAAACAGTCATATATCGTAGTCTAGCTTACCATATAAAATTATAGAATTAAAAATATTACTTGCAAGCATGATGCATGTTTGCAAAATCAACACTTATGGCACCTATTACTTGTGGAAGTTATATTTGCTTGTGTGACTGATTCATGTGTGCAAAATAAAAATATTACATCACCATTTTCAGTACAAATGGAAATTAGATAAATATCAGTTTCACTTTGTATTAGAACATTTGAGTTATAGGATAGAAATGAAAATATTGAACAAATCAAGATCCGTAACTATTTTTCCTAGCCTAATATTGAGTGAAGCATTGATGTTTTTTTTACTTGTGGGTATAAATAAGTCAGGTTATTGACTTTGATATGGATCTTTGTTCCAAGAAATGTATCTATATTTGTTTAGTTTTCTAAAACTAGTTAATTGATGTAGCCTTCCTATATAGCAATTAATGGTTTTTTAGTTGTTTTTATATGTGTGAGTGTACTGAAAAAATACTGTATCGTGGAACACCTCTTTCAGTGCTCCGTTATGGAATACTTTCAGTTTCTAAGTCCAGTTTCCCATTAATTTGATGAAAAACTAACTAAGTTGAACGCCTTCAAGTGGATTTATTTTGAGTTAAGTTGAACGCCTTCAAGTGGAATTATTTTGAGTTATTAGTTGAATGCCTTCAAGTGGAATTATTTTGAGTTATTAGTTGAAAGCCTTCAAGTGGATTTATTTTGAGTTATTAGTTGAAAGCCTTCAAGTGGAATTATTTTGAGTTAAGTTGAATGCCTTCAAGTGGAATTATTTTGAGTTATTAGTTGAATGCCTTCAAGTGGAATTATTTTGAGTTTTAAGTTGAACGCCTTCAAGTGGAATTATTTTGAGTTAAGTTGAATGCCTTCAAGTGAAATTATTTTGAGTTAAGTTGAATGCCTTCAAGTGGAATTATTTTGAGTTAAGTTGAATGCCTTCAAGTGGAATTATTTTGAGTTAAGTTGAATGCCTTCAAGTGGAATTATTTTGAGTTAAGTTGAACGACTTCAAGTGGAATTATTTTGAGTTATTAGTTGAATGCCTTCAAGTGGAATTATTTTGAGTTAAGTTGAACGCCTTCAAGTGGAATTATTTTGAGTTAAGTTGAATGCCTTCAAGTGGAATTATTTTGAGTTATGTTGAATGCCTTCAAGTGGAATTATTTTGAGTTAAGTTGAATGCCTTCAAGTGGAATTATTTTGAGTTATTAGTTGAATGCCTTCAAGTGGAATTATTTTGAGTTATTAGTTGAATGCCTTCAAGTGGAATTATTTTGAGTTAAGTTGAACGCCTTCAAGTGGTGCTATTTCGATTTACCAAAGCTGTTCCACTTACACAGGTTTAACCATGCTGCTTTTATCAGATTTAGTAAATAAATTGTGAATTTAAATGTATTCTATTGCAGGACTTCTACAATTTTGATGGCGATACTGTCAAAGGAGTTCCCGTTCAGGTCCAAGTCCACATATATCCACGAATGCTACGTGAAAAACTTATTGTTGTTGTTGCGGTATATTCCCCACTTGCGACCCGCCATATTGGAACTGATTGTAGATCGCATGATGCATTTGGATGTAAGTACTTTGTGTCTATTGTTTTGTCTATTGTGCGCTTTGAAGTCATCATTGGTTGTAAATATTTTTTTCACAGGAGGAATGGTATATATCTTGTATCAATATACATTGTACAATATACATATTGAAATGAGTTTAAATATAAATATGATTGACAGTAAATGATTGTCATTTGACCTATTTCTGAATACTAGTTAAGCCTCGTGTATAATCTCAACATTATGTGCCTTATAGGTGCGCAGCCCCAGAGATGTGATTGAAGAAAGTGAGGAATCAGAAGAAGATGACATTGAAGAAGAACAGGGACCCGATAGAGAGCAGGAATCTGGTGTTTTTAGTATGGTAAGATCAGACATTGTCAGGAATCTGGTGTATTTAGTATGGTAAGATCATGCATTGTCAGGAATCTGGTGTATTTAGTATGGTAAGTTCAGACATTGTCAGGGATCTGGTGTATTTAGTATGGTAAGATCAGACATTGTCAGGAATCTGGTGTATTTAGTATGGTAAGAGCAGACATTGTCAGGAATCTGGTGTATTTAGTATGGTAAGATCAGACATTGTCAGGAATCTGGTGTATTCAGTATGGTAAGATCAGACATTGTCAGGGATCTGGTGTATTTAGTATGGTAAGATCAGACATTGTCAGGAATCTGGTGTATTTAGTATGGTAAGATCATGCATTGTCAGGAATCTGGTGTATTCAGTATGGTAAGATCAGACATTGTCAGGGATCTGGTGTATTTAGTATGGTAAGATCAGACATTGTCAGGAATCTGGTGTATTTAGTATGGTAAGAGCAGACATTGTCAGGAATCTGGTGTATTTAGTATGGTAAGATCAGACATTGTCAGGAATCTGGTGTATTAAGTATGGTAAGATCAGACATTGTCAGGAATCTGGTGTATTTTGTATGGTAAGATCAGACATTGTCAGGAATCTGGTGTATTTAGTATGGTAAGATCAGACATTGTCCGAAATCATATATTTTCAGTATGGTAAGATCAGACATTGTCAGGAATCTAATGTATTTAGTATGGTAAGACCTATTAATCCATCTATATAGCAAATGGTCAGTTGGCCTACCAAAGATCAGGCATTGCTAGTAAATCATTGTGCAATACACTACTGACATCTATTTTGAACAAGAATAGTTGACAATCACCTTCAAAAACCATTTCCAGGAATTGTCCATATCATAAATTTTAAATTGTCTTTGATGTTTCTCCCTACTCATAATTTAAAGTTACTCCCTATGCAATTTGCTGATTTTACATTCTTTTGACAGCTGATATCTAATAATTGTAATTTTCTGACTTTTGAAGGAAGTAGAAGAGGCATCTACCCAGCCTGCTTTTCAAACTGGCCCACAGGAGGAAGTTCCCATGGTCCACCCTGAGGCACAGAGACTAGACTCACTCATGGACATCATGTTTAAATATATAGACTCCCAATGCCATGATAAAAGTAAGTAATACCTAGGGGGAAATGCCCATATATGGTAACCCTTAAACGATAAGGGGGCAGATCTAAGCTTTTTTCGTAGTTTGTCTTTTGATGTGAAACTTTCTGGCTTTTCTTAAAATTGAAAGAGGCATGTTCAAACGAAAAAATTGTGACTCTAACCCCCTAGGGGGAGCGTTAGAGCTGGTCAAAGTTACTGAAATACCCAAATTGTCAGTAGTTTTGACTTGAAACGATAAAGCCCTATGTTCTTCGAAAAAGAATTTTTTCATCAATAATGGCTCAATATAGTTATAAGTAAGCTCAAAATACTATTGAATAACCTTTCCAATGATACCAAATACAACCTCTTATGATTGTTTGTCTCCAAGATCATAGCCCCTAACCATAGGTATAATTCTCTATAGCCTATCTGTTTAATAAGGGTTATATGTTAAAATAGCATGGAATTGGCAAGGAATCAATACATATGGAAAAGGCATTATAATATATGGACATTAGAAACATCTGTAAACATTCTAGTTGTTGTTATATGTAGATTTGGTAAGAAAATCTGATTCTAAATGTATTGAATGATATGATTTGTCGTTGCCTTTGGCTATTCAGTGATTCCTTTGATTTCTTTTCAACAATATTGATTAATTGTGTATAGTACTTGATTTTTTTGAGCAATGTAACATTGTACCATTGTAACATTGAGCAAATTGTACCTACAAAAAACTTGAATATTCTTGAATTAATTATTTTGATAAAGGCTAAGTGTAAACACTGATATTCCCTCAGATTCAGATTCAGATCTAGTGCCCACTATTTAATGATGTACAAAGTTAAAGTAAATAATAAGTAAATTCATTCTGTTACAAAAAAATTGCAAGAAAATGGAGATAAGACGCCCATAGGTATTAAGACAATATCAAACAATAAACCAATGACACATTTAAAAAGACTCCTGGATGTAAGTGCAATTTTTAAGTAAGTAAATATTTCTTGTGTTTTCCGGTGGTTTATTTCATGACTCATATTTATTTATTTCATATCAATTGATTTTGAGTATTACAATTGTTTTAGAAAACTGATCCACTCTGTTAATCAAAGCACGAATAGTACAAAGGCTGTGAACGGAGTGACATGTTTTATTGTTTGTTTTTCTGTAAGGAAACTTGCCCATGAAGTCATACACTGTTCAAATTAAAACCTATCAGTGAGGTCTAGATTATTTGTTTCATAGCAATACATGTCTGACGTCACGCATGATCGCATAATATTCCTAAGCAACGTGCAAAAACAAACTTCTAAAATATGACGTCCTGGTTTGGTTTTGTCACCCGGGCTTTTAAATGAGTGAAATGTGAAACATTAGAAGCAAGAAAAGAAATCTATGATTTCTGTTTTTCTTGCTAAAAAAAACAGAATAACAAACATGTTAATTTTTTGTTTCAGATGAACTCGACTACGAAAAGTGTAAAGTTTTATACCGAGAATTCCTGAATGTATTTGACAAGATCATACTTGCAACCCATGCTTCGTCACATGTCCAGTTTATCATGTTTTACATATGCAGGCTTAAACAGGTATGTATTAACACTTTCTGACCAATATCAGAATGCAGCTACATGTGGTCTGAAATGCTGGTCCATGTTTTTAATGCACTTTGAAAATATGCCATTTTATCTTTGTTTTGTGCTGAATGAGTGTTATAAAATTCTGAGAAAACTACTTGCTTATCCGTTTAACTTAAAATTTCAAAAGATACAGGAGCTAAGATTTGATTTTGGGCATGCTGGGTAAATTACATGGCAGTCATTTTGCACTTCAAAGTGTGATATTTATCACTCTGTGTCTTGTTTAAATGTTTTCCTTATGTTAGTATTCAGTAATCCAGGTCAGAAATTTTCCCGTGTAAAATGTTTCTCTGTAGTCTACCATATGGGAAAGGATTTTTAATATTTAACAGTTTATTTATTTATTTTTTATTTATTTATAGTGGTCAGTCTTACAATTCAATATAAAATATAAAAAAATTAATAATTAGAATTTTACCCATCCCACCTTGGGCTTATTAACCAGTGTAACAATAGGAAAAATTAATACACGGAAATCAATATCATATGTAATATAATGTGATTATGATCAAGGTGAAGTGAATCTGAAATGATATATTTATACAGTCTGGTTGAACTTCACCTTTAAATAGCTTTCATTGTTGATACAGATGAAGGACAATTCTTTCAACTTGAAAATCTTAAGAAGCCATTTCATAGAAATTTATATTTTTCTTTGTTCAACATATCAAATCTAAATCAGCTTTAATATCAGCCTATTAAAAAACACCTGTTGTTCGCACGCTATTGTTGCTCTCTGAAAGAATGACATAGTCTATTAATAAAACCTGTGACTGTTTCATATTTCATTGACAGAACATCTAGCATGAGTAAATATTAATGAACCATAGAAAATCTACTTGGCTAATCCTGTAAATCATATGTTCTATTTGCATATACACATTCTGTATGTTATTGGCTCACACAGTGGGCCTATGTGATCGACCAGGCATCCGTCCGTCTGTTGGTCCGTCCATCCGTCTGTCAACATTGGCCGCACAAATTAGAACTGCTATTTGGATTGAGTCATATCCACATTCATTTTATGCATATCCATAATGCCTATTCGACCTATCATCACCATTTCCCAAGTTCGCCTGGTTTTCGAGAAATTGCTGATTTTGATGTCAAAAATTTTCTGTAAATACAAGACACTTTGTTGAAGTAGAACTTTCAAATAACTTGTTTCTCTACAGCTGTATGTACATTCACATTTATATGTTGAGAACGTACATAACAAAGTTTTGAAATCTGAATCTTCTTTCCATTTTGTGTATTATGGAAATAAAACACCTGGTAAAAGCATAATAGAGCCAGGCCTGTAGGGGGAGGGGGGGGGGGGGTGTTCTGACAGTTTGAGTGAAACAAAAATTCTTTCATGCAGTCTTTCACCATACTGAGAACCATTCAAGTGATTTGTCAAAATTGTCAGATTTGAACCACCTTCCTTGGATTTTTTAAGAACTGAACTCCCCTTGGCAAAAACTGACAATGAGCCTCAGAGAGCCGGTTTGTTTCAAGGAATATTACATTTTCTACCTTTGTCTTTTTCCTGTTTATAGCCTTTATGTGATGGCTTCATAGATTACCTGTGGAAGAAAGTACAAGACCCCAACATGCAGGTTGTATTCAGACAGTCCGCAGTTGCCCACATTGCGAGCCTCGTCTCTAGGGGACTTTTCATCAATATAAGGTAATAGACTAGATTTCATTTTGGGGATTCATTATTCGTTCAATATCTTTTTAATGTATATCTGGTACTGTTATTCAAATTAATTTGAGCCCATTTTATAATTTCATTGACAAATTTTCTGATTTGCAAAACTTCGCCAATTCACTAATTTTCTCCACTAATTTATTGGAAAAATATCCCCCGGAAAAAAATTTCACGGCAATCCAGTTAGAAGAATGCTGTCACTGTTCAAATAACTAAGAGCTTAGTTTAATGTACATAAAATTAACGAGTGACAATGTGAAAACATGATCCTTGATTTTAAATTGTCTTTCGCCAATTTTGTATCTTTTTATTATTACAGTTCAGTAGTGATGATCCTTAATGTGATGGTTCCTTGGATTCATCGTTATATTAGTGAGACGTGCCACAACTCTAGTCAGGCAGATATGCTACACCATGCCCCTTTCTACAGTGTCTGCCAGGGAGCGTTCTACATAATTGTATTCAGGCACAAAGAGATCTTTGACCAGCCTAAAGGTAAAATTGACCAGTTTATTGTAGTTGTTTTACTTTTTAACTGATTATTTTTGGGGTTTCTGGGTTAAGTCTCGTCTACGTGTTTGCGAAGAACCACATTACAGATTGATATCAAATTTTCAAGGCTATGTTACAGGTTTCAAGCCAAACCATTTTGTGGATTGAACTGAAATTTTTCGGGATTTTTTCGGTATGAACGCCTACATCTGGTTCATTCTTTAGCATTCTTGGTGAATGTAAATATGGTTATTTTGGCTTTTGTCTCTAATTCTTGTTATGTCATTTCAAACCAAACCGTTCCATGGATTGGTTCTCAAAAAGGGTTTACCGGGAATGTTTTTTTGTATGAAATGTTAAGAACTGATTATTATTTTTAGGTAAATGACATTAAGGTGAACTTTCTGTTCATAAAATATCTATTCAAGGATGCAATACTGTTCATTCTGTGTCCACCCAGCAGTTGCTACCATACATTTTGTTTCCTGTTAGTGTGAAAATATCTTAATGTGCATTATATTTGTCCATTAAGGTTATTAAGCTCTTCAACTGAAATGTTTCACTTATTGTGTCCTAATGGCTTTATAGAATCATCTATATCTCAGCTCTTAATAATTAAATCCATTTAGTTCCATTAGTAGGATAAGTACTAAATCTGAACGCAATTGATTTTCAGTGAGTAGGACAAAAGAGAATGAAACCAAACAGCAGTAGCAAACCAATAATAATAGTTTCACATCACCAATTATAATTTGGGAGGGATATAGAGAAGCCGTCTGTTCGTTCATTCTATCCGTATACTATATCCATATGTTCCTCAATCCATCTGTTTGTTTGTTTGTCTGTCTGGGTGATAACTCAAAATTCCTGTTTACACTGGGGGGTATCGTGATGCAACAACACCGTGTTGTTGCATCAAGATGGCCAGACTTCCGGTGATAGATTTTTGTACGATGTTTTGTTTTCCCAATTTACACCCATTTCTAGGACGAGTTGCTCAATAATCATACACATGCAGTTAGCGCATGATCTATATTTAAAAAAACTATCATTGGTATACATGTAGCATCATCAAGAAGCGATAAATTCGTGGTTTTAATTCCTCACTATTGATGCAACAACACCACTCTGTTTCTTATCGATGATGCAACAACACCAATGTGCTGATGCAAAAACGCCAATATAATGTATCATTGAACAACAAGAGAAACTGTTTTATGTTCTGTTTACAGGTGTGTCGAGACATGAATAAAACGTGTTGGTCAGTGGTCCATGAAAGAAACGTATTTTGTTTGGTTTCTTTGTCTATCATCAAAGTTAAAAGGATATACAAGGCAAACTAAATATCTCATTGATATTGTATCTGAAAAATAAAGATTATACATTTTCTAAATTAAATGCCCTTGATTTACCGTATGGAAATTGCTTACAAATAACTAATATAATTTTGGAAAGACAACAGATATCAGTCATTTTGTGTTGTTAGTACCTCAATTGAAATACTCAATTCTGATTGGTTGATGAGCGGTCAACAAAATGTATTGTTAGTACCTCAACTGAAATACTCGATTCTGATTGGGTGATTATGAGTCAAAATTATGTACTGTTGACCGCTACTAGGTACTGTTGACCGCTACTTGGTACTGTTGACCGCTACTTCTGAAAAAAAGTTTCATGACGTAACAAAAAAACATGGAAGACGGACATTTTGTAAACGTTGATGAAAATGACTTTAGTAGGCGACAAGTACAGCAAAAATACAAATAGAAACTTAAAATTAACATTAATTCACTAACGAGTACGCTGTGATGTGCCAAATACAGAGTTAAGCTACTTGCACTGTCTCCAAATTTTCTAAAAGGTTGTGAAATGAAGCCATGCCGATTGATGATTGTCGTCTATATGTGTATTACTAGTTTACTCGGACTAACAAAACAATTGTAGACCTCTCCATTCGATCAACTGTCAAAATTATATACCTCGACTGTAAACCTTGAAACTACTGTTGACCTCGACCTTCGGACTCTGTCAACAGTAGTTTTTCGGTTTACAGTCTCGGTATACAATTTAGCCGGTTGACCTCTGGGGAGGTCAACAATTGTAAACTGTTGACCACTACTAGGTACTGTTGACCCCTATTTTTGAAAAATTGTTTTTTTAATGTTGAATTTTTTTTAATTTTGAAAAAATAAGTTGTGTAAAAAATTACAAGTATTCGACGGATTGGGGATTTTTTGCTAAAATATGTTCACGTGATATTCGATTATATATTCGTCCAATTATTATATTATTTGGACTAACAGAACAATTGTTAACCTCTCTTTTCGGTCAACTGGCAAAAGTGTCCTCGACCTCTGGTCTTGATCAACAGTACTTTCAAGGTTTACAGTATCGGTATACAATTTTGCCAGTTGACCTTAAGAGAGGTCTACAATTGTATATTATATCCTTCAAATTATTATATTCTTCGGACTAACAAACAATTGTTAACCTCTCTATTCGGTCAACTGGCCAAAGTGTATTCCTCAACAGTAAACCCTGAGAGTACTGTTGACCTCGACCTCCGAACTTTCAAGGATTACAGTATCTGTATACAATTTTGCCAGTTGACCTCAAGAGAGGTCGACAATTGTATATTGTATATCCTTTGTTATCCCACCCAAAGTATGATGTCATATATCAAGTTGAAGAGTTGTATACGCTGCTCAGGAGTTTACGCTATCCAGGAGTTGTACATTGTTCTCAAGAGTTGTATAGGATGAGTGTTGGTTTAATGATATTGCAGTTATACAATGCTATTATATAAAGGTTATTTACTGAGAGGGATTCAATATTGGTTTTATTCCGAGAGACAATATGACATTTCCTGAGGGCCCGGGATATCTGGGATAACTGTACCCCTATCAATTTACCTTTTTGGGCCCTTAATCTTATCACTTTTGTTTACCTTTTTACTCTGTCGGAGAGAAGGAATCCAAAGAGAGCAATGATTCTACACGTGCGTCGTGCAAGATTTCCATTAAACGTGTAACTAAACGGCCTCTCTAATAAAGTCAATTAGACGTTTTTACACGTTGGCTCTCCAAATTGGAGGAAATAAAGAATCATATCATATTATATCATAGATGAAGCAATCATCCCATCAACATAAGCTCACGAATGTCACAGTTAAACTGTTTTAATTATAATTTGATAAACAGTGGTAACGTACATCTACTAGTTTATCACTGTTCCACAGATGGGTGACAGATAATTTCCAATAGCTCATCATGTTTACCGAGAACGGAAGATGTTTGTCCACCATTTTGAATGATACTAACTGATACAAGCTATGGAACAGTGGTTTATTAAAATAAACTAAAGCTTGCCATGTTAAAGGCGATTGAACTATGTTATAGAACAACGTCCAGTACATTAAAATATTTAAAAGTATAACTTTTTGAAAATACATATAGAGGATCTTGAATGCCTTGAGAAGAACGCAAATATGGGTAATGGGTAACGGTGTTGCAATAGTAGCATTTAGAAATCTGTTCCTCTCGAGATTTATGGTCTTCTGAAAGTATACTATTAATTGGTGTTGCTGCATCATTGCTCAAATCTAGAGGAGTGTTGTTGCATCTTCGGTTTGGTGTTGTTGCATCAATAGTGAGGAACTAAAACCGTGAACTTATTGCTTCTTGGTGATGGTACATGTATACTAATGACAGTTTCTTTAAATATAGATCGTGCGCTAACTGCACGTGTATGGTTATTGAGCAACTCGTCCTAGAAATGGGTTTAATTGGGGAAACAAAATATCGTACGAAAATCTATCACCGGAAGTCTGGCCATCTTGATGCAACAACACGGTGTTGTTGCATCACGATACTCCCCAGTGTGTTTACAGATTTGATTGAGATTTTATATACCATAAGATATCTGATAAAGAAAAGTAGTGATTTAAAGGAAAGTTAAATTCTTAAGGTGGTATTTATTTACTTTTTTAGATACATCTCGTAATATATTTTAATATATAATTTGGGATAGAATCAATGTATAAGGTAATATCGTATCTATGATATGAATTTTATTAACAAGTCATATTCACATATGAGTGTTTGATACCTTCTATATATATAATAATTTCAATTCAATTTATTTATTTATTCAAATTATTGACAAAGTATGACAAAAGTGTCCTACGAGGCCGATCCTCACAGGTCAAACCATTTGACTTCAATCACAGGAATGAATACAAACATAATTAATTTAAACATGTTTTTGGAACTGAGGCTAATCAGGGGGTACAGCAGAGCATAAAGAAAATAATAGTCAGATAAGTCAAAAGAAACATATCTGTATTCTGTATTTAATTAGAGTGTTACAAGAGGGTCACATATACTGTGCAATCTTATGTGTAGGTTTTATTCTTAGAAGAAACCAAAAGAGTAATAACAGTAGTTGTACCACTTAAACTTGTTCAATAATTTAAATGAAAATTCAAATAGAACATTATATAAATAAAGTGACTTTACATGTGACCATTTGTATTGAGATTAAAATCATGGGTATTCCATGGTATCTTTTATAGTTTCTATCTTAGTTTGTACTTTGGATTTACTTATAAGAATGGCCAAAATACCAAAGCATAAAACGAATACCTCGCTCATAGAAATCACTGACATCCCAACTAGCAAACCTAAATTTCCACCAATTTCAGAAACCATTGAACCTAATGAAAAATCCTCAGTTTGAGTTGTTACCTTTGTGTTCGAATCTTTGAAATAAACATTCAATCGGAGAAATTGTTCGCGCAAATCATCTCCTATATCCTTGTTTATAATTTTTTTTCCTTCAGCATCATATGCTAAGGAAGAACAATTTGAAGCTATTCTATCATGAAAGGCCTGATAAATACTCGAATTTTCATTATAATTGACAAGTTTCATGATCATATCGCAATAAAAATGAAACTCAATCCCCTTCATTGGCCATTCCGAATCAGATAATGTGATGTCATACTTGTCATTTTTACAATTGTCCTTGCATTCGCAGCCTTCTTGCGCAAGAATATCTAACCAGGAAAATTCTTGTATGGAACAATTCAGTTGATTTAAATCCTGCCTGAGTAGTGTGACATTTGGGTCACTCTTCTGCCATTCCTGTGATTGAATGTTTGCACAGAATTCAACATCTTTAGTTTTGTCATCAACTGGTAGTGAACCTAGTATGCATCCACACCTTTTAAAAACCAGCCTCTGTATACAGGTCTGTATACAAGCTTTTGTGCTATATTTCCACTTTTCATATTTTACGTCATTATGGTCTGCACAGTCGCCCCATGGGGGACCCATCAGCTCACGTCTTTCAGCGGATAATGCAACATTGACAGTATTCCCTGCTTTGATATCAAAACCATCATTCTCTGGGTCTGGCCATGTTCCTTGTTCATGGATGACAACCCGCGCTCCTCGACTGCCACTGGTTGGGTAATCTGGGTCGTAGAAAGTCGAATGTTCTACATCAGTATCCAGATAGAGTATTAAAGACAAGCCAGCACTCGGTCCTCTATCAACGTCCAAACTGGAGATATTTGACAAAGGTCCATTAAATGTGAAACAGCTGAAATGTTCATGGTGGCCACTTTGGTATAGTTCTTCTGTGCACATTTTACTCTGGTACTTGCAAGATGGTATGAAATCATTTTGTGTAATGTTATATCTCTGATGTTGAAAATTTTCATAGTATCCCCCATTGGTCTTGAGTTTTTTATGAGACTGATTGTATAGCAGCTGTATTTCTTCACTTGCGTTCTGTAGGCTAGAAACGTTCAACTGGTATTGTCCCAACATATAAAGCAAGTTATTATAAGCTAACATTGAAAATGCAACACTATTATTCTCTGCTAAATCTTTCCCAAAGGTCGCCAACGCTTTCCTTGTTATAGGAGATAAAGGGCATACTGTTACTGAAGGGAAAACAGCTTCATCCTTTGCGACTCTTATACTGTCCTTTGTGTTAAACTCACAATATTTTAAAACAACCTTGATGATAAGAAACAACGCCACAATACAGCATGCAGAGGATATAAATATCCATGCAGCTTTAGCTAACTTAGATTTAGTTTGTGTGACGTTACCCCAACCGTGTGCTGAGGTGTTGCCTGCAAAGTCTCCAATTAGTGCTCTCATTTTTTACTGCAGTTTACATGTTGGAGAATAGTACATGGCATTGTGTCTTTGTATATGTATATAAATGTACTTCTCAATTTACATAACTCATTTATTTGCTTTTGTGTGGTTTCCTCAGATATGTCCTTTTAATCACCCTGGTGTCCTCAAAATATTTATACCTATTTAATCAATGAATGGCATAAATATAATTGTAATCCATTTTGAATGGAATAAGGTACCCATTGAAATATCATCTAAGGATTAGAATTATATTTGAAACATATATTTTTATTAGAGATTTCCCATTTCTTTAATCCTAGTACTGTTTACAGTATATTGACTTTAAGTGTACTGCCTAATAGTGTGGTCTTACCCCGGGGGGTTCACTATATATAAACCTTGACGGGGATCCTCGGCGCATGTGGGGTACCTTTTTCAACGTTTGGTATGGCAATGGACCCATATTTTAGGATTTGGTATGGGAATGCCCGGAAATTTCTGACTTCTGAGGTATGGCAATGGTCGGACTTTTGCTCTTCTGGTATGAGAATGGTCGTTGTAGATACGTTACCTAACATTTGTGGTATGGCATTGGTCCAGTAGTTGCAAATTTGAAGTTGTTTTGGATTGTTTCCCGAAGTATCTTCTTTTCCAGGGCCTTCTTCACTTTTGAATTTTATATGGTATGGCATTGGTCCTACATTTTGACATTTGGTATGGCATTGGTCCCATAATTGGGCATTTGGTATGGCATTGGTCCTATATTTGGACATTTGGTATGGCATTGGTCCTATATTTGGACATTTGGTATGGCCTTTGGGGGTTATTTTGGTTGGTATGGGAACATATTGAAATTTGACAGATTGGTATGGGAACATATTGATATTTGAGGCTTCAGCCTAGGACCCCCGTCGAGTTTTAATACAGTGAACCCCCCGGGGGTCTTACAGCCCTTCTAGATGGTTCATTCGCAGCCAGTACGATATCATTAGATTCATAGAGTTCTATTTGAAATAATGGTCATGTGATTTTTGTTGATGGATCCATTAACATTAATTTTTCAGCTGAAACATTTTAAGATCAATTTACTGAATACACACCTGCATTAATTCCGTTAGGCCTGCAATATGAGAAACAATTGATGATTAATTATTCTAATGGGTAAAGCTTATACAATTGCCATTTTGACTCTGGCTGGCTGGCTCGCTGGCTGGATGGCGAAAATCCAAAATAGTTCATTTGAAATTTATTCAACATGCCTTAAATCTAATCAGTTCTGAATTTTCATAAAGAGAAACATCGCTGAAAATTTGAGGGGAGGTTTGGAGGCCGTTTAATGTTGAATATTAACCATCGTTGTCATAAAAAATTGCCACGAAATCTAAAGGACGATTCTCGTTTTAGAGAACAGTCTCCTGGGCTTATAATTTTTTTCATGAAGAAATATAGAAATATTACCCAAATTAAACTATGAATATTCAAAAGAGGACATTTAAATCTACAAGATGTAAAATAACAAATTGGTCGGAAGCAGGGATAACGCTCAATTAGACCGATTTAATAAAATACAAGTCTTGATTTGGGGAAAGAAGTTCATCAGTGTACTGCGCTAATATTTTTTTGCGAGAAATCTAGAAATATTACCCAAATTAAATTATGACTATTCAAAAGAAGACATTCAAATCTATATTATGTAAAAAAAATCTAATTTGTCCGAAGCAGGGATAATGCTCATTTAGATTGATGAACTTCGTTCTCCAAACCGAGAATCGTCCTTTACATAAAGATAAATGACTCTGGAATTTTCTGGAAATCTCTGAATTGTTTTTCCATTTTTGTGTGGCCACCCTTGAATATGACTACAATATGATTGAAAATGCATGCTACTGTTTTATGGAAGAAAGATATAGTCTCCTGTTTAAGAACCCCTATTTTTACTATTGAAATGGATTCTACCAATACTCTCCCGCATGAACTTAACGTTTGGGCCAACTTGACTTGGGCCAAATATTGAACTACAGTAAAACCTGTATATCTTGAAATGTGAACACCTTCCACTTTGAACACTTTTGGCTGGCCCCAGTGGTATTTAGATTGTACAAATTTAACATGAACATATTTTCGCCAGTAGAGTATAATCACTTGTGATAGCATTCAAAAAAAAGTGTGAATCATTTAGAATAGTGTAAAATCAGTGTTATTTGAATAACTGAATGTCGGATTAATTTCATTCCTATTATTTCCAGGGTTTGAATTCTTGCAAGGTCTCAAGCTTCAGAGCATAGTAACTTGCCGTCTGAATCCACTCAAGTTTTGCCTCGACATCGTCGCAAGAACCTTCGCATCTATAACAAGGTATGTTTTGTTATATAATTCAAGCAGATTCCCGACCAAGTTGTAGATGATATGGAGAGTGATCGCAGAATGTTTCCAGAGATTGTTATAAATAGATTCAGTTAACCACTTTTCATTTTTTGGCATGATATTTAATTTATTATTTGAAATTTTTTCAGTAAATGAAATGGAGGTTGATTAATAATGGACATGTAGATTATGAAAGATTTCTTCAAATCTATGACTGACTTTCTGCAAAATCTAGTGGTCCAATTTTCAAATGAAATGAACATAGTAAAACATTCAGGATTGTTGTTACAGAATTAGAAATACTGTTGTATACATCAGATATTCAGAATTGTTATGTTACCACCAAAATTGGTAACATATTGTTATTGTTACTTTTTTGTGGCAGCAATCAGGGCTTAGGTGTTCAGCATCTGTAACAAATAGTAGGTGGTGACATTTTGCGTTTTGTGTCCATTCACATATCCATAAATTGACACCAATTTTAAATTTGATGTCTTATTTCAGACAACATCAACTTGCATACTGTGACACGGTGATGGAGCGTAATAAGAGGTCAAAGCTGCCTGTATTCTCTGAGAATAGAGACACACAGGGCACCGCGAAATCAAACCCACTGGATTCCTTCTTTCCATATGATCCTTATCATCTGAAAAAGTGAGTTCTTTTTTGTATTTATTTCCTCAATTTCTTGTTAAGAACAAACTTAGTCATCCAGAAAGGATGGGTTTGAAAATATGTTATTTTGGACCCTCGTTAAAATATTACTGTCCCTGATGTTCTCAAAATATATTGTATTTATGCAGTTTTTTGATGAGTAAATTTTGATGCTTAATATCCTATTGCTGAGACTGAATATACAATATATTTCAAATCTCAATTCATTCCTTTAAGTCAGTGGAGAAACAGTCACAAACTTACTGACTTTGAATCGAATAATCTGAAATTAAACCTCAAGTCACGAGAGAGACAACCACATGTTTACTAAATTGCCATAAAACACTCACAAATAAACTTTTCCTGCTAATTTCCCACAGAGACTTTTTTTCTTGCCATATCACGTAACATTTTATTTCAATTTTCCGATTTTCCTGTATCCAAAATATTTTTCATGCGGAAAGATACAGTAAATTGAAATGAGTCACAAATCTGAAAAAATATTTTGAGATTTTTATTCTGATAATATTTTCAGATGCTTAGGAGTGAAAAAATCACAAAATGTGGTTGAAAATGAGTGTTTCTATTATTCTATTATTTCGAGGCATCGTTGAACTCAACAAGAATTGTGTATTATCAGTTGAGAAACTGTAGTTTAGACCTAATATAAACACCATCCCAAAATGTTCTTTACTGAAATTCCATTAAATAATTTGAGACTATGTACATTGAAGAGACATCCAAAGATACAAAATCTCCATCAAATAATCTGAAACTAAACCTCAGGTACATTGAAGTAAAGAGACACTAAAAATTTAATGAATTTCCATTAGACAATCTGAAACTGAAAACCCTAAGTAAGTGAAGAGATACTCACAGATTTATTAACTGGTATTTAACGTGTCACATTGAACTACCACATTGGACTTATCAGTTGCTATAAGTATAAAGAAAATCATCTAAAGACATTACATAGTCATAGTTACCAATAGCAACTGTTGACATATACTCATTGAATATGGACAAAATGTTTGTTTTATTTTTCTGTACAAAATAAATGTCTTTTTTACAGTTCACTGTGTTGAAGATCCTTTATTTTCATCCAGTTAGACATATTTTTCATAACCCATGAGTTCAAAATCATTTTTATATAGCTCTTGTATTCTTAACATTGTTTCTTTTGAAATTGTTTCAATTGGATTAACCTTTTCTGACCCATCATGTATGTTCTCTTTTAGCCCTACTACTATATCTATTAATTCTCTACGTGCTACATTTTCATGAAGAGTTGGGAATATTTTTCTTGGTGGAATAACATTTCTCTGTACCAGATTTTTCCAGAATATTTTAAGACAATCTTTGAAATCCAAACCACAATTTTTTGCACCATTGATGTTTGTTAGAAATATGTGGACCATATCTTTGAGATAATCCATCTTTACATCAAACTTTTCAGTGAATGTTATATTTTCAGCTATGTTCACTGAATCAAGTAGGTATTTCACATCATTGTTGAATGATTCCATTTTTCCGATGAAGTCATAGTCTATCATACAAGGATGACAAGTCCTGTACATCATGTCAAAATGCATGTCTGGTTTCTTATTGGACTCTTCCTGCTTGATTCTGTAATCAAGGAACTCTTGAAACGAAGTGTTATGGCCGCATTTCAAATCAGTTTCTGTTGGATTTTTACGAATTTTTTTCATGATTGGCCTACCCTGGTGTTTCCAAGCACCCACAGTCACACTTGCTAATTTGTCAGTATGTGCAGATAACAGCCTCTTTATTGGATCACGGACAAACACAATCTTTTTGTAATACTTTAGATAGTATTCTATATCTTCCTTAGTTTTGTGCTGCAATGTATTTAATGGTAGACTATGGGCCCATTTTGCTGGAATACTATATGGGTTCTTTGATTGAGTTTTGCCATCTAGAACAAATAGTAAACGCTTCATAAATGTGCAACCTACTTTTGGCATTGCACAGTACACAAACTTGTATTTATGATTCACAAAGAAAAAACTTTTCCATAGTTTTGAGATATTGAGAGATTTGTTGAGTCCAAATTCTTTACATTTTCGTTTGAGATGTTCTGTTCTGTCTTGCTGTGTTTGTTGTGACTGATATTTGTCATAAGTATAGAAGTGGTTTAATTTATCTTCTTTCCGGACAGGCTTACTCAACGAATCAATCTTTTCAGAATTCTTGTAGTCGTACCTTGAGCAGTCAGAACCCAATCTACATCCTAGTTCTTTTTCAGTGGTATGCAGCAGTTGATCTGAAAATTTACAATAAGAGCTTGTGAAAACCATTTTATTAGCAGTATGCCATAATATGCAGGATTATTGTTAAGTTCTGTTCTTAACAGATTCATTTAAGTGACGACATGGCTTTTAATTTTAAAATCAGAAATGCTACTAATAGAGTTTATGCTTTATATATATGTAATGTCAAAATGAAATTTATGAAAAAAATTGCCAGAGACGCAAGTATCTTAAACTTAACAGTGATCTCCCCAGCATTCAAGCAAGTGGGCGCAGCACCCACTTGAGATTTTTGAAATAGGCTTGCACCCACCTGAAAATCCATGTGCACTCTCTTGAAAATGAGAAAACCAATTTTGGTCTGAATTGTGAAAATTAGAATTTTGCACCCACTTGAGAAAAAATCCTGGGGAGATCACTGCCTGTATTTAAGTATATTAATATCTCTCACCTTTATATATTAACAAAGTTGCAATGATCGTCATTACAGAAAAGACCAAGGAAAACCAGTACAATTTCCTTATTTTATTCCAAGGCATTTCTTTTTTGTGACAGTGCTCATCATCTGAGAAGCTGTTTTATCATGTGTTCCTATATAAGAAGGAATTTTATATTGATACATACAGGGTGGTCCATAAATACATTTTCATTAAGAGTTGGGAGATTTATCTGTTTGGGAAATAGTTTTTCTGCATCAGATTTTCTTAGATTATTTTGACATCTTTTTTGAAATCTAAATCACATTTATTTGCACCATTGATATTCACTATTTCACAAATCAGTATGTTACAATTTTGGGTTTAAGTAAGGCAGTACCAAAATATTGAAATCATATTTATTATGATACATAATTTTTCTAAGTCCACCCTGTATAATATATTAATGAATTAACAAATGTGATGGCTATAAAATCAATCTGTTTTACAGGACTCAAGATAATGGATTTTATATGTATATTATCTTTGTTCAAATTCATTCATACAGTCAATAAATTGTTTATTAATCGATCTCTATATTTATGATTCCACCACTAAATTGTTGAATATTTGTGAGAGTATTCACGTTTTATTTAATATGCTCTGTTAGGTGTCACATCACATCTTTCTTTTCATCAGTCCATTCTTTGTCTCTCAACCAAGTCCTTTGTTCTACTTAAATTAAATTACATTTGTTTGCTTCAAAGTGTATGAGTATATTAGTTTTTTGGTATGTAGTATTACAACTGTCCATTTTTGTAATGTCACCACCAAATAGTATTGACATATTGTTTTGGTCTCCGTTTTTGTTGCGGCAGTTGGTGGTTGGTGATAGGTGATTGGCAATCAGTGGTTGGCTGTTGGCGTCTGTAAAAATTCTTAAAACTTCCAATAACTTAGCAAATACTGTTTAGACTGACTTATTTTTTTAAATCATCTACAAGTTTTCAGAAGTTCAAATCTGACTTTATATTTAAGATTTGACTATCAATGACCTTTTCAAGGTCAAAAAAGGTTAATAAAGGTCAAAAAGGTATTTTTTCAACTTGCTTCAAATTTACCAATTTTTTTTTCAAAATCATTTACAAGTTATCAGAAGTTCCAATCTGACTTAAGATTTGAGATTTGACCAAAGTTCGAAGGGGATATAGAGAAACCTTCTGTCTGTTTTTCTATCTGTCTGTCCCTGTGTCGTAAAAAACATTATCTATTCTTGCAGGATTTCCTACTGAGTACAACTCATATTGTCTCTCTTTGTAATTTGAAAACATTACAGGCAATTTACTTCTGCTTTTTCAGATAGCAAGTTTATTTGTTTCTGTATAAACAATTCAGCAAGGTTTTATGTCAGATTTTCGAAACATGCAGTTGCAACATTTATTATGCTTTTCTGTGTTACCCAGTACTTGTTGCAAAAATGATTTTTTAAATTGTAAACATTTGGCTGTTTTATCTTTATCTCAGCCTGTAATATCTGTCCACCAGCTAAACATATTTGTCATATCCCATAAGTTCAAAATCATTTTTATATAGCTCTTGTATTCTTAACATTGTATCTTTTGAAACCGTTTCAATTAGATTAACCTTCTCTGACCCATGTATATTCTCTTTCAGCCCTACTACTATATCTATTAATTCTTTATGTGTTACATCTTCATGAAGAGTTGGGAATATTTTCTGTTGGGGAATAACATTTTTTTGCACCAGGTTTTGCCAGAATATTTTTACAAAATCTTTGAAATCTAAACCACAATTTTTTGCACCATTGATGTTACTTTGAAAAGTATAAACAACATCTTTGACATAATCCATCTTTGCATCAAACTTTTCAGTGAATGTTATATTTTCGTCTATGTTCACTAAATCAAGCAGATAGTTTACATCATTGTTGAATGATTCCATTTTTCCGATAAAGTCATAGTCTATCATGCAAGGATGGCAAGTCCTGTACATCATGTCAAAATGTATGTTTGGTTTCTGACTACTCTCCTCTTGTTTAATTCTGTAATCAAGAAACTCTTGGAATGAAGCATTATGGCCGCATTTCAAATCAATTTCTGTTGGATCTTTACGGATGGTTTTCATGATTGGCTTTCCTTCCTGGTTCCACATATTCACCCTTACACTTGCTATTTTATCTGTGTATCCAGATTTTAGCCTTTTTATTGGGTCACGAACAAACATAATCTTTTTGTAATACTTCAGATAGTTTTCTATGTTTTGCTCAGTTGTGTTTCTGGTTTGGAATGTATCTAATGGTAAACTATGGGCCCATTTTGCTGGAATACTATATGGGTTCTTTGATTGAGTTTTGCCATCTAGAACAAATAGTAAACGCTTCATAAATGTGCAGCCTACTTTCGGCATTGCACAATACACAAACTTGTATTTGTGATTCACAAAGAAAAAATCTTTCCATAGTTTTGAGATATTGAGAGGCTTGTTGAGTCCCAATTCTTTACATTTTTGTCGCAGATGCCCAACTCTGTCTTGCTGCTTTTGTTGCTGCCTATATCTATCATCATTTTGAAAGTGGTTTACATGATCTTCTTTATTATAAATGTCACTCCTAAATAGGTCTATCTTCTTTGCAGTGTTGTGCATGTGCAAGGGGCATTTAGAATTCATTCTACATCTTGGCTGTTCAATAGTTAATTCCAATTGTTCTGAAATTTCAAATGTATGTGAATCTAAGTCAAACATGATACTGAAAAGAAGTATATACATGTATGTATTATTTTTACTCTAAACTAAAAGCAAAATTTTAATTTCCGTTATCATGAATGCAGCAAAACAAACATTACCTAATATTACCAGAAAAACGCAACATGCCCCCGCAAGGTAGCAAAACCTCCATATATGGAAGCTGGATATTCTTAATCTACAGTGCCTGTACATGTCCTATAATATGTTGACCAAATCAGTTCTTGTTGTAGTTGTTAATCCCAAAATGTTTTACAATGTTGCTTTTTATAATTAAAAAGTACAATTTTAATTTTGAAATATTGCTGAATCCATTTTGAAAATAATAGATTCTGGATGTAAGTATGCTATAAAGCTAGAATGATTAATAACACAGCCAAGTGCACGTGGTGTTCTATTAAATTGATGGATGTCAGATAGAACATTTGCTTCTTTGAAATTAACATCTGAAAAGTTAATAGTAGTACTTGGATATTTTCTTTATAAGTGCCTTCATTTTTGCTACATGCAAGTAGAATAATGCACCTGACAGATGCCATATCCCACAAACTCTCTCCCCCACTTATAGAATCTTTATTAGTAAAGCTTAGATGTTCAAACTTTCCCAAAATATACTTCATTTTTTATCTATACTACTTTTACTATATGGTGTAATAACTTTTACAACTATGATGATTTAAGATTGTGTAATTTTATTCTCAAGACAACATGTTTTATTTTTTATTTATTTTTTCCTTAATTCCAAATAATACAAATACAATCACAACAGTGGAAGACACCCCAAGGGCCATATGATCCATTTTATACGAAACAAAAAATATTTACAAGTAGCAAAACTCATACAAGAAATCAGTACTCATTAGAATTGAAAATTGACACTAAATATTTCACATTCGGTTGGTCCCATCCTCCATCCTCCTCTACCCATGCTATAAAAGTGAATTTTTTACGCCAGAGATTTTTCTCCAGAAAGGTTAGACCTTGATTAATGGCAGAATCAGATCTATGGGGGTGACAAAATTACAAGCAACATGTAAACTTGACCTACCAATCTATTCTAAGATTATATCAGCAGTTTCCATCTCAACGCCTATAATTTATATGAGACTGGTTTATATTTTGTAAAATACCATAAATAGGTTTACTTTTGCTGTATTTTTCCAGTTTTGTACTAATTAAAAAGATGTAGGCTATATCTCCCAGACTGATTGAAATATGATCTATATATCTCAATAAAGCCTGTCTGTGCTACATTTGTGTTCAATAAAGATATTCAATTCTACTTCAATTATATGATTTAAAGGGGTTCTGACAATACATTTTTATGATTTGCTTCCAAATTTTGTATACAGGTAGCAAAGAGTGTGCTAATAGTGTTAGCCTTTGCCATCAGTAAGTATTTTGACCTACTTTTGAGATATGGTGTCCAAAAAGTAGGTCAAAATAAAAAATCTCCAAATTTAACGTATGATTTATAAATTAAGGGTAGAATTTTCTCAGGAATCCGAATCTGCAAACCAAATTTCAATCCGATGAAAGTTTTTTCCCCTATACACAGTTTTTAATTCAGTTTTGCCTTTTTGATACTTTAGCCCGTTACCTTTTACACCACATATTCAATGTTAGCTCATATTTCGATGACAGTCTGCATCCTTACTACCAGATTGTTCATCACATTTGATATTTCTGGTGGAATGTTTTGATTTCTGTTTGGATGCTTGTCTTAAGTTGTAAGTTCTAGATCTCTTAGCTTGGGTTTAGCCCAAAAATGGTCCTTCCAATAGCCTCAGAGAAAAAAGTATAGGCCATCAAATATGGTGTATAGGGAGGCCCTCACAATGTCTTATAGCCCCCTTATACAGAGAGGTCAGAGGTTCAAGAAACTGCATTGGTTGGGATACTAGTATAGCATTTGTTGTGTGCATCAATGTGAGACCACTGTGTTTTCATTTGGATATCATTTGGTCTCCAGGCTAGCCTGCCTAACTCTGGAAGATTACTCCTGAATCATTTGCCGATAATTGACCTGATTATCTGTGTTTGTTTTGCCATCGTCACCCTCAAACATCTTTTTCTGTGGCTATTTGAAGGAGTGTTTTAATGCTCATTCCAAGTAAAAAGACCTAGAACAACTTAAGGGCAACATCCAAAGAGAAATCCAAAACATTCCACCGGATTTATTATCAAATGTGATGAACAATGTAGCAGTAAGGATACAGGCTGTCATCGAAATATATGAGGTTACAGCGATTATGTTTAAATTAAAGGGTTAAAGCATCAAAAAGGCAAAACTGAATTAAAAACTGTGTATAGGGGAAAAAACTTTCATCTTTTATCTACAAGACCATGCAAAAAATGTCTGAAAATATTGATTGGTTTGTCTATGCTTTTGATATACTTTTGGGTACATTTTTTTGAGACATCCCGTATATGCGTTGACATGTGATATGGAAGAAATTCCAGGCTTTCATTATTTGATAATTGTTGTCAAAAATAGTTTAGGATTAACGAGACCAATTTGGAATCATGAATGGGCTTTTTTTCAAGTTTGCGTATATTATTAGTAATTTTGCAATCACAAAAATGTACTGGAGCCGCCATATTGAAATGAAGGATTACATTATTTATTTAGAATATACAGACATTTGAATATTAGAATGACCTCATGTAATAGAGTAAATATATTTCTGCTTCAACCTATACATGTTTACTGTGTTAACAGGTCTGCCAAATACATCATTCCACTGTATCGAGAGTATGATGGCAATGCTGCGGAGTCCTTGTCGGACAGCGAGGTAATGTCAAATCACACGTCTTAAATTGCTTTATTGACTCAGAATAGGGCAGCCTGGCAACTTTTTGTGGCATCTTTTTTTATGTCATCACCAGAAGTGGTGATATATTGTTAAAGTCTTCAACTTTCTTGTGGACTGTATTCAGCGGTTTTTGTTCTGCATTCTGCATCTGTAACAAATGGCAGGTGGTGGCATTTGTCATGTTAATGCCTTTTTTATTAATCTTATTACTGACTCAATATTTAGAATCAATTTGAAAATTATATGCCACCCTTTTAAAATCTTTGCACCCAGTCAAGAGGATGGAATATTTGGAGTAAAAATAAAGGTAAAAGTAGATTTTGCAGCTTTTTAAGAGAAAACCTGGTGGAGATATCTGATGTATTGCTCAACGTTTTTGGTAAACTAAAAATAGCGCCTAAAAGGTAGAGTTCCATAAGTGGTGAGAAAAGGTTCTCAATAAGTTTTGTGACTATTTCCCAAAGGTAACCTGATTTTATCTGTGTGAAGTCCCAAAATCACAATGTATTGAATTGAATTGAATTTTTTTTTCAGGAGGAAGAAGATTACTCCAGTGTTCAATCACCTAAATCACTTGAAATAGGCAGTATCCCCTCAGACCTGCTACAGTATGGTACATCCCCTGGCTTTCAACACTTCTGAGTCAATCTTGTGTTGTAGGTGTATACATAGAGGATAAAGATCTCTTTCATGGAACTTGTGAATGAATATTTTGCTGAAAAGTCAAGATATTATTTCAGGCTGGCTGAAAGGACATTTTCAGTGATAGCTCGAACAGTATTTTAAGTAAAAACTGAAAGAATGTTTTCAGTGACAGCTGAACGAACATTTCAGTACATAGCTGAAAGAACATTTCAGTACAGCTGAAAGAACATTTCAGTACAGCTGAAAGAACATTTCAGTACAGCTGAAAGAATATTTCAGTACATCTGAAAGAACATTTCAGTACAGCTGAAAGAACATTTCAGTACAGCTGAAAGAATATTTCAGTACAGCTGAAAGAACATTTCAGTCCTGAAAGAACATTTCAGTACAGCTGAAAGAACATTTCAGTGCAGCTGAAAGAACATTTCAGTACAGCTGAAAGAACATTTCAGTACAGCTGAAAGAACATTTCAGTGAAGGCAGAACGAAATTTCGGGAACTCTGAAAGAAAGTTGGAATGACTGAAAAAATATTTTCAGTAAAAGCTGAAAGAACATTTTTACATGGGAGCATTAAGTTGCATTCCAAATATGAAACTGTCTCAATATGAAGGGAAAAGTAATGAATATTGAAATAGAATATTCTGTTAGAAATGATATAGAACATTCTGATTAATGATTCAAGATGAAATTAAAATGATATAATGAAATAAAATAGTTTGGAGTCAATCTCAAATTAATTTAACATGACAATATAAATTTTATACATATATAAAATTTTTACATGTGCACCAATTTTGGCATAAATGAATACAATTAACTGTGTGATGATATTGATATACATGTACAAGAATGACATGAAATGATTGAATTGATAAAATGAACTAATTTAAATGATATATGCATAAATTAAAAAAAGTAGGCGAAATGCTTAAAATGTTGTTAGGAAATAAAGCTGTTAACTTTAAACTTGTGTATGATTCTGTTGCACCTGCAAAGGTGCCATAATGTTACATTGGTACATGCTACAAAGCAGGGTTAAATTGCTCGTTTCATAACAAAGGACTTTGTGCCTTTTACTTTGTAACACTTCAATGTTCTTTCACAAAATACTTCCTTACAAAGCAATTCAACATGCCGGGATGATCTAATATTGTTTACTTCTCATTCCAATGATTTTTCCGGTTATCTACAGAAATAAAACCTTTACAGAACTTTCTTGTGATTTGCCTTATTAATTCATATAGATGGCAGGTCTATCTAAGTAGTTTGTGACAGCCTGTTGAATATTGGATGATATGATAAAGTAAAGGCTAGCATAATCAGGTTGAAAATGATCTATGCATTGTTTAAGTAAGTCCTGAACTCAGTGCAATGTGGAAAGACCATTCTTTGAAGATAGTACCCTTTGCATTCGTTTGACTTCACTTCTTAAAAGAGAGCTTCGTCTTCCTTTAACTAGACTCTGCACGCAGGGTATGAAGATTGTGTTTTGGAAGTTAAGGAAACCACACCTGACAACAACATTGTTCAAATTATAATGTTTTTGAGATTTTTGAAGGAATATTAATATTGAGTGAAAACCTATAATTGTCTAAAATTACTTCCCATACCATATTTGTTCTTTTGGGAAAGTATGCAAGAGTGAAAAGCCGTCCTTAGTCAGAAACGCCATGTGTGGTGTAACTTCTGACAACTACCCTTCCAGTTTTCATGACTTTAAGAAAATATCTCATACTTGAGTGGGTTTGGGGTAGATATCACCCGGGAATATATATCATATCTGAGGAGCGGGCAGGATATATTGTATATGTCATGCTCCAGGCTAAATACGGGCAGATATAATATATCCTTCCCGCTCCCGGGAATTTTTCAATTTAGAAGTTTTAAATTTTAAAAGTTTAAGATTTACAATTTAAATGTTACAATTTCATTGTATTGGACTAAAGGAATATTCCGAAATTGTTAAATATAACTTGTGGTTTTTCAGTGTAGGCCTGTCTTGTCATTGGAAAAAATTGGAAAAGGTTATCTCTACTCAAGTATGAGATACACCAGTTATGCACGGTCGGTTTTGGATATAGGGTATATCCCTCGAGAAATATCTAGATCTCCCCTTGGTCCCTCAAGGAGACATAGATATATCCCTCAGGATATACCCTATATCCAAACCCTCCCAGTACATAACGCTTATATATTTTACACCATCTACATCATCGTTACGCAGAGGTTAATATCTCACCTTTTATATTGATTGACGCATTATATTCATGCATACAGAAATTAAATATGAATGTTACATCAGTTTACTAAATGGCTTAAGAGATTGCTGTAAGAAATACGTTTCGTCTCTATTATGAACAAGGAATAATCAATCAGCCTCTTCATTCAGATTTTATAGACTCTGTATATGGAATAATGCAAATTGCATAGGATGAGAATTTCGTAATTGACACCTTTACAGACAGAGCTAATGAAATTTTACAGTTAAGCTTGTAATAGTGAACACAAACGGTAAATGATGTTGATGTATGGGGGAAGAATATTGGAATTACTGTCATGATAATATCACTATTTACCCTGCACGCAGAGTTTAGTTATAGGACGAAGCTCTTTTCTAAGAAGTGAAGTCGAATGAATGTAAAGGGAAATCAGTATTGCTTGGACTGCCTTGCCAAAGTTTTATGGAACAATTTCAATTCAGAAACTTTGAAATAAAGTCTTATTTTATTAGGAGGCCCCATCGGGGGGGCCTCCTATAGATTTTATAGATATTATTTATTATTATAGCAATCGGTTAACTATTAAAATTTTGCACCAGTTTTGAGATATAAGAGCTAAAAACTGAAAAAAGGTCAAAATTCAAAAATTTTCAAGGTCAAATTTCAACTTGCTTCAAATTAAACCTTTTTTTAAAAATCATCTACAAGTTGCGTGGTGTTAATATATGACCCTAGATTTGAGATTTGACCTTTGGCTGACCTTCAAATTGCCCAAAACGCCTACAGGGCCTCCTTAAGATTGCTTGCAATCTTAAATCTCTAGTTATAATTAATTACTAACCATGTTTTTTACTGAAAGTTAACTCGCCTATTTTAAAATATAGGTCACGCCTCTTAATTTCCTGAAATAGCATTTCCAAATGAGTTTAATATTGTCTGTTGAGCCATATATATCCTGTTACTCCTGACGTCGTAGACATCAGCAGTAGAAAGGTGGGCCAAATTGCTTTCTTGGTTATCATCAAGGACGATTGGCTCCCAAGATCGAAACTCGATATTTTCCAACATTGAAAACGTCGAAATGTCTGAAATTAAAACCGACTATAAATTCAAAATAAATAGTTCAAAAGACTCAACAAATATTCTCGATCATTTCTTGTGAGTTTTTGGAATTTTTCGTAAGAAAATAAGACCAAAATTCACGATTCAAATGTTGAAGTGAACAAAGTGGCGGCTGTTTGAATTCGAATTTTGATCACGACAGGACAGGATATCGATGTTGCAATCCTCCTTGGGTTAGCAGCATATACCATCATCAGGATTCCAGGCATCCAGTCTGTTCCTTCGTGAAAAGGTTGGCAAAAAGGTTATTTAAACTTTAAGTGTGTTAATTATGTTTTCTCGTTGTTGCACTTATATTCTAATGCGAATTTGAGATTCAACTCGTTGATATCAATATCAGCAATTAACTTCAGACACGCGTGGCGATATTGATATAAACTAATTGATTTAAATTGTAATACAAAAAATAACGGGCTTACTTTCTTTAAGTTCATGCAAAAACGTATGATGATATAATTAACTTGAGGGAAATACAGGAAGTGATCCTCTTTGGAGAATCTGTAATATCACACAAGAAAGTATGACCAAAATTGGTTCTTCCCTAAACAAGTTATTCGTTATTAGAAATGAAGCTTGCGAAGATGGATGTCTGCTAGACAAGAGTGTTTACCGTTTATCGTGATATGTTACGCTGTATTTTATGAAAACATTCAATATCCGAATTACGTGATATTCGCTGATTAACTGCCATGTCTGGGACGTTTATAAAGGTACAAAATCGAAATTATTAATATTGCTTTATACGAAGCACTCTACCAAGCTTATTATCGTTCAATTGTGATTATAGTTGAGGTAAAATCAATCAATTGCATGATCTGGCAAAGGAGGGTGATGCATCCCAGACTACAGGGGAAGCCTGTGGTCATTTTGGTTTGTTAGATAGCCGATACCATCATGGCACCTTTTGACCTAACATGTTATACAAAGAGGAAATTGTACAGAATGATACACTTATTTTATACACATTATTCAACGAAAAGAATTGTTGAAACAATAACTTATAACTTTCTCCAGAAAAATCTTCTCTAAGAGTTCTTAATTTAAAAAAGTATCGATGATTAAATCATAATGAGGTCTAGGTAGTTATGATGCATGATGGGATAGCCTACCCTCCATTAATCAATTTAATTTAGAGAGACTGGAAAGTAACAGAGGATCCGATGGATAATTTAATAGGTCTTAATACACGAAACGCATGATACGGATTGACAAATGGTTCGAATAAGACAGTAATGATTGCACAAGTTAAATGCAAATGGATAACACAGATTTCGATATCTGTTTCTTCTACTGATGGAGGTTTAAATTTCTAAATTGAGCAAAACTATGGAATACAAGTTGAAATGGAACGGATATGGAATTTATGTACAGTTGTTATGTATATTGGTTGCTATGGTAAACAATGGTAAGTGTCAGGAGATATTTCATTTTTTGTAAATAACTTTTGGCATTAAGAATAGATTTCGGGTCTCATTTTCAAAAATAGATTCAATTTTATGCGGGAAGCAGTTACCCAAAATGACTAGTTTAATGGCGAATAAGCACGCTTCTAAATTATGTTTAAGAGTGTTCTACTATTTTAAATTATTTTCAACGATGAACTTGAATATGATAAACATGTAAATAATTAGCCAGTCGGATGGTGAAATAGTGGATTTTTTTATTGATTATACCCCGCATTACATTTTGTGAATGTTTTGATTTAACCCGAAATGGTTGCTTTCTTTCAAAGACTTTTAAATCTTTTTGACTTATATCACCATGAAAATTGGGGTGTTACCTTCGATTTTCTAGTCAAATAATTTTCATGCACCATTTCTCCACCGAGTCAAAAGTGTCCGTTTGCCCTAAGTTCGTTATAATTATTCCATTCTAGCCAGACCCGTAGCCAGGATTTGCCAAGGAGGGGGGCTCAATTTTCAAAAATTTCCAGAGGGGTTCACATTTGACAATTTTGGCTCAAATATGGCTAAAATCACTTGAGAAGTGCTCAAAATGGTGAACATGCATGATTTTGAAAGAATTTTTGGCCAAGGGGGGGGGGGGGGGGTCGCCCGAACCATGCTCCCTCCCTGGCTACGGGCTTGCTAGTACTGTATTTATTTACTCTATTTATATAGTATTTTCAAACAAAGTAAAAATAATCCCAACAGCAGTTCTACACATATTATTTGCCAAATAGCTCAAAAACTTATAACACACATCACCCCGCAAGGCGAGGAAATAGATCGCGGGGGGGGGTCAGAGACGTGAAGCAAGCTTAACTCCAAAACTTGAAGCCATCTTGAATTCTGATTGCAGATGGTCTGGTTGATTAATTGGTCAATGAGTCAGTTAGTCGGTCGGTTAGTTGGTTCTCTGGTTTGTTGGTTCATTGACTGGTTGGTTGGTTTGTTGGTTAGACTAGGTGAAGCGATGTGGTACAACATACCATGGCCATGCGCAGACCAACTATCAACAATGTGGCACCACAGACCAACTATAGTCACACCAACTTTATCCATGTTATCCCATTGTCTGCTAAATTAGAATTATTAAATTTCAAACAATCAAAATTCTACCATTTTCGAAAAAATGTTTTAAGGTTTGTCAATAGGTTCATGGCCTTTTGAAATTGATGTATCGCTCGTCGAAATTGTCTTGATTTCATCACTGATGTGTCATTGAATTTATCCCCAAGAAAATTGGACGGATTAACGAGCCCCATATCCGATCTTACAACCATGGTTGAACGTGAGGTATTTATATAGCGTCTCTGAAAAGAAGTCCATAGTTAATATTCCGAAAAGGTTTCCTGGAATGATTCATGTGAATGGTTTTACGGACATTATTTCAATATAAAAGGGTTGCAGAGATTCTTGTGTAATCAGATGAAAACATCCCATCTTTCAAATAATTAATTTAGCCGCTGTATTTTCCAGATGATGTCATCAAGTTTGCACCTAAGTGAACTAACAATTTGTCAAAGGAAATGGATCTTTGAGAGGCTTGAGGCAATTGAGGCAAATGCCTCGCAAAAACCTTTACTTTAAGGAGTAAAATTGAACTATTGGAAACTGTAACGTTTTTTTAAAACAGAAACTTTGAAACGGTTCAATTTGTTATGTAGCATAAACTTGCCCCATGTTTTAAATATACATATGGGTGTAGACTTAGGTTTAGGGTTGCAACTGACTTAGAATCGATTTTTTGTATCAACTTCAAAATAGTCTATATCCGTGCCTGCTTCTCTAAAGAGGGGAAGTGGGTTGTTTGGGAGAGATGAGACTATGAACTAACCAGGATAGGCTTACTTTACTAGATGCTTATGCTGTCATATACGATCTCACTTTAATTACCTACAGCAAGATCGAAAATAAGTTTATCACGGGTCAAAGAAACCTTACTTTTCATTTTGACGTGGACTATATTTTTCATAAATCTAACATAATTCACAAATTCTACCCTTGGTGAATATAGAGTCGAAATTAATGCAATGAAATAAATCTTATCCAGAGAACTACGAAATAAAATCAGTGTAATCAAATATTAATTTCCTTTGCTAGGCTGAATCGTGTCCATATATTGATCAAATCCATTGGAGGAAAGCTCCCAATAATCCGTTTATTAAGTCATTAAATGGTGTTTATAATTGTCCATTCTGTATCGCACGCTCATTAGTTGCTATAGTAACAGCTGAAAAATAATCCTGAAGATTCCCAAGGGAAAATCGAATGTTTGAAGGATGTAAGGTCCAAGTAATGTATCATAATCGGTTTGAATTTATAATAGAAATAATTCCAACCGTCAAGTATGTAAGCAAACATAAAGAGTACTTGATTCGTTAAAGGCTATATCGTATAGAACAACTAAATTCGCATTGTGCATATAAAGGAGCATCCACTATGTGAGACACAGATGCATCCTTCTTCAAAGGACTTCATCCATGCCTAAATTATACTTGTAAAATACCCTTGCAGCAAGGATGCACAGATGTCAAATATGTCACATTTCGATCCATTGATTTATGCCGTCGCAAATGATGTCTCAAAATTACAATTGCAAATTCTTGGATTAAAACGTTAATATGGATCCATTGATTTATGCCATTGCAAACGATGCCTCAAAATCACGATTGTAAATTATTGGATTAAAACCACGCCCGGTGATCGTGAATATGGGACGGAGGGGAGGGAGCAGGCAATTTCTGCTAGGAAATTCAACAAATCTGGAAGATTTATTTTTTCAAGAAAAAGTTTACTATTGAATTGCTAAATGGATAGGTGCACGGTATGGTAGAATATGTTAGGTTTTCTGGGATTTTTTCTGAAACGATACGCATCTAAGGTATGAGATCTATTAAAAAAGGCGCAAGGCCATCAACAGGCACAAATCAACGTTTTTGCTATAAATCAAGCAACAATGGTCTGGACGACCTGTAATAAATACTTGTAAGTGATGTTATCATAACTAAATTAATGTCATTGCTGAATTTATAAAATAAGTTTCCATACGTAAAATAAAAAATAATCGAAAATAATTAAAACGGGACGGAGGGGGGGGGGGAGGGGACGGAGGGGGGGGGAGTAATAATTCTTTAAAGTGAAACAACTTCACACGAATTCTTGTATTTGAAAAATGAACTAATTAACTTAGTAAGAAACTGGATGATATACCCCCGGAGACTGAAAAATGGGGACATTTGGAGTAAAAGGACTTAAAGTCGCGAAACATCTCTAATCATGTCTTATATACATATTGCTCCCCCCTCCGTCCCCTCCCCCCCCCTCCGTCCCATTTTAATTATTTTCGATTATTTTTTATTTTACGTATGGAAACTTATTTTATAAATTCAGCAATGACATTAATTTAGTTATGATAACATCACTTACAAGTATTTATTACAGGTCGTCCAGACCATTGTTGCTTGATTTATAGCAAAAACGTTGATTTGTGCCTGTTGATGGCCTTGCGCCTTTTTTAATAGATCTCATACCTTAGATGCGTATCGTTTCAGAAAAAATCCCAGAAAACCTAACATATTCTACCATACCGTGCGCCTATCCATTTAGCAATTCAATAGTAAACTTTTTCTTGAAAAAATAAATCTTCCAGATTTGTTGAATTTCCTAGCAGAAATTGCCTGCTCCCCCCCCCCTCCGTCCCATATTCACGATCACCGGGCGTGAAAACGTGTAATATGGTCCTTTAAATCAAAAGTATAATACTTATAAAGCCATCAGCAACCCATCCACTATTGCCCATCAGTCAACGTGATTGTTGTTATTGCTACGTCAATACTATTGATACATACCATATTCCACTCAACCCAGATTCCGAGACAGTAAACACATTATTTTGAGGGTCAATATTCACGAGATCATAATTATGGTTTTAGAGTTATATTGTGATATTCATTGTTTTTTCATTTTATTGCAAAACTAAGTAATTTTGAGTCGAATACAATTTAATAATTTTTTCCTTTTTTTAGTTCCATGACCATTATTTTTGTTATATAAACATGAGTATTTATTTTGTTGGTTTTTGTCAAATTACACGATCGATCGAAATGATATCAATCAAACAGCAACAATGGGTTATTTTTATTTTCTGAAACTACACCCCTTCCATTAGTTTTTGCAATTTTTAGCCAACTTTTAAAAGGGATTGTGGACATGTATATTTTGTATACTTTGCAAAATAAAAATAAAAGTTCAAACGTAAAGAGGCTTTAACACGTAGTTCAATGGGGGAGCTAAGGTTGCCAAACCTATGGAGGGGAGTGTACATTTGTTTGGGTTACCTTCTTTTGGCTCACCCTGTATAAAGATATTTTGTTCTTAGATTTTTCTTGATTTCACTAAAGTCGTGGCAAAATTACAAAGTCCACAAAAAATATTCCTGTATGACAGCAGTATGCAAAAATATTTAATATGTTCCACGTAATAAGCCGATTCACAAGTAAATTAAAAAACCTACGTGTTTTTCGCAGTAGATGCAGCACAAATCGTATACGCAAAGCCCAACCCTCACAACTTATCCTGTTTCGAGTGTAAAGACAACTTCCGAGAGCTTGATCCTGGAACCTATTCCCCAAATACCCCCTGTCAACAGAAAGCCAGATTTAACGAGATAGGAATCAGCTCATGCAGTGTTCACGATAGATATTGTAAGGTGAGTCGATACATCATAATATGATCGGTTGATCCTTGAGTTTTAAAGAGACCAGTGAGACTGGTAAGCCGAGGGGTGAAGTTTCATTTGTAGCTTCCAAATGAAAGTGTAATCTCTGATAGGCCTTAAAATCATCATATCAAAAAACATAACTATTACTCGAGAGAAAGTCCCTGCTTCGAATTTCAATTTTCTTTTTAAAATACGTTGACAAATCGAAAGGTTAACAGATGCGACCCATCTTCTGCATACGATTGGACTGCAAAATTCAAAACTGCACGAGAGTTATACGTATATGAAATGATTAAAAACTATTTCAGGTGGAACGGGTTGAACTTAACGGGAAAGTGCTCAGTATTGAAAGAGGATGCACGGAGAAATGCTTCTACGGTTGCAGGTTTAATGGATATGGACTCACGTACATGAAATGTACGTCATGCTGCATGGGTTACGCCTGCAACACCGATAACTCTTCCAGGACAGTTTGGTCTAACACATTTCAATGGACTATATTGTCGGCCTTGATTGCCCGATGGTTTATGATATTACAATTACGGATAGAGTGACCCCGCCGTGAGGTTTACCACCCCAAGGAGTTCTACGAATACTTTGAAGATGTACCTGGCTGGGTGACCATATTTTTTTCTTTAAAACAAGGGGCCCCCTTTGGACTGTTTATACTATTTATGTAAGAGGCGTAGTTCAATGACAAGATTCATCGTTCTACATCGGGCCCCGTGATTTGCGACCGGTGTATAATTTCTCTTAAGAGAGGTACATTGGTGATACATGATTTATTATATATTTCCCCATTTTTCTGTTGCATGGGTTGAACAGTTTTACTTTCATTTTATGCATTTTGATAAGTTGCATTGCAATGCAATACTCTCCGCCTCTCCCGAAATAAGGCGGTTGAATTGCTGAAAGTGAAAATCAAAATCAATTGTAGGTCCTCTAAAAATTGGCCTTTTTGCATAATTTGGTCTTAATAGTAGGCAAAATTATCATGAAGGGCCTTGGATTTTCAAAATTTGGGCCAAATTTTTGATTGTAGGGGCATTTCCCATAATCCTCTGCCTAAGTCCAAACGACAGTTCGGGAATTCGAAAAGAAAATGGCTCATCAATCAAGACGTTTTGTGTTCAACGTACAGCTGTGACTGTTGTAATGAATATTCGTGGACAATAGTATGCAATATTTTGCACAGCTTGAGTTGAATTGTGATACAGTTCAGGAAACAGATTTCTCCCAATTAAAAGGGGACATCGCTGATTGTCCGAGGGAGAAACCTGGGCGACATTCTCCCTAAGTTTGGTAGCCATAATTCCCTTTTTCAATATTCCACATGATTCTATAAGTTTAAAAACTTCAATTTTGTCATTGTGATTGCGAAAAATTGCCTTGTAGGGGAGTGAAATCAGCAAAAAAAAAAAAATCGTTTTTATTTTAGGCGCCATCTATCTATTCCCAACCCTATGATTCGTGTAGCTATCACTGTTTTAGTGAAATCTTGGACATATGCACCCATACTATTTTTCACAGCTTGTGAGTTGAATTGTGATAGTCCCGTTGACACTATACTACAGTACACTTCCCTCAAAAAGTTTGGCAATACTACAACTTCCTCATCAGTAATCAAATGAGGGGAGTGTAAATCCATTATCCATTGTTATGATGCCGGATAATGAAAACACGTTACATACTCTTCTACTCCAGTACCCATTACTCCCTTGGAAGGGAAACGTTGTTACAGTTGTATAATTCAAATAAAAACTTTAGTGCTAATCTATATCGAAATCGATATTAGTTAATTGGTTGGAACACGAAGTTGATTTACAGAGGATATTGTGACTTCCGAGCCTCTAGCTATCAAATGGACTCAGCCAGGGGTACTCAGTCCCCTACTCCGACCTCAGATATATTCCAAATCAAAAATTATAATAGCCTGCTATTACATATCCTTTCCGAATCATTATATTAAAGTGCGATTAGTTTGAAAAAATGCGTTAACGGTTATTTTTAAAAAATATCAAAAAACAAAAGAACATTTTACACTCTTTAATTTTTTATACTTATGTTGGGCTTTGGGCTTCCATTTCCATGATAAAATTCACGTTTCCTCTGGATAACATGGAATAAATATTTGAACACAGAAATTAATGGTTCAGCCTATAGTGTGAGTTTCAGCAGACCAGACACACAAACATATTTGATTTTGAACATCAGAAGAAAAATGGGGTTTCTCGCAGAATTTATGTCCGAAACCAAAAAGAACATTTATTTGGGGAAAATTAACATCACCGTTCATTGATTAATTAAAATTTTTTCATGTTATCGATTTATTTCTAATAATAACATAGATATCCACAGTCAGCTGATTGCCAACGTTTTTCAACATTAGCGGCAATTAAATAATATATACATAAGTGAAATAATAGATATAATAGAGAGATTTCGCACCTAGTGAAAGTACAACTTATAACGTATACTTATACTTATAGGTAAACGTACAAGGTGTTTCATAATGTGGGCATTTTGTCAGGAAAGATCTTCTCGGACTGTGATAAATACAGGTCAAAGGAGTGCCATTTGTACTTTCTTGAATTGTAGCATGTTTAGTTGATCAAAATGTGTTTGTCTAGAATAAAATAGGCTCATATATAGTACATATGTTATAGACCCATCTCTTCTCAAATTGAGATGCTCGTTATGAAACACCCTGTATATCATATGTTGAGCTACTGAATGGGTCATTTCCAGGAATTGCTAGAACCTACTGGTTTGATTGGTGTTTCAAATTGATGATTAAAGTATTTGATTGGATACTGTTACCACTCAGCCAACTAATTTTTAAAAATGCTTGCGGTCAATTGTTTCACACACATGTAGGCAAATCTTTATACGGAGATCCAACTGTATACGTTATCATCTACGTAAATATACCGTTTTGTAAGTTCATCGAACTTATACTGATCATGAAAACATTGAAATAATCAACTTGTTTATGTAATGACTCACTTTAAAGAATCTTGACTCACTTTAAAGATCGTGTTTATAATACACTACAACTACAAGGACACGGAAGCAAGCATTTAATTATAATGTGCATAATCTACACGTTCAGATGACAGTGCATTCACAGTCTCTAGTTGATGGAGCTTTTCTATAACGGGAATAGTTATGTTCCATTAAGTACAATTTAAAATTGATTTTAGTAAATATAATAGTTCGACATGACCCTTTAAAGTATACGTATACGTATAAGTTGTGCTTTCACTTATGTGCGAAATCTCTCTAATATAAAATTAAATTAAATTCATTAAATAAAATGGTCACTGTGTGTGCGTACATTTCGTTTCGTTTTTCTGTCTTTAGGTTTGAATACAATTGCCCTTTAATGATCTGTACAGTATAACCTGTTAAGTGGAACACTTCTGCTAAGCGCAACACCTAACAAGTGGAACAGTCCCATGGCCCATTTACTCCATGTTAATGAACTATTGATTTTGCTTCATTTATCAACTCAGTTCAGGTATTTCGGTTAAGCCAACCACTGAATCCTTTTGCCAAATGAATCTTGAGTCTCCTATACAGCATACAGGGTGTCCGGAAAGTAAAGATACAAATGCTTTTGTTTCAATAGATTTACCTGTTTTGAGGTTAAATTGCTCCAGAATGTAGAATGCCATTATAACAATATATCCTGCAACTGTCATGACTTTTAGTTTTAAAATAAAAAAAGTTATGGTTGTTATGGTAACGGGAGTTGAGGGTATGTGGAGCAGAGTCACAATTGTGTTTTACAAATCTCTTTCCTGCTCATATGATCTTGGAACTCCACCATCTATTCATATATTACATCAAATTATGTACCACAACAGCATAAGGATTAGTACTGTTACATTATTTGATCACTTCATATTACTACTCTCATTTAATATTCAGTATTTTCCCCATCATCTTGGCCGGCGATTCATAGACTTCACAAAATCGCTGCTGTCCATCTCTCAGATTGCTGATAACATTGGCTTCAAGCTGAGTTTCATTTTGTATGTTAAACTTCTTACAAATATTGTTTTCAGATGGTCATTAAGGTAAAAGTCAAGAGGGTCTATCGGGTGAATATAGGACATTGTATAGAAAGGCTTAATGTCAAGACAATCCATTGTAAGAATTGTTTTCTTTGCTTTGTGAATTGGTGTATTATGGAGATGGAATATTGACTTTCCTACTAATCCAGGGACCGTTCTTCTTGTATATAATATTTCTTTGATTATACTGGTTAGTGACATAAACTAGTTCTGATGTGTAACAATGACATCATTATATAAAAGAGTAGAGTATAGAGTATATCGAGGAAGATATCAGAGGCCTCGGCAGAGGAGTGATATAGATAATACTTGAAGGAAGGGTTCCTAGAACTAAACAGCAACTTTACAGCAGAGTTGTGAGTTAGATATTTATAGCTAACTTGTTTGTTAGAGACTTGAGGTCTCACGTCATACACAGCTGAAAGTTGTAGTTACTTTTGTGAATACTGTAAATAGTAGTTAGCTTTAGATGTAGATATTTATGTGTAGGATTGTAGTAGCAACTAGTTGAACACCATTGTACAGTCGTATTTTGTTAAGGTAGCTAAGTTAGCAAAATTTTGTTATTTTTTTGTACTTTAAGCTTGGTGTTGTAAACACCAAAATCATTGGATTGGAGGAGTGTAACAAAATTTTGAATTTTTGATTTTTGAATTAGTGCTGTGTACTCGTTATTGTACATTTATTACACTTGAGATCATTATGATCTTAAGTTGTAGTATCGTTTGCAGTACTTAGGTTGTACTTACAGAGGTGAAATAGTTCGCATGTTGTATTTATTTGATCACGATTTTGTTTATGTTGATCGGGCAGTCTTATCTGGCAGTCTAATTTGTAGTTGATCGGTAGTCTAACATGGCAGCTTTATTATTTTACTTCCTGCTTTTGATTCTATCAAACCGAAGTAAAACTAGAGTAAGTAGCGATCAATTACTGTTATATTTCTTGAGTCAATATTAAAATCTTGTTGTATGCGTAATATTAAAGCGGGATATGGCGTCAATAACTTGTTATTCAACTTTGAAATCTTGTTCGAAAAGTGATGACGTCACCAGGCCTATATAAGTATTTCGCCGATGTAAACTCGGCAGATTACAGCTAGCTTTCGTTCGGGACAGAGCTCCGTTCAATTTCATATTTTTATGTGAAGTTGGACTTAGTCGTTTTTCAAGGAAATATTTTTGGACTTTGACAACTTTCAGTAGAAAGTTGTTGGGACTTTGAATATTTCCCGAGGCAGATAGGAGATACATAGCTGCACTTCAGTTCAGTGGATGATAACTTGGACATCTACTTGTGATGAAGGATGCCTGAGAGGGAAGACTGCTACACCGTGATTCTGTAGATGATAACTTGGCCATCTACCCGTGTATTTGTGTAGAGGATACCTCAAGAGGGAATATTCAGAACCGTGTTTGGAGGCGGCATCAAGCCTATATTTCTGAGCTCTGTCAGTTCAATTTCATGAACACATGAAATTGGACTTAGCGTATTTTTGAGATAGAAATTATTGAACTTAGTCAATATTTGGAAAAACATTATTTTGGACTTTGTTTTTTTTGGAGAATAAATATTGAACTTAGAATATTTCAATATCAGTATAACTCAACATCAACTGAACTTAGTTATTTTCAAGGGCACATATTTTGACTTGTAATATTTTTGCCTATGTTGTTGTGTGCATGCTATATTTGTAGGTAGCCTGATTATTTAATTGTGAAGGAAGTAGGCTACATGTACTTAGCAGTTGATGCCATGTATTAGACGTTTTTTGGACTTAGTAGTTGGAAGATTGTGATAGTTTAACTACAACACATTGAGGAGGATCCAGGAGATAGCCATTTACAGAGCCG